GGAAAGTTGACGTTACCCTAGAGGAAAAAGGAAAAGGTAGTTAGGTGGGATCACTTACTGTACATCATTACAGCAATCATGCTCAGAAGTTTAAGAGTGTATTTGTTCCAGATGTAAAAGTTTTAAAGTCACACCTCATCATTCCCAGGGCCAGTTGTATCACCACGAGGATCTGGAGGAATTGTAGTGGACTCTCTCTGGGCCCCTGCTGGCCACATCTGACAATAGGATGCAGAAGTCAAGACATGTGTTCTCACTTTAATGGTGAAAAAGAGAAAGAAGAAGGAACTCACCTTTTCTGTCTGCATCTTTGTCTTGGAACCCTGCTGAAATTGAATGATATTCAAAATAGTTAGACAATAAACCAAAAAATTATAGTATGCACGGATCAATTACGTCAATTAGACAGTATGATTTTTTTCAAACTTATAAGAAGCCTCAAATAGAAATAAATTCAACCTTTGGAGGAAAAAAACTATTTGATAAAAAATTCTATTACTGTATTATATATATGATAATATATAATATAATATAATTATACATATGTATATATAATATAGGCAGCACAAACAGTTTGCACCACCACAGGTATTGCACTTCTCAAGCTTACTGATGAATGTATCATGCATTTCTAATAGGAGGCATTGCTCATGTCTCAGAAACCATTTATGCAATACACTCACCACATCCACTCTGTCATGGCTCGACATGTGCAGCTGTGTTATTATCTTTAAGTCCTGTTTCAAGTCATAATTATCTGCAAAGCTTCTAAGACTTAATGTCATCTCCGTGCTTTGTAAATGTGTCCAACCTGCAGTGGGAGCTGTGGTCTCTGCGTAGTCCTGTCCAGGCTCTGCTGTCCATTGCTGGGCTGCAGCACTCCGGTATTCCTCTGCTGGGGATAGCCGTAAGATGGCACAAAGTAAGGGTAGCCCTGCAAATGAGAGATAGATGTCATCATTGACAAGTTTTCAAATAGGTTAACCTTTGCGCACGATCATATTATTATATTCAATACCTGCTGCCTGTGAAGCTGAGGGAATCCAAAAGATGGATACTGAAACTGCGGATACATCTAAATGAGATCAAAAAGCGTTATTGACACCTTAATGGTTGTGAACAGCTTGTAGTCACGTAAAGTGTCTCACTGGGCTGTTTTGCTACCTGCATGGGATTTTGGGCCTGTTGAGGGACATTTGGATTGTTTGGATCCTGTGCGGGTCCAAGCTGCTCTTGTTGACCATTTGGGAGAATTACAGGTGTCAGCTGGTTGCCCTGGTTGGGGAGCAACAGCTGTGGGCCCTGGGGACCAAAGGGACCAGCCATTTGAGGGTTTAAATTCAGCACCTGCGGGGTGAGCAGTACCTCCGGCTGCTGCTGCTGCAGAACATACTGGGGTAACAGTGAAGAGCCCTTAAGAGGGAGCAGACATTTTTCAGTTTGCATGATGTTTTCCGAAGAAAACTTTTGTATAAAGGTACAGATAGGTAACAAAAAATCGATTGGTTTGTACCTGTGTTTGCCCAAGAGCTGCAAGAGTTCTGAACAGGATCTGAACAGACAGGGTTGAGTTTGATGATTAATATTGTTTTCAATAATTACAAGAAATTTAAAACGTGAGCATGATAGCTTGAAGTGACTTACCTCATTGCTATTGCTTGCAATGAGTCCAATCTGAACCTTTAAGAAAACATAGAAATATTCACCTAAATATATGTAAATGCATGTGTATCTTAATCTGCCATTTAAACTGTTACGTCATTTAAATGAAGCACGAAGACGCAACTCACAGGCAAAGAAATGCTAGTCCTGAATAGACAGATCAACAGAAGGTAGGTTTGAGGCTTCATGATGTCCTATAGTGAAACCACACAAAAAGATCCATCAGCTCTTAAAATATTGTTTCGTTTCATGACATAAAAACAAGAAAATAATTCACCGAAAATGAATTACAAGGCCGTCTCACCGTTTCTCTTCTTTCGCTTGCTGCATCTGCCTCATCACCTTGCTCTGGTCCCTTTTAAATTCTCCCAGTGTGAGCTGTTGTAGTGCAGCAGCAGCCCATCCAGACAATGTGCGGTCAGCGTGACAGACATTTCTCATGGCAACAGACTCAGACACTTACAACACGAGAGCAGAAAGTATGTCATTAAGTGTAAGTCATGTCTCTGAACATCATGTCATCCTCTGTGTCAAGTTTGTTCACAAGTCTCTCCTTGAGATTCATATTCTAAACCTTTGCACATGAGAAGTTGAACAAATCGTCAGATTGGAAGCTTTTTCATCTTCAGTTCTCTCTTTTTTAAAATTTGCTTGTGTTGAATACAACTTGGTCAAGTATTGACTTGCTATTTGCTCTTAAAGGTAAAGCTTTTATGTGTGTGCGGAAACTTCAGTCTGTAATTATGAACATTTAGACCAACAGGAATACTGGCTCGTCATGAGAAAAAAGAAGAAAAACAGGAGTTGAGATCTAATGATCAGACACTTGACACAGATTGTTTATCATGTTCAGGCAGATTTTGGCTTCTAATCAGCCACGCACCAATGCTTTGTTGCAGATTGCTGCGCCTGTGGGTTTATGGCAGGTAAATTACTTGGAAAATGTGTGTGATATTGTGACTGCTTGTATAAAATTGTGAAAATTTGAATTCTAGCTGAAGCACACATTGCATGAATAATAACTAATAAACATTTCGGTTGAAAATATTTTCTTCCTTTTCATGTGCATTAAAGTTGATTTGTTTATCATACTGTGTTTAGTGGAATTTAGTCACAGTTACAATTTAACTGGAACTCCTTTTAGCTTGAGGTTGTCATTTATGGATCAAGTGTTTTGACGTGTGATTACAGCCAAACCATAAATGGATCACTTCTATTCAAATGGCACAACATTAATTAGTCAGAACGCACAGTTCTAAGATCCTGAAACTATTTGACAAATATATGTCATCATTTGCTTTTAATTATTACCAACTTAAGCCTTTCCCACTGCCAGATGTCGACATTTATAACAGTTTATTACACATCTATGTAAACTGGGCCGGCCTTTCTCAAATTCTGGGAGAATTTAAAATCTCTTGGCCTGGTTTGTAACATACTGAGTTAACTACAGCAGCAGGGAGGAAACCATACTGAGATGTTTAAGGCAATTTAAGAGTCTTATGAGTTTTCCTTATTTCAAATGATGTCGCAGTCTCATGTGAAATCATTTTGATTCACTTGTGCATTACATAATACTGCAATCCTATTAAGCAAAATTAAGCTTTTTGTGGTGTGTGGTTTGTGCATAGCTGTTAAGGGAGACGCTGGGGCTTTGGCCCGGTGAACAGTGCCCTTGAGAAACTAATTACCGTTGTAATGCAGCTGCATTAATTGTTCTCTGTTTATATGTAGTGGTGTGCTGGGATCTGGGGAAGAGAGCATCATGCAAACTGCGGTTACCCCTTGCCTGTAATTGCTTTTACTCTCGAAAAGAACCCAGTATCATACAGTGTGAGATGGAAAGAAAGCTCATTTGTATTTGGGTAACAGCAACAAGGTTTTTTCCTGACTAATAACTGGACATATGTTTGTGGTAGTGCTCACATTTGACCACTGTTTCCTGATGCAGATGTCCTTGAGATATTGTCATATCTTCATTCGAGTCATATCTGCTTCTCTGATTGAAAAAATCTGAAACATTTTTAATATTCAAAGTTCCCTCAAGAAAGTATTTGATTGTGCTGACATTCCACACTGAAGCACATTGCTCTTAATCATGTGTCACCGTGGAGCAAATGGTAGTATTTCATTTTGAGCATTATCCAGTTAAAATACTTGCTGCTCATCAACCTTTGGGTGGCAGCAGAGAACCAACATAGAAAATTAGACAGCATTTGAAACGGATGACAACACTTCGGTAGTGAAGCTTTGCATACAAAAACTGACAAAAATGCATTAAGGGTAAAATTGATTTTATTTCACCTGCAATAAATGTTTGTTTCCAAAATTGTAGAGAAAAACCAATTAAAGATTTTTAATCATTTTGACGAAACCAAGTTGAATTTAATTCTTATGAAGATGATTGGCTTCCTCACAAGGAGGTGCTGCTGTTGATTCGGTGGGAGCAGGAATCTGAGACAAAGAGGAATAAGGATCAGTGCATGGTTAAATCAGGGTAATATTTAGGTGGAACAGGCTGAATCTGTCCACATAAATCATATATTCTTACCTGAGTGTCCACCGAGGGCTTGGCTGTGTTCTCAGATTTTACAATCTGACGCTAGAGAGAAACACATTAACATTTACATTTAATTCACTTTTACATCACACAACGTATGCATTGCTGAGTTCCGTTTCATCACTTCCTACCCTGAATCTTCTGAGTGGATCAGGCTGAAAAGGTGGCTGTTGTTGCATGGCAGCACCTGCCATTACCTAAACAACAATAGCATAGGAGCAAGAGTTAGTTAGTTATTTCTGATTTCTTACATTTCTATAAATGGTGATCTGCAGTGAACTCATGTTAGGATGATTGCTTACCATCTGAGGTTGTTGAAAAGGATTCATTGGAGCCATTTGGGGGGCACCCATGAAAGGAAACTGGTTGCAAATGATAAATATATTTTTTCAAAATAGTTTTTTTTTGCATTTAAAAACAACATTAGGTGAGATTACATTATGTGCCACACTAACCGCATTGACTGGTGCTGCAGGGTACACATTAGGAATGGCCGCTCGGACAGCAAAGGCAGGAACCCCAGGCACAAACTGTTAGAGAGAAATTTGTGCCACACATTAAATTTGGTGCACTGTTTGTCCTTACATGTTGATGATAGCTGAAGAAAGCCATGGCATGACTGGTGACCTTAAATACTAACTTGAGCAAACTGGGGCTGCCCGATGAAACCTACTCCGCCGCCTGCCACCAAAGGTTGGTTTAAACCTCCAACCATATTCCCGTTGAGCATTCCTGCATTCATAGCTGCCAACAGCCTGGCCGTCTGCAGAGAGTAGTCAAAAGATTTTCACACTGGCCATGGCCTTGTTTGAATAACAGTATTAGATATTCATACCATGACTGTAACTTACCTTGCCTGCATTGACCTGCAAAGGACAAAGAAATAACATGTGATTGGGAAAATAGACTGCCAGACAAACAAACACATAAAAACACAACCACTTACATAGGAGAAGGTGGCCACAAAGACTGTGAGGAGAAGAAATTTCATTTTGTTGCTCGAAACAGCAGTTTGAACAGCACTTTTTGCCTCAAATGTCCTGGGTCAACTGTAATGCTGTATTTCGAACACCTTTTTATCAGTCCTAGAGATTATTATGAGCCAATTAGAGAGGAGAAGACGGACCTTTTCAAACACCATGTTTGTCACTCGTGTGTCATGTGAACGTGTGACATGACATCTTCAACAATGCAGACTCCGAAAAACCGTAAAACTGCGATTGCCCATTTTTCAAGGACTTCGCTGCATTCAGTAATCTCACCATTGTTCTCCGTGCAGCTGAGTGACCACAAAAAAATTGCAGAGTGATTCAGTGTGTTGAGGCTGGTCTGTAAGGGGTTTTCAGAGGCCGCTTTCTTAAAACCCATAAGAACCTTTTAAATGGTGCGGGTTGCGGATATGGGAAGAAAACACCTGACGTCATCAACACATGCTTTTGCAGATTAGACCATGACAAGCACATTTGCCAGCGCACTGAAACTGGAATCAAGCATGTAGGAAGCAGAATAACATCTTATGATTTAATTAATGCTTAGAGTGCAATACAATGCGGTCAACTGCAGCAATGTAGCAGTGACAATGATTCATTTTTATGTAGAGCACTTTGAAAACCTGCTCACATCTAGCTTTATTGGGGGGGGGAACTCTTAATTCCAGTTTTTCAATTATGACAAAGAGCATTGGGATTTCAAAAACCTACTCTTTATAAAAGAGTTTTAAAAACAGTGTACAAATTTGTAGCCCAGAAAAAACAGCGCTGTGATCCACAATAAAATCATAGATTACAATGGAGAAAGGTGTTTTTGTTTGTCATATTTGAGATGATTCTCTTTATTAGATTATCTATTACTTATTTAGATTAGATAACTCCAGGAGAGGTAGAGTATATCTTTTAGAGATCTATTAGCAATGAAATAATTCTGACCGGTGGTGGAGTGTGAACATAGCTCAATCGAACCATTCATTTCATTCTAATATGTGTCATGCCACTACATGGTATAGCAAATATATATCATGAGAGATATGGAGCCTTCTGGGTTTGTTGGCCAGTTAAAAAGGCCCAGGGTTGAGGAAGCTACACATGCTTTGTGTTTGTTGCTGCCTTAGCTACATATTAGTAAGCCTGCATCGAATGTTTTAGGTTGTGAAAAGGGACAAAAGAGCCAAGCTAACTGCAGCTCAGTACGAGACTCATAAGTAGATAGTTAAGTGGGCTACAAACTGTGTTTGAGTATTGAAATAATCCTATAAGATAGATAACTGAACAATTAAGAAAATAGAAGAGGGCAACAAAAGCCTTAATTTAGGGTTGATTTCAAATTTCTGACAGTTGACTTGTCTCCTGTTACTTAACTTTGCTCCCCCATAACAGTTCCTTCCATTCCAAAGAATGTGAGTCTTCAAAGTAGTAGAAACACCCTAATCCTCCAGGGAACAATATCGTCAAGACCAGACAGACATGCTTTATTAAACATAAAGAACAAATGAGTCAGAAAAAACGTATCCTTTTATTATGAGAGGAAGCAGCTATATATTTCCACAGAAGCAGTAAACTGAGATGGAGACAAAGATAATGCAAAGGTGAAATACTTTCCTCAGGCGACTGCTTTTAATTTAGGATGAGCTTGTGACTGCCTGAATTGTCTAGTTTTCATGTGGCCTTGCTTTAGGACAAACACAAATGCCTCTACACAAAAACATGCATGATATGTCTTGTTTTATCTGTACTTCTTCTCGACACATATGGGAACCATTGCAAGCTTTCCCTGGGTGGTTTGCTCATTATTTTGTCTCATCTGAGGCTGTCTGGGGACGGTTTCTGCTGCTGACTGAGCCACCCACAGCCAGCCAGGTAAACACCATGTGGTAAGTCTGGTCTGGAACTTTAATCATACACTGTCATGTTTTCTAATTAAGGAAGTTTTTCTCCTTTCTTGGTAGGGTTGAATTTTGAGAAATTTCTTCTTGATCAAATAATTAATTCTGTCAGTAGTATGGATCACAATGAATATCTCTGATATAATATTGCACATTTTAAACAGAACTTAGCAATGATGTTAACGTTTAGGGTGTGTACAAGCTCAGAGATTTAAGTGATGCAAATCATCTCTGAATTGTAAACAGAAATTTTGTGCATGTTTTTAACTTATGCCCACACAAAACCTAACAGCTGTCTCTGGAGCTGAGCTCTGGACAGGTGATGTATGTTTGCAACTCAAGGAGTCAACAAGCTGTCAACAGTCATAAGTTCAATCATTTATTGGTTGTTAATCATGTTAACAATCATTTACAAAGCCAAAGGATGCTAATAATGTGACAGTTTTTAATCAAGTTGAAGAGATAAATCATGAAACTTCTGTTGGAGCCGCGTGGCCTCATCATGATAGTTTCTCCTCCGTGTCTATCCCGGAACCTTCTTCCTCCTCTTCACCGCCCACAACCTTCACCGGACGATCATATTTCCTCCTGAAACGAGCGGCCAGCGAGCGCTGAAACCTCACCCGTCCTCTCGGGTTGGCGTTCGGCTGCTGCTGGTTGTTTGGACCGGCCACTGAGATCAGCTGCAGTTGGCCGGGAGTCAACACGGCAGGCGGAGGTTCCATTCCGGCGTTAAACTGAGGCAGCACGGCAAACAGTGTCACCGGCCCACCCCCGGTTTGCTGAGCCACCTGCCCTTGGACATTTGGATTGGCTCCACCTGCCTGCCCCAGGAGAAAGGTTGCACCTTGCTGGAGAGCTGAAATGGGGATAAGCGGATGCAGTAGAGCCTGGCCTGCAGGGGTCCCAACCGGCTGGATAAAAAGTGACCCACCGAGCTGGACTATTCGTGCCACTGTAGGTTCGCCCATTAGTGGAACTCCATTTTGAGCCCCAGCATTGGCTCCATTACCAGCTGCTGCTGACGCCATTCCATTGTTATTGGCTCCCCCTTTCATAGGTGCCTCAGCACTCCCAGAGGATGCCCCGCCGTACACCACAACAGCCAGCATCTGAAAAATAACCCACCACATGCAATACATGTTTTGTCTCGGTGACAGAAGACCGTCGACAGGTGTACAGCTGCCTCTTACCTTTTCTTATATAGAGGGTGTCAGATTCAGAGATCAACCGGAGAGGTCCAATCAGAATCCTACGCTTTATCTCAAAACAACAAGTCACTGTAATCATAATGACTAAGCTACAAGCTATTTTTTGTTTGGTTGCCTTACAGAGGGCCATTACTCAGGATTAAGTGGCAAACCAAAACCACACATGGGTGACTTGCATTTTCAGTCCCATTGCTGGGGACATATATTCTTGTCATGAAAACACACAGACACAATGAATACAACAGTGGGAACCAGTGTTTATCATGCACTTTTTGGGGGCTCAAGGGATCCACCAGTGTGATACAATGACTTTATTTCGGAACTTTAAGGATACACAAGTCATTATTAGTGATACACATTCATATTCTATTGTAATACTGTTATGGCCTAACACCACAAGAAAGTTTAAACCTTTTACTACCAATACAAGCAACATTGACTGATTTACAGCACATCTGTAACACAATACTTTGAAATTAAGCGAAACCTTTACGGTTTTTAGGGTAATCCAATCCAAAAAGATACCAAAACAGTCAGTGCATGTCAAACACATTTTCTACTGATAAGCTATAGTAAGCCAGCCCTCAGTTCCCAGTGCTTTAAACCTTAAACTAGCTAAAAGTAACTCTTAACTATATTTAAATGTGCAATTCTACTTTCTTTATCTAATTTACAGATAAGCAAATTGCTTGTCCAAGCTTTGCTTTACACAAGGTAACAGAAATAAAAACCAAAGCTTGTCTTTTGAAGCAGGAGGTAAAAGGAGTTTTTTTCAGTTGTAATCGTGTGTTCAAGAGACAGATGGTTCATAACAAAGCTTCCAAAAGTGTGTGTGGGGAATAAGCTGAGTAAGTTTCAGAAAAGCAGGTTGACATCCATGTCGTCTGTAAAGAAAAAAAGTACAATTAAAAAAGATGGCTGAAAAATGATTTTGCAGATTAGAAAATATACCGCTCAATATATATATTCTCATGAATGCTCTTTTTCATGATAGTCAATAAAAACAAAGCAACAGAGGACCTAATATAAGAATTTTCTTTTTTACAGTTATCAGGTCAAATATTTTTTTTCTTGCGCTCACCATTTTTTATACCAAAGCAGGTGGTCCACTCTTTGAAGGAAACCTGTTTGTCTTTGTCTGCATCACACTCCTGGAAGAAAAGAGAGGTGCAGTGTTCCATGGGCACCAGAGGGACCCTGAGAGGGGCCAGCTCTGAATGGGACAAGAACCTGCACAAAGTGAGAAAAGAGTGGGGTTTGATCACATGTAGCGTGCACGGTGTGCATCATTACTAAGCAATATGTGCACTCATCTACTGCAACAATATTGGCTTTTGAACAAATGTAATAATTATTATCATTTTCATTAAAGATCTTTACCAATACTAATTTTAGAACCCTAACAAAACAGTGAAAATATTTATATGGAAAACCATGCACAGAATTACAAGAAAAATAGGCACTAGATGCTATTGAATAAGACTCTGACACTAACACTAAGGATAATGAATAGTATCTATCAGCGAGCAATACAGGTGATATGTAAGCTATACATCTATAAATTATGCAGACAAATATTTTTTTGTGGTTTTCTAAATAGAGAGTAGTGTCAAGCTGTAGAATCCTTGAATTACTTATATAAATGTACCTGTCAGATGGGTGCTGGTCCAGCTGAGCAAATTGCCAGTGCACCGGGTAAATGTACATGTTGTAGTTCTTCTCGAAGTCCTGAACAAGCAGCTCAACAGAGTGGTCACCAGCTTGAAGACGTCTCTCATTCTCAAAGATCTTCTTCACCTGCAAGATACATGACATCACTGCATGCTGATTCTTTTTTGCTGCTTCTGACAACATTTACCCATTCATCTTACACAAGTTCTTTAAAGATCAGCATCTGTTTCTCTTTTAAATATTGTGGTGGAAGATTTTTTCTTTTCTCCCTTATCACACTAATGCTGCTGCTGATGTTCAATAACTAAGGCTTTCTGATACGTAAAGCGTGACAATTGTAAAACTGCCATAAAGACACTCATACCAAATCTAATCCAATTATTAGCAGAGTTACTGGGCCTGAAGGTTTTGGGGGATCCCAGTCTCAAATATGAATTGTTTTAGCTATTTTTGCAATAATCATTTTATGTTTTGCGCCTTACTCTAAAACGCTGTTTCGGGGTAAGAAAGCCAGAAGAGACTGTGTCCTGCTCATAGAGCTGCAGCAGCACATTTTTCAACCAGTCCCTCATTCGCAGTGGGAACTGGATCAGTTCGGTCTCCACGCATAGAGGTATCACTGGGGAGGAGCAAGGCAGAGAACAAGAGAGAGTTTTATTTGCCACCACCATGGTTAAAATGTTAAGCTTGAACACGGAGGTCAATAGAGAAGGTAACTCTTACATTTGCATGAGCCAGTGTAGTCCAAATGAAGTCTTTGGCCTCTCTTAGTTCCTTCCAAGTTGCATTTAGTAGCAAAGAGCTCACATGATGTATCATATGTTTGGTTGTCTGTTCCACAAACCTAAACGGAAACAATATTATCAATATGAACTCATCCCTATTCTAAGATTTCCATTGTCACATGCAGGTTCCACATACTTACATGATCAAATTCATTTACGCTGCGTGGGCATTCTGCTGGCTCTTGACACACGCAGCTTGGCTTACTGTCTGCATCAAGTTTACATGTTTTACCACGCTTACAACGGAAATTGTCACATGGATCTAGAGGGGGTACAAAACAGAGAAAAATTCAAGTTCATTCTGACTTTTCACCGATTGCAAACAATAAAACAAGCAAGCAAATGAAAAGAAAACATTTTTATTCAGTATTTTTTCTGGCAGCGGTAATGTGAGGGATGGATGTTCTGCATCATCCTCTGTCCCTGGAGATGCTGTCGTGATTAGATTAAACTTGATCTCACTTATTCACTCCGTAAGCCTGCGGAGCTGTGTTTTGGTAGAGACTGTGAGGCAGAGTGGGCACAATTCATGTGGAAGGTGGAGTAAAAACAACCCGGTCAGCAGATTCCTCTGACACTGTTGGGATAGTGCATTTATCAGGCAGTAGTGAACACTGCTGACCAGACTCCATGGAAGACTTTGTATTCAACAGAGACAGGTTTTCAACATGGAATATACTTTTGTGTATAAAGTATCAAGCAACAGGTGACCGATTCTATATATTCTTGTACAGATAAATGTATTCTCCCTTTTTTTGTTGGACTTTTATTTGACTTTTTTTAATAGTCTGAAATTCAAATGTGTTTATTCTAGTGAATGTGGTGATGGGGCTATATTCTTTACACTGCTGCACTCACTTTGGACTTTCTCATGAACTCTGACCAATTGAAATGCTATCATGAGGCTGTGTGTCCATCTAAAACACCAGCAAATCAAATCTGATACCGGGTGAAGAATATATGTTTAGAAATGTGCAAGAGTTGGAATAACAACTGATACGAACCAGGGGGAGAGCTTGGTTGATATATGGCCCCGGCAAAAGAGGACCTGGACTCAGGATACAGATCCACTGCTCCTCTTATCTGCACTGGATTCACACCCACTAGAGGACCCTGTAAAAGTCACAAACATGTAATGAATGATACAATATCTGAATGGTGATTGCTGTATTTGAGGCATTGTTGTGGTACTGGCTGTAATCATAGTTATGGCATACACATTTGTTACCTTTTTCTTATTTAAAGTATTTTCTGCTTTTTATTGATTTTACAGATGGTTTATTTTAAAATGGCATTTCTGTTTAGACTTTGTAACTCTTTGGCATGAAAAGCACTGTAAAGGGATAATGTTGACGGTATGGTTTAGTTGCTGAGGGACATATATCTCTTTAAACCAAAAGGATAAAGTTAGAACACAACAGAATTATTTTAAACCCTCCACAGACCTGAAGGTTTGGGGTTTATAAGGAAGTTGAATGCATTACCCATTTTCCTGCCCTTCTCCTCTTTGTCTTGTGAACTTTATTCTCCTTGTTTCCCTCAGACTCCAGATGATCCTGTTGACTCTGTTCTTGTGCAGGATGGCTCTCGTCTCTCTGTGGAGAGTGCTTCCTTGCCCTCTGGTTTTTCTTCTGCTTCCTGGTCTTGCCCTTGTTGTTATTTCCACTTTCATTCTTACTCTGTTCTTCTTCTTTTCCAGGCAGTTGAGAGCTTGATTCAAGACCTGCACTGCTCTTTGGCTCTTGAGGGTCCATGTTTGACTTCTTACGTATGCTGATTTCTTTAGATGATAATTCTTTATCGTTGTTCGGATCAGGGACTTCTTCCCCTTCTACTGCCTCAGTGTTTTGCATGTCTTGATCATATACCTCACCAATACTCAGGACCTCTTTTTCAGTGGATTTCTTATGTTCTGGAATGTCTTCTTTGGAAAAAGACTGGGTGCTATTAGTTGGGGAGTCTATTTTAGCTGATTCTATTTCAACAGGTTGTAGAATTCCACTGTCTGAAGCATAATCTAGATCAGCTGGAATCTCTGATTCGGTGCTACTCTCTGGCTCTTCCAGCAGTACCATCTTCTCTTCTCTTCCATTATTTTTACCAGCAGATCTGAGGGGCATCTTTTTGACCTCCTTCACTACTTCATCATCCAAGCTGCCATCATTCGCTTCCTCCTGTCTTTTTGCCTCGGTAACTAAAGCTTTGTCCCACTTTTTCTCCTCTCCCTCAGTTTCCTTATCCTGTATCCTCGTATCCTCCCCAGCTTCTTCATCCTCCTGCGCTCTTTCTCCTGCTTCTGCTTCTTCTGCTTCTGCTTCTGTTTCTTCTTCCTCTTCTTCCTCTTCCTCCTTCTCTTCTTCTTCTTCTTCTTCTTCAGCCTCTTTTTTCAGGAGGTCTACCAGCTCTTCCTCACTCAAAAGAACAGCAGTGCTTTTCTCCCCCGTTTCAGTCACCTCTTCATCTTTGGTCTTAGCATTAGCATTACCCTCTGAGCTCAGTTCCTCAACCTCCTGCTCTTGGCTGCTGGCCCTAAATGTGGCTAAAGTGGGTAAGACCTGAGGGTCATTGGCCTCTTCTGTGAAAACATCCTATACAAAGAGAAAGTTGGAACATTTATATTATCAAATGAAATAATGCATTACTTTTTCTGACAATTTTTGAAAGGATTTAATTAGCTTTTCAACCTTTTCTTTGGCCATGTGTGAGGTTTTTTGCTGTCCGTGATGTTTTCCATGAGGTTTACTTTTTACCTTAACACAATGGGAATGATTATTAATTATCATCTTGCCAAAACAAAGACAATATTATACCTTTATTAAAAGTATTTTGTCATCACTTATTTTACCTAGCAAATAGAGGGAAATTATAGTCTTGTTACTCACAGTAATGGCGAGACTTGCAGCCATGAGGCAAATGAATAAGCAGCCCCTCATACCTGGAACACTGAAATAGTGTCAACAGTATATCACAACAAACATATTGTCATTAGAAGTTGCGGAAAGATGGATGACAGGGAAGCAAGCCAACCTCCCAACAAGGATGTGAACTTGCCCGTTCTTTCAAAGCTGAAACCACTTTGAAAGCATCTGTTTGCTGCCAGCACATTCATGACTGGCAAAGCTGTGGGGCTGGCTTCCACTGTCGTCAAGGCTACGGGCCTCTGAGATGCTCCCGGCTCTCAAAAGTCACATTCAAGACTAAAGTAAACATTAGCAGCTACCAGACTGGAAAAAAGTTGACTAAGTCCACAAACTTTTTGACTCTCTGGTCAGAAACAATGGAGATATTACTGGCTCTGTCAGTGAAATAATACCAATACAGGTCAGAAAAGTTGGCCAAGTCATATATCAACATATAAATTCTTTAAAAGCATGAAATAATGCAATGTTTTTTTATATAATTCTGAAGCAACGCTGACACACGCTAACATAGATACAACATATGCCACATGATTAGTTATTAGTAAGTTATCTTACACTATAAAAAAGCATTACTTTGAGTAGGCAACATTTTAAAACTTTCTGAGCACCCAATGTCCATATCTGAAAATAAATAAATAAATGAAGGAAACGATTGTCAATGTTGTATCAAAGTAGAAAACTTTCTCCAAAGAGGCCTTTGTGATCCAAAGTCGAATAATGTTGCATATACCGTAAAATGGTCGGCAGACAATAAACTTCTCACACAAATAATGCAAAGGAGTGCATAAAAACTCACAAACTGGACTTTACCTGCGGCCGCGAGAAACAAGGAAAAAAAGACTCCCGTGCAAATACCAGTATGTGTTTAACCTACAAAGATGCTCTTGCGTATCCAGGACAGAACACACAGACCACACTAAATGGCATGGTGCATACACACACACGCATGCAAACTTTTTTCCAGGGTCTGGGATGTCACTTCTAACTTTGGGAGGGTCTTTGGGCCATGGACGCAGTGAGAGAAGTCCCACACTGAAATTCAGTTGGGTAACCTGCCAATAAAACAATACTCTGACTAGTTGAATTTTACTATCACAGACATGTTAAGGTCTCATTTTGTAGTAAGTTTTATGATTGTATAAATATCAAAATGTGTCAGTTTATATCGATAAAATCAGTATAAACCAATGTGACCCAGTGGTTTTACAACTAAAACAATGTAAGATCTTGGCCACTAGATGTCCCTCCATCACAAGGCTGCATTCCACAATGTTAGTGATCTCTAAATGGGCCAAACATTTTCCCAAAAATACAACAACCAATTTCTTTATTGTGGTTCCTCCTGATATAGGAGTTACAATATTATGATGTCAACAATATTATATTATCAGATCTAATCATAAACAGAAATGTGGGCCTTTACAATCACTGGCCTTTTAGTCTTTTGGAAGCTTCTAAACATTTTTTTCAAATAACAAATTTACACACATTCATTCAGCACTTCTTAGTTTGTGTAATATAAATGTATCAGGGGATATGCAGTGCTTTCACTCTATGACAATAATTTAGACACCCATGAACAAGCATGTACGTGTTGCGGTCTAGAGAAGCTGCAGACCAAACTTTACAACAATGTCTCCTCCCCCTGATGAAGACTTTCCCATCACATTGTTTTTTTCTTGGGAAACAGGATGTTAAATCCATGAGTGAAAATGGTGGAACTAAATAGGATATCCTAATGTGGTGAAATTGGTCATAGTGCTGCCAATAAAAGGGGAAAAAATTGAGCTGAACAATCCCAGAGATCTATTGCTGAATGGGTGATTCAGCTCAATAACATGGCAAGAACATAGTGGTTTGACTGTTTCACAAGCTCTGTCTCGAGAGACCAAAGTACAGAATGGCATCTGCTGAAACCCATAATTGTGATAGGCGTAATGTCTTTTCTGAGTGGCGGTTCAGATTGTTGCAAAATATCCAAGTCTGAGCGGGCTGTTTGTACTGGCAGAATAAGGGGATTTATGTAAAGGTCAGTCTCATAACCTAAAGTTAACTCTGTGCCTTGGTCATTCTGTCCTCGATGAATATCACACTGCACACTGTGGTGGCAAACAGGATGCAGAACCAAGCCACTAACTGGGTGTATCATGGAGGACACGGCTTCATTTAAAACTGGAGGTTGTCTTTTTTATGCAGGGTTTATAGATAAACAGAGCTAATAAACATAATTGAGACCAAATTAGGAAAAAACACATGGAGTTGCTTTATCTAATTTGTCTGTCTCAGTATTATTCAGTCTGTTAAACCTTCAAAATGGAAACTTTTTCAGTCATTTTCATATGACCTAAATGTTCCACAATCTGCTTCGCAAGACAGCAGTTTGAAGCTGCGTTTCATCATCAGGTCTGTTGAAATGCATGGGCGGCCTCCTGATCACACAGCAAAATATGGAGAATTCTGGAGAATATTGTTTTCATTTGGGTCTGTGCCTTTCTGAACACATGTACTTTTTATTACATGTACTTTTTTGCGTTGAGACGTCGTCTTTAGGTCTAAAGACAGAGAAGTGTCTTTCTAGATCACCTAGGAGGATTAATGTGATGTGAAAGCTACACTGTGGAAATGGTTGTGTTTTGTTGACTAAACATCATCATTAACAGATGAGAATTATTTTTTATTGAGCTGTCTTTACTGACATTTATACAACATGAATTATAATATATCCAAAATGAGAAAAACAACAACTATGGAACGCTTTTAAAATCAGTTTTTTTAAAACAGTGACCTGGGGTTGTTATCTGTTATCAATTTCAAGATATAAGAGTACCCGGCCTTTCTCTTTGTCCTGATGTAATCTTAGCTATTACAGAAGGTTTAGTGAGTTTGATTGGTGAATAGTGTTTACTATCATAACTTGGGTGATCGGTAGTCATCGGGACAGAGAGGGAAATCCCTTCTTTATCCTTGAACATAAGGCGAAAATATTAGCAAAAATAAACTTTGATGATTGCTCTTTTGTGAGTTGTATCAGTGAAAAGTTTGCATCAGGTGCTCGGCGGAAGAGATTTATACAATGTTAACTTAACTTATCCCGGGGGGAATACTTGGGCTTTGTTGACTGACTGTGTGCCATAACAAGCATCAATCATCCTATCTTTACCCCTCCCTGGTGGTTTTGGCGGGTAGCTCTGGACTGGTGAACATCCAGGCTAATTACAGGTTCATTCCGCTCAGTGAAAATCCAATGTGGTGTTCAAACAAGGAATCCTGTACTCTTATTTTGGGTCTGTCCTTATAAGTACTTCCAGGAAGCAATTATGAGTCTTGGGTAGGAAATATAGATTTCTTTATTTAGACCGTCTACTGTACATGCTTTAATTCCAAGAAAGGGTCAAGTCAAACAACAAACTGCATGAAGTGAAGTGGAAATACAGAAATATTATAGCAAATTGAATCAACAGTTTATATAGATGTAATGGGAGTCTCAAGTCATTTCAAGTTATCACCATCACAATCAGCTTTATGAGCTGTACAGTTCATTGTTCAAAAAGTTCCAAATTATTATGTAGCCCTTGCACGACCGTGTCAGTCATTACTACACAACAATTAAATCTCCAGCCAGAGAGAAAAGGAATAACACTAATTTCTCCGGAAACGAGCAAGTGCAGTGCTGACCTGTCTAGCCCTATTTTGCTCCCTGAGTGGGTGAGTTTGTTTTCTCAACAGGCCACAAACCATATGGTTTAGTAGGCTAAACTATATTTCTCTTAAGACTTGAGAGGGGGTGGAGGAAATTTATATGAGACTGAATGAAACCGTGTGTGTGTGTGTGTGTGTGTGTGTGTGTGTGTGTGTCTGTGTGTACGTGCAATCATCACGGTCCCAGTATGAGTTTGTTTGGAACTCGCTTTCTGCAACAAAAAAAAACACACACACCTTCGTGCGTCGGCATGAAAAAGAGAGAGACACCCGGAAGGAAGTGATGCAATCATCTTAATTGAGCTTACATATATACAGTAGTGGCTGGAGTGGCGTGCGGCATATCCACACGTTGTCCTTCCAGTGCTCCGGCTGCTTGGATTCTCCTGTTCGCTGATACATACAGGACCACAGTCAAAGAAGCTCCGAGTCCAGCACATTGGAAGGTAACTGTTTCGATCAATCATTGTATCTCTAACTCTGTGTTCTTGTTATAGGATGTTTTTTTTAACAGCATTATCAAGTACTGCAAAGGCAAACCTTACTTGATTTTTATTTACTTTGATTTATTCTATGTGTATTAACCTTAAAGAGTTCAAGTGGAAGAAAAATGTATGTTCTCGGGGAAAATAATGTTTTTGCATTGACGTTTTTTGGCATTACAAGTCATTTTTCTGTGTGATGTCTGCCAAAAAACAACAGAATTAATTCACCTCAACAAAATATAAACAGAATATTTCTTTTGCAGGATGAAGGTCACCTTTTTAACATTTTGCTTGATTGGTTCAGTTTTTGCAAACCCAGTAAGTGTAAAACTCTAATGAAAAATCTTTCATCCTTTAACATGCTACAGAAGTTATGTCATTTTCAAGCAGTTTTTCATGAATTGTTATACTTAAATTATAAGTTTGATACTAAATTATCTTAAGATACAAAGTATTTTCCTTAAGATGAAAGAGAGCAGTCTTGTCCTATGGTGTTCCCTTTATAAACTGTGAGATAGATTTACAATCCACAATCATTTTGTACATGTCAAAGCTACTTGTATATCGGGAAATTAACCTAATTGTTCTCCCTGTTTTTTTATTAAAGATTTTTCACAATGTCTGGGTTTCCAATGAGCTCGATTCTAACTCGGTAAGTCGCAGCAAAGTGTACTTGAGTCCTTTTAGAACAATACACGGGCCTAACCAGACAATAATTTATTTCTTTATAAGGGAGACTGCATTCCTCAAAGTCAGCATAAAACTTAACAATAGGTGTGGTACAGACCTCAAGACCATCCCCATCAATTCCCATCAGAAACTATTGTTTATTATGACTATGTCTATCTGCAGTCATTTATAGAGCAGAAGATTTCCCCAAGCTAGGTTTGACATGATCTTGGATAAAAAATGACTGTGATGACTGTTGATGTTGCAGTTATGAGGTATAATTAAATGCTTGGCTGTGTACTTATTTTGCTTTTCTTTCTCTAGACTGAAAGCTTGTCTGTTTCACAATCTTCTGAAAACAGCACCTCAGAGCTACAGGTAAATTACACCTTTGTTTGAGTATTAAGAAAACGATCATTTCCAGACTTTTTACATAATTTGTTTTGGGGGATTTTCAGCTTAATTTGGTTCTATTGTCATTTTTGTTATACAGAGCTCAGAGGAAAACACCTCAAATCAAGTGAGTTTAAAAATCTGCAGTTCATGTAAAAAAGATTTAACATATAAAAACTTCAGAAAGACAAAGAACTAATTTTGTCACTTTTTTCTCTTTTCTACAGAGTTCGGAGTCTGAATCGTTAGAGTCTACCTCAGAAGACACGGTGGGTTGTATAAGCAACTGCTCTGACTTTATTCTGTCCAATTTACATCTCGGACATTAATTCATGGGTTTTGACCTCTGTGCTGATATTTTAAGGTGTGTTTGTTTAACAGGATCAATTTTATGTGAAAAAAAAGGTTTACCAAGGTGTAAATGGAGTAATTAAAAAAAGAACAAGACAGATCTTTAGTATAGAAAGCATCAGGCTTTTAAAGAACACAATGCAAATGCTCAGGGTCTAAACATCATACAGTAACAGTACTTTGGTTGTAGCATTTTTCCGTATTTCCCTGCAACATTAATAAATCCTTGCTTTCCTAACTGTGTTTCTTTTTTTACAAACAGACCTCAGAGGAGAGTAACAGTGAATCAGATGAAGACAATGTGGTAAGATTAAAACGTCTTGTAATTCTATCATAAGTTTATTTTCCAATCATTGATAAACATCAGATTCTTATTGTGACATCCTGTTGGCACATTATCCATTCTTAGGCAGATTCTATGGCTGAAAACCAAGATAACAGCATGGGAAGTGAGGAGAATGTTCGAAAGGTACGTTTTTCACAACATTTCCAACCGTGACCTGCTTCAGCTTAAGTCCGCTTTAAAGCTTAGTGACACCGTGCCATGCTTACTCCTTGCAGCAGAGTTGGGTGAGGGTGTTTGCGAGTGTCGTCAAAGTTCTGAGCACGGAGGACAACACGAGCGCGGAGGTCAAAGGTCACTCCGACCACCTGAGCAACGAGCTGGCCATCAACCCCCCATCTCACACCTCCACCCAAAACAAGGCCCTGGAAAGCCACGCGAACCTGCCGCTGCAGAACAACCCCACAGACAGCAGCGACACAACCAGCGACAGCGCGGAAACCAGCGACAGCACGGCCGCCACCAGCGACAGCAGCCAGAGCACCAGCAGCGAGAGCCAGGAGAGCAACAGCAGCGAGGACAGCGAGAGCACAGAGGACAGTAACGCCAGTGACAGCACCGAGCTGCAACAAGTCAAAGACTGTGTGAATGGCACACAGAGCTGTGAGAGCCAAGAAGATTTCCACCAGAGTGTAGGGGACGATGCCCACTTCTCATTGGATCATATGATGGTGCCAGATGAGGATGACAGAGAGTTCAGGCTGAGGAGATGATGACATGCACACGTGCAGCTTCAGAAGCACTACAAAAGGCCAGCCTAAAGACTTAGAGATGACAGTTGCTTGCCATCTCTTCTGAACGTTGATTATGGCATTAGACTACCTGTAACTGATAGAATCTTGTGTGTGAAAATGAGAGATTTACCCTGAGCAATTGCTTTGATATTTATAATTAAAAACTTCTAACATAACCATGGAATCTCTTTTTTTTTTTTTTTATGATTTACCACATCTATTTTCAGCGTCCGGGGCTGAAATGTAGTATAGTCTACGTTGCCGTTTTACCAAGCAACACATGGCCGGTTAGCTCAGTTGGTTAGAGCGTGGTGCTAATAACGCCAAGGTCGCGGGTTCGATCCCCGTACGGGCCACTAAACCTTTTATTTTTGTAAAATAAAACATACATTTATATCTTTATCTATATAAAATTGAGGAAAAAAGTATTATGCTGCGTTAGGTTGGCAGACCATATCTTGTACCGGGAAATAAATTAATGCTGATCCCATGCCATTCCATTTTAAAGTTAGACACTAGGTGGCAACAGATTGTTTATATCTCTACAACACATGTAAGCCAATTTTTTTATTTGGTTATCATGTTGAATGAGAATGAAATTTTAGGGCACTGCCCTGCTTATGTGGTATGGTAAGTCTTGAAGAGGTGTGGTCTGCCATTGTCAGTAGAAACAATATGACGAAATGAAACTATTTTTAATGTTTTGGAAATAAGTGGCAGAAAAATAAAAATGAGTACATAATTAAACAATGGATAAACCAAAAACAATTTTCCTTAATACAGATATGGTTTTCAAAGCTTAGCAAGAGATTGTTCACATGAAGCATTGAAAGATTTTTACTTTTCATTTTGTGTGAAAAAAAGCACTTTAATTAAACATATCCAAAAATATGTTATATGTTTCACATGTAGGGATGATAACCTGGATCTCTGAACTTAACTGGCCTCTGGAAGAAAACTCAACAATGAACATCTATATGCTGACCTACTTCTAAGGTATAAAAAAAGGTTGAGTGCCTGTGACTTATACTGTGTTCCTCTGCATGTTTTCTTGAGCTTGATTCAACTTTAGATTCAGTAGCAAAAAGGAAAAAAAATAACTTCTTTGTGTTACAAACAATGAACCTCTTAAATATAAGCTCACAATATTATTTGGAAAAGTGAAACTTCAGGTGCTCCTTCAGAGCAGGTATAGTTTGAAGCTCTTTGCGACACACATGGCAGCAGAGTGGCAGTTTCAACAGTTCACTGGCGCCCTCCTTTACTGTGACCTTTCCATTTGCTTCAAGCATCTGAATGATCTCTGTTGGAAGAACAATACAGTAAAAAGGCAGAATAATTTTGCCAAATGACCAGAGAAAAAAACAAGTTAAATGGCAATATCAAAAATAAAATTTTCCATACCGTGAGAGTCAATGAAATAGTCTGTTGTGAAGGAGTTCCAGTGCTTTTTGTTCTTCAAACAAGGAGAGTCAAAATCTTGGCTTATCACGTGGAGGTGAACATGACTGGAAGAGATGTAAACAATATAAATATGTATCTTTTTTGCATGTATGATCAATCTCTGTGGACGTTACTGCACTTTTTTCTTTATTTAAAATAATGAATAACTTACAATCATAGCACACACAAATAATTCTGACCCAGTCTGTGTCTGTCAATGGTTGTTTGGGCTATAATTGGACTTGTGAAATTGACTTTTTTTACTGTGTACAACTAATTTTACAGTTCTGCAAAGTAGAGAGTTTCGATAAAATGTTTCACTAAATGTTATCCTGATCATTATTATTAGGCTCAAATGCTTGCCAACAGGTTGCTTTTAAGTGTGAGGCGTACAGTCACAGGTACTACAAGAGTGAGCAGCTTCATTAAGCAACAACAGGTTAACCCCAACTATAAGGCTCTCTATATAACAGCATAACTGAGAGAAGTAAGCATTCACCTCATACTTGGGATGGCATGGTAACCTGTGCGGAAGCCTAGTGAGTCAGAATCTGGACATTGTTGAACCATGCGGTCAGCAACCAGCTGCATGTGTTTCACCAGATCATAGTGCTCCCCACTTAAAGCCTTCAGGTTTGGAATCGACTGCCACGGAAGGACCAGCCAGTGGTAGCGAGCTTTGGGATATTTGTCTTTAATCACAACAACTTTATCATCTTTATACACCTGAAAAGAAATATGGAAAAAGTTCAGTGTAAAGACTCAGGCTTATTTTTGCTATCACTGCAACCATGCCACCTTCTTACAGAGCACCAACCTGCATCTTGGGGTCTTGCATAGAAGTCTTTAAACCTTGGCTCCAATGACCAACACTTACCTATAATAGGGAGCCACATGTATCAATTATCAAATGCTAGAAATAATTCGTGCTTCAATTTGAACGTATCAGAAATATGTATGTACACATCTTTTATTCTTACATTGTTTTTTGTAGTTTCTCCCTGACTGACTGAAACTGAATCTTCCTCTGACTGTTTAGCCACTTTCTTCATCTGAACAGCTTTCTGGCTTTTGCTGTCCTCTAAAGCCGGCTCCCTTGGTCTTTTAGTGCCACTGCTGTTCCCTGTTGGATCTTCCTTGAACTGTACAGTGTATGGGTAAAGCTGATTGACAACATGAAGATGCTGTCCGGGCTTTATTTTGACCTCATTGTCTTTACCCACCACCACAGAGTCTACAGAGGTGGGGTTTGAGCCCAGCTGTGAGAATAAAGATGAGATAGCATAGTTTAGTAATAGGTGGGTAATTAAAAAAAAATCCTTTTCAAATCCATTTGAACCCTTACAATATATATGATAAATAGTAATTATGTGCCCAATTTTCTCTTACCTGTTTAACTTTGACATAACCTTTGTTGCATTCAGCTGTCAGTTGAACTGGTTGGGAAACGATCATATTTTAAGAGGTTAAAGTTTCTTTTAAAAACAACGGGCTTTTACTTTTCTGTTTATTCAAACGCAAAAATGTATCATAGACTGAAGCTGACCTGACAATGGAAAAAATATAGATCCACATTTTCATAAACGTTGGTCATAAATTAGACATTTCATCGAGTTACAAATAGGTAAATGGAATAAATTAGAGCTATAGTCAATTGAAACCCGGCGTCAACCTTTAGGGCTCATATTAACTGACATTTCATTTTCCTAGTTTCTAGCATTGTTTTGAGCATGCTTACTTAACAGTGGGCTCTACTTGCTAGCAGTGTGACGGACTTAAATTTGATGTTGTTACCTTGCTGCCGAGAACATTTCTTGTCCTTAATTGTCGTTTCTGGGCCTCTACCCAACACAACTGTTTGTAAATGGGGTAAATGAATGGGTTTATGATTACCCTCATCGCTGACAAGCCAACAAGTTGGCATTTTAACATTTTATTAAGTTTTTCCAGTAGTTAGAAGCGCACCCTAACAGTCCACGTTTGATGAGGCGTCTGTTTCTCGTCGCATATAAATGACGTAGAGGGTCACAACGATTGTTGTTGAGCGGCAGAAAGGCGAGTTAGAAGATTCTCGAAGAGTCCGGGTAAACTGTCTTGTGAGGGCGCTAAGCGTTTTCTTCATATAAGGTTGGGAAAGGGTAATTATCGATACATGCTATATTTATACCAGAGTCAAATGTATACTTGGCCAAAGGTTGGGTAAACAACGAAGCTAGCATTTTGGCCTAACCAGGGCCAAGTAGCTTATTTAGCTACATAGGGCCAGATAATGTTCCAAATTGTGTCCCTCACGGAGGCTTTTGGGGTACAGAGGCAACATTCACGTAAAATTATGTGCATTTTTCGTTTGACGAGTAAAATTAGTCGCTGACAATTTTTTTCCTCCCTAATGTTTTAAAGCTCACAAATACTTTCTTACTTTTATCGAATGGAAACATCCCGTTCATAGAACCTTCATAAGCAGTTTCAGTTGGCTCATAAAGTAACCTCTGCTTTTATAATTAAACAAAAATGGTACCCTCCTGACCCTGAAAGAAAACAGTCGCTTTTCGGTATTGGAACGAGTTCGTTTTAAGTTTCTTTTCTGAGAAAACGATTTGTTTACTTTCCTTGAAACATTTATCAGAAGCCTCAGTCATATCTCATTTAACAAAGGGGAAAGGCTCATTTACTTCGAAATTAATCAGAAATGGATCAAGCTTACGTACATATCAAACATATCCCGTTTGTTACATCAGTGATTACATGTGGCTCTTAAGAAAGCACTTTCTTGTTGTTTCAGTCGCCTTTGCAAAATAATTAAGCCTTAATGGCAAAGTATATTATCTTAATGGAGTTTATCTCTAATCTGAAATATTTATTGTGAATGCCTACATGCGTTCTCACTATTGTTTTCCTGTTTCTCTTTATTATTATTCTATAATCCCTACGTTTTTTGGCCTCTAACTATGCCCACAGTTTTAAGCCGATCTCAACAAATAATGTATTAAAATGTTCAGCTTCTTCATTACATAACAGCTATGTCTTGTTGGTGTTAATATCTTTTCAACTTTTTAAAATATTCAACTTTTTCTGCTTTTTTCATCCCATTGAAATGAATATGGAAGCCTTCAAATCCTTCAAAAACTTTGTCCTACTTCAGCCTAATAAACAGACAGGCCAGTTGATATGCAACTGACATAACTTATTTATCCCCCTTTCAATTGATCAGATTTTTTAAAGCTCAGATGGTTCCATTAGAAGATCTTTATGTAGAGTAGCTGTAGTTAGTTTTGTCACAGAAGCTGGAATAAATATTTCAGCTTTAATTGTGTATATATTTTCTTTTTCTTTCCAAGGGTTATCAACATAGACAAACATGGTCAAGGAAACAGGCTTTTATGACACATTAGGTGTTAAACCAAATGCAACCCCTGATGAACTGAAAAAGGCGTATCGAAAGCTCGCCCTGAAATATCACCCCGACAAAAATCCTACGGAGGGAGAGAAGGTAAGTGCCTCTTCTTTAGCTTTGTCAACAAAAACAGCATTGATAGAGATGTCCTTTGATGTTTTTTTGTTTAATTCCATAGTTCAAGCAGATCTCACAGGCATATGAGGTCCTGTCCGATGCCAAGAAAAGAGAACTGTACGACAGAGGAGGTGAAAAGGCTATAAAGGAGGGAGGAACGGGAGGCGGTGGTGGTGGCGGTTTTGCATCACCCATGGATATCTTTGATCTGTTTTTCGGTGGAGGTAGTCGGATGCACAGAGAGCGAAAAGGTAAGCGACAGTTAGAAATATAACTTTTGTGAAATTTTTGAATTTCTGAAATATTGTGTGAGCGGTAAAGGAATATTATCATATTTCAGAAGACTGACATTTAGAGTTCTTGTTTAAACTACAATGGCAGCTTTTATGATCCTCCTCAGCACTAGTTTAATATCTAATATCTTGAACACTGTCGCTAAAAGGTCAGCTTTATAGCCAGTGGTTATATTGCACATTATATTACGCACAATGATATCATTATTTTATAAAATCTTTAGACTAAATAATGACAGTGTCCTCTCCTTATGTACCTGATCCAAGCTACACATTAGTGTAATCCGTGGTGGTAAAATTAGGGTGATGTTTTATCATCATATGTTGAGGGAGTATGTAATTTTGCTTGAAAAAATTATTCCGTTTGCTGTCGTAGATGAAGTAGGTCACAACATTTCAAGCATGTTCGTAAAAGTGTTTCACGTGTTCAGGAGCTATTAGAAAGGTATTGAATATAAGCCTTTGATTCCTGAAATCTCAACCGAAACAACTTAAGCAACATTTGTGTCACTGTAAGAAGGCATAATGTGGGTTTCAGAGGTTCTTCTTCTTTCGCTCCATCTACTTCAGACTGTCATCTCTAGTTTTCCTACAAGCAGCGCACAACTGTATCAGCTTCGCAGGCAGGAAGGAGTCGGTGGTCTACATGTTGAAAAATGTATTCTGAAGGTGTGGCAGCTTTTATTTAGCCATGGCCGGGATCAATTACGTGTAGCAGAAACCCTAGCTCCGCTGTGGCCAGTCTGTGAGAATGTTTGATTTCACAGTTGGGGGGCATTCATTCTGGTTTTGTCATCTTGGGACGTACCTGTTATGATGGAAAAACTGGCTTTCAGGTTACCAGCTTTATTTTTTGGCACAGTAACTGTACTGAAACAACTGCAGATCAGTGACATTCTTTCCTGACTGTTTACATCATATTGCTGGATTATTTGTCCCAGTTATTGAACAAAAAAAATAAGGGTTCATATATTTTTTGTTTATCATTACATTGTAATGGTTTTTATATGTTACAATATTCCAAAGGAAAAAAAAATGTTAACATTTATAATATTTTAGAAAACATGTAAATATATCGTTCTGGTTAGTATACACTGCCACATGTTTTTACCACACAGCATTGATGAGATCAAGCAAGAAACGGCAGAAAATTGATATCAGGAAATACTGTAATTATTGTTATGGGATAAGAGAAAGAGTCCTCGGCCTTTTCCCAGTCTCCTGCTGAAAACTCATTTTTTTACCAGTGGTATGTTTGATAATGATTTGTCTGTTTGTTTTTAATACAGGGAAGAATATTGTTCATCAGATTACAGTGACATTGGAGGATCTTTATAATGGAGCAACAAGAAAACTCGCCGTACAGAAGAACTGTATTTGTGAAAGATGTGAAGGTATGTTTTTTTATGCCATTTAAAGAATGAAAGGCCAGAAATGTTCCACACACACCTTTCCAGAAGAGCTGATTGTGAGAACAGAAACTCAACCCTGGACTGCTTGCAGAGTTTACTGTAATGAAATTTAGATCCGATTCTCCACTCTTGTTTTCAGAGCTCGGATTAAAAGCTGTCTTAAGGTTTGTTTTATCAATCAAACAGGCTTAAGATAACTTAAGATAATAAGGTCCAATGACAAAGCACATTGTTCTGGTAAAAGCAGTGCAGTTCTTTTTCAACAGGTTACTGTAGTTTACAGTTCAGAAATCAGTTTGTAAAACAGCTGAATTGCCCAGGGTGTGCATGTGTGATCCTTTGATGCTTCAATGGTCAAATTGTGTCACTGTATTTTCTTCCTTTCTAAACAAGCTTCCTAAAAGAGTGTTTGTGAGGCTAATGACCACATTCAATCAACAGTTTGACCTGTGTGGACAATGACCTCTCATTTCCTCAGCCTCTGAAATGATCCCACTTTTGCCTTTGGCAGTTTGTGACATATCTGAACAGCAGGAATATTTCAGCTCAATGTTCAGCTGAACACTAATCAAAACACACACAACTTGTTATCTGCTGAAAGCGCCTGCAGCACTGCTGACAGTGCGTGCAGCTCTCAGGGTTAGCAGGGTTTAAAAAGCAGATATGACAAATGTTATACATGCTAATGTCTGAAAACATCACTTGAGCTCTAATGGATCTGCAGCCTCCATGCTAAAGAAAAAGTGAGAATGTTTTTACTGAAGTCTTAGCGTTCTCCTCTGTGAGTTGCGGCTCCCTCCTCAGGCATTATTAGTGTGTACCCATGTGACATCAGCTATAACCCACTCCGACAACTGGGGTTGACAGGAACAGGCTGTGGGAAAAGAGTGAGACGGTTGGAATCTGTTGCTTTTTTTCCAATAGCACATGCAGTTTTATTCAAAGATTGAACTACCTGAAAAAATCCTGATAAAGATACTATTAAAAAGAGATAAAAGATTTTAAAGAACGCTAGAAGATTAAAAGTGATCCATACTATGATTAAAAAAACAAGACAATAGTGTGACTGATTGGTGAGATTGGTGGTTATATTGTCTTTCTTCTAGAATAAAATGGTCAACTGTTTAATCAGCCTAAATCCAGAGTGTTAGATTGCAAGTCAGGAGTTTTTAACCAGTAAGTATGCCATTTTCTGCCAAACGTACACCTCTTCATCCAGCAGTGCTGCGTGGGTTTTGAGATCATCAGCACAAGTTTGACCCCAGTCAAACAAGCTGTATAGCACTGTCATCTGTTGAGTGTGTCCATCAGGTTACAAAAATCTTGGGTTTGTTGTCCTTTAGACCTCAAACATAATTTTTTGTTCAACCCTGAGGATATCACCAGACCCAGCAGCTTATGGATGCTCTTTTACTTGTATACATTGAAATAATTCCTGCACTAACTTTGTCAGCTGCTTGTTTATGTGAATAATCATTTTGAATTTAGAGGACCAGCCAGAGGAAAAAAAGAACTTCAGCTCTAGTGAACGTTGGCCACATTTACATGTGCAGCAACGTTTCACCATAAATTCAAATAGACCATGTCGTCACCAGTTTCCTCCTCCCTGATAGGTCGCGGTAGCCGTAAAGGAGCGGCACAGACCTGCATGTCGTGCCATGGCACGGGGATGCAGGTGCGCATGCACCAGCTGCTACCTGGAATGGTCCAGCAGGTGTCCACTGTGTGCCACAGCTGCCACGGACAGGGACAGAGAGTCAACCAGAAGGATCGCTGCAAAGCCTGTGGAGGCAGGAAGATTCTGCGGCAGAAGAAGGTTCTGGAGGTCCACATAGACAAAGGTGAGAGAGAAGAGGGGACTTGTATCCCTCGGCCTGCTCGTTGAGCGGTGAATCCATCAAAACAAAAGGTTCACTGGTGTGACTTTGCGATGATATCCACAGGAATGAAAGATGGCCAGAAGATAGTTTTCCATGGGGAAGGAGACCAGGAGCCAGGGCTGGAACCCGGTGACATCATCATTGTCTTAGACCAGCGAGAACATACACTCTTCACAAGGTCAGAAAAGAAACAGTGATCAGCTGTGCCAGTAAATCGTGGCGTGAGTACGAGTCTGGGTTAAACCAAAAAGAAAAAAGAGCTCCCAAGCAGCCCAGAGGTTGAAACATGTTTAAACATTTACGAGAGACATGATGTAATTTGATGAGTTCTAAATTTAGTAATAGTTTTGTAGAGCAGCCTCACACTTCTCGCTTTAAAATGACTAAGTTAAACCACAGAAGGAGACTAACCGTGCTTCTTGTTCTTCCTGTGTCCACTGATGTCTCCAGGAGAGGAGAGGATCTGCTCATGTCCATGGAGTTACAGCTAGTGGAGGCTCTGTGTGGTTTCAAGAGGCCCGTTCAGACGCTGGACAGCAGAACCCTGCTCATCACCTCACATCCAGGTTACCTTTGGTGGCGCTTTATTTATTCACAATTCTGTTCCACATAAGTTGTGCAAACTCATCTTTTTTTACTGGCTTGAGTTTATTTTATCAGCCCAAGCAGGAATAATGAATTCAGAAAGTCATAGTGTTTTTTTAGTGTTTGTGCCAACCTTTTTGTACCACCTCTGACCATAGGGGAACTTATCAAACCCGGAGACACCAAATGTGTCCTGAATGAAGGGATGCCCATGTACCGCAGACCTTTTGAGAAGGGACGTCTCATCATTCACTTTTCGGTAAGACGTCCTTTAACTATTGGTCTGTTGTCCTTTTTTTTTTTTTTACACCAAAATCTTCAAAGTCTCATTGAAAAGCAGAAGTGTCCCCACTATTCTCACATGATAACAAGCACAGATTTGTACTCCAAACCCTCAATAAGGAAATGAATCAGTGCAAAGAGAGTGATGTTTATTGCTGCACTGCCATGCAAACATAGTCCTGGTGTTAAGTCAATTCTGGTTGCTACCTCTAGGTGGTGTTCCCACCAGCCAATTTCCTCCCAAAAAATCGTCTGAAGGAGCTCGAGCGCTACCTCCCAGCAAAGGCGGACGCCGAGCAGCCGGACAGTATGGATGAGGACCTCTACATATACGCTGACCTGGAGGACTGTGATTTAGAGAGCAGGAGACGACACCGGCATCGGCACTACTACATGGATGAAGACGACTACGCCAGCACCGGTGGAGTTCAGTGCCAGACATCTTAAAAGAAATAAAGAAAACAAACCCGAAATACAGTTGGCCTCTCTCCAGAACCTTCATCTCTGATGCAAAGCACCTTTTTGGAAGTCTGTGCACTTTTTCATTCCGTTTCCTTCGTCTCAAATTTCTCCCAACCTGAATTATAAAACGGTGTCAAACACCCCTCCTGATTTACTGTGAGCAGCGTTGGTTCTTGGGACTCCTCGTCCCCTTGGACCCTTTTTACTCTGTTTTTGTTTTTCCAATCGCACTGTGGTAAAAACACGAGCTCTGGCCTCGCAGATGCTTGTGAGGAAATACGAACTTGTTGACTTCCAGCCTATAATGCTTACACGTTCAAACTGATGCCAATAACTCTGAAAAAAAAACAGCTTAATGTGGAGTTACTTACTTGGTGGTTGTGACCTACTTGCTCTCATCCAGTCTGTTGTGTTTCAGGTCCCATATTTCAGGCGGTGGTGATGGGGATTGTGCATTAAGAGTTAGGCAACGCTGTAACACCGGTTTGGTTTTTTTAAGGGCTACTTTCCAAGACAGCTCTAAACAAAAATGTGAGGAAGGCATAATACTGATTAATTTAGGTTAAAGCCACTAAATAACAGCCTAACTAAACTAATATTTAGATTGTAATTTAATATTTCAACTTCTGAGCTTACGTCTAATTGTTTTGGGTGTTGTGAAAGATACCAATATGTGAGACTGTGGTTTGTGTGTTGTTTTTTCTCAAACATGTAATAATGTCATTCCTGAAAAGATTTGCAGGTGTTCAAACAGCCTCTGATGCCTTGGCGGCGCATGTTTTCGACCCATTTTAGAAAAGACGAGGATGATTGCTGCTTATGTTGTCGCATGATATTATGAATTGTGTTTTTAGAGATACCAAGAGGTTATAACGTGCCAACTTTTACCCATAAAAGTGTGATAAAGAGCAGATGACGTTGGGATGGTTTATCGAAAAACTTGATGTCCTTTAAATTGTATGAAGAGTTCAGTTATGTCACAGAACACCCAAATTTTGAAAATTTTAAATGCACCGTAGAAAGTTGATGGATTTTTCTTGCTGACATCTGCACCTAAACTGTTCCGGGTGTCCTCGTATTTTTCATGCCAAAATTGAATGCAGGAAGTTATGGCCTTATCATAACTTGAAGTAACTTTGTGATGCAGTTCTACTCTTTTTTTATTTCGATGATAATTTATCGCCTTTGATATTGTTGAAAAGTTTAGCTCTTCTTGAAAGCACATGTGAACTGAAATAACTGCTTGTTTTTTGTTTTGTTTTTCCGAGTTTTTAATTTAACTTCATCCATGTCTGGACCAATAAAGTTTGCTGTCATGATTTCCTAATAAATGTCATTTAAGGGCCTTTCTAAATGGTTGTGTTTTCATTCTTGGTAGCATAAGATCCTGTTACTAGCACTATTCATGATTAGTGCTGTGTAAAGAGGAGCCATCAAATCAACTGTACTGTTGGTTTTATTTTGCATAACCATCTAGTGCTTGTTGAAAGGATTAAGCATTAGAGGATGGTTCTAAGTGGTGAGCAGCCCCCCTTGATTAACCAAAACTTCTTTATTTATTCAAATTATTACCAAACTTATATGTGTCCAATAATGCCGAACCTGACAGAGGGACAGGGAAGAAAGAAAAGCAGTGGAAAGGGGAGAGATCCTTTAGACAGAAAGAAAAAAAAAACGTACAACAAGCTGCTATGTCTGTAAAAAAGAAACTGTTCCTTGTGGGCAATCTGGCGAGAAAACTTATAGGAGCTTCTGAAAAAGGACACAGGGAGAGAACAAACATGCCCCGCCCCCCACAGCCACAGGGGAGCCCCAATCTCCCGCAGGGCCCTTCCAGAAAAATAAATAAGTACGGCGCACGCATTGCACACACACACACACACACACACACACCGTGCATAAGAATAGTTTTCTTATTTGATTGTATTCTTAATTGAATGCAACAGTGCTCTGGAACCCAGCAGCAAGCTAAACACAAATGGCTGAAAATGGACGAAACTCTGGTGAATTTGAATGTTTTTTACTTTATTGATCATTGTACTTTCACTTGACAGTGAAATATATACCACTATGAACCTACCAAAAATAGAGTGCAATGACTGAACACTGCTGTGACAGAAAATACTTCAAGTAATAAATACAGGTAAAGGACGGATCTGTAATCTGCAGGAATCTTTGCCCCAGTGATGCACAGGAACTGACACGAAGATGAGCAAATCAAACACCATCAAATACACACTATGATTCAATGGAGTTCTGTTGTGGTTTATCATTCGTTATCATGCATATTGTTAAGGAGTACAAAAAGTTATTGCAGAACAACATTTACACAGTGAACTGAGGTAGCATGCTAGGAACGCACAGAACAAATTGTGGTCACTACAAAAAACTTTCTGAAGGAATGGAATCCAAAGCTGACAAATATCTAATAAAATTTATTTATGCCCAAACAAAGATTATTTTTTTATTGTAATTATACTAACAATTGTTCCTCTTCATGCATTGTCCTGTATCATAAAAACACCAGAAATGATTATGGAGCATTAGCAAAGATGAATAACATGGATGCATGAATAAAATGGAGATCCTACCAAGTCATAGAAAAGTTGACTAAAAGGAAACTAAAAAAAAAAAGTCAAACCCAAAAAGGTCTAAAAACTAAATGCATTGTCTTGCAAATGTTGTAAACGAATTTCATTAAAAAAGACAACATATTTCGCTGGTTGAAAAGGTTTGATGCATTTTCAAAATTCAAAAGCAGCAAACGGCTAACGACTGTTGAGCAAACAGAGTCCAACATCAGACCACAATGGCACAGCAGGCTTGTTAAAAATACAAAGGGATTTCGCACAGTGGGAAAATGTGCCCCTGTCCCAAAACGTGTATTTGCCATCAAATTCAAAATGATTTCCAGGAAACAGACTCATTTCTATCATCTGAGGCTTTCCATGCCCGATAAACACAGCGCACCTTGCTCCACACTCTTTCTTTTTTCTCTTTGAAAAATGGCAGTGGAGGTTAAGCTGGGTTTTTACTAACCAACAAAATTATTTTAAGAATTCTATACAAAGACATAAAATGTAGATATTTGAGGGAATGATAGAGCAAAAAATTTGGTGGTTATGCTTTTCAACTTGATTTTGTTGAAATTAAAAACACTTCAAACCATACAAGCTGATTTCTGTCTTATATCCCAAATATATAAAGCTCGGTTTTAAGAATTAAACGGGGAAAAAAGGAATATGAAAAATTCCTATCAGGGGAAAAAAAAAATCTGACTAAATATCAACTTTATAAAATCCTCCTGCTCCGGAAAGAGTGTGTGACACAATCAAAAGCCGAATTCCTGTATTCAGGGTTAGCCTCAGCCTTCTGACCACATAACTCTCTGTCTTGCTCCCCGACGTTATGACGAAGATGACGTCCAGCTTAAGGTTTCCAAAGCCTCAGCAGGCCGTCCTCGCTGTATGTGGCGATCAGGTTCTCGTGCGGGTGGTGAGCGATGCCAATCACGTCCTTCTCGTGAACCTGTGGGCGCAGAGGCATGCAGATCACCACACAATTCCCACCTGTTTCCTTGTGGTCTGCCCTGATGCGTTTTTCTACTCCATAGCGAGATGGCAGAATGAGGAGAAAAAAAACACTGACTGCTTCTACTTAGAGATAATTATCGAGCTTAGGCCGCGGGGGCTTACGGTCAGCTTTTTCTCCAGCGTCCCCGAGGCGTAGCGGAAGCAGTACAACACCAGGTCTTCCCCCACGCAGTAGACCCACTCCCCCCGGGGGGACAGGGCGCAGCACACGAAGTCCGCTCCTTCTGCCTGGTCCGAGCTGAGGGTCCGAACGGTCTGAGAAGGGAAATAGAGGGCCGATAAGATAGCTTTGACCACACTCAGGAGCCGTGGCATCTAGAGTTTCTTTCTTCTGACAGCTTTGGAGGCTCTTTTCCTCCACTTTTGGTGTTATAACAGCTCCAAGCAAATATTTCAAGCCTTGAAAAGGTAAAAGAAGAAGCCGCAATCGGCAAAAAAAACAGACCGTAATCCTAAAAAAGGAGGAGTGGCCTGATGGGTGGAAGCCTGCTCACCTTCCCGTCCATGCTCATCACCACCACCGTGTTGGAGTGACTACAGACCACGAAGTGCTCGGGGTTCTGGGGGAGCAGGATCACGTTGTTGACGGGAACGTCCGAAGTCGCCGTCAGAGATCTGAACGTGTGAATGCACTCGCTGGACTTTGTGTTCCAAATCTGGGGGAGAAAAAAGAAAAAAAAAGCAGAAAAACGTGAAGAACAGTTTCTGGATTTCTGCAGATGTCCACGACCAACTTTGGTACCACATTAATGATAGTGATTGTACCTTGACGGTGCCATCGGAGGAGGCGCTGATGATGTGGAATCCATCTCGGGTAAAAGATGCGTCGTTCACAAACGATGAATGGCCACTTAACTCCTTCAGCGTCTTCCCTGACCTCAGCTCGTGGATTCTGGAAATGTTATTGTTGAATCACTGATTAACAAAGACGCTGAAAATCAAATCACCAACTGTGCTGAGTCATTCTAAAGACCCCCTTCATTCATCTGGAAGAGGGGGATCTTTGTTGAGACAGGATAAAACATGCCGCCGAGCTGCTGGTGGGTTATTTTTAGCTCCTGGTGAGTGACTGGGCGCCGATTAGCTTCACGTCTCTGTGGATGATTTTGTGTTTTTGTGAAGAAGTCTCCATGCTTGGGGAGGAAAGGGGGGGGGGAGGAGGGAAGGAGGGAGGGACACGTTGCAGCTTTGTGTCTGAGCACATGATGGCTGCACCCACACAGCACATGTGCCTCCAACACGGCAGAGAGGCTCAGCCCACACCCCCCAGGAGTCAGAAATAACAGCCCAACCCTCCAAACGAGGGGGATTCAACATGAGGAGGAGAGGGATGAGAAGAGAGACAGCCACATTTGGGCTTTGACGGCACATGAAAGAGGAGAATCACAAAACCAGCCACATTTTGAGCACCTTTTAAATATCTTTAAGTGGATTGTCAATGCGCAGCTTTACTGTTGCGCTTTAGCACATCTTTTTCCAGTGTATGGAAACAAACCTGTCACAGTATTCCAGCCAGAGCTGGGCACACGGCAATAACCAGCCAAAAGCTGTCTTTGTGCTGCTGGCTGAAACTGTGGGGGTGTCAAAGAAGTTCATGAGTCCTTCTTGCATTTGCAAACTTGCAAACTTAAGTCATGTTTCCACCTTTGCTCAAGCGAGATGAGTGAACGCTCGACAGCAGCCCCGCTTTATTGTGAGCTCAGTGTTTCCTCCTTTTCCTTTTGTTTGATTACTTTCTGTCTTAATTGCTGAGGAAGCGGTAAAGGAATGCTTAGTCTGCCGAGCATCAAGCCTGTTTGTCAAATAAAAATCACACACAGTGTAACATGAGCTTGTACTGTCTAGCTCAGATTGTGTTTACCTCGTTTTATGACCTGTGAAGGACCAGATGACTTATGTCCTGATATTAAAAAACCATAGACTCGAAAAGTGTGCTGTCTAACGATCCGTTAGACTGTCTATTAAACTTTGCACGAGTATTTTAAAGACAACCTTAAAAATAAGAGAAAAGAATGGTCACCTCAAATTTACCTTATCCACAATACATTTAAATTAATATAGGTTTTATATCCTGGAGTTCATACTGATGTGATTAAATTGACTATTTCAGTGATGTTTCATTCTACTGATTAAGTCTTTTTTTTATTCTGAGAGTGTGGAGCAGGCTCAAATGTATTGTTCTGAGCAATACACCCACATAGACTAAATTGTCTTCAGAGCTATACAATTAAAAAGTAGGGCCTGGAGAGAATTCTGTTTTTAAATGTCCCCTTTAACCACAGCCCACAACCAGATAAGGTCCAAATTCACATGTGCTCTAACAGACAACGATGGAACCATAACAGGTTTTCTTTTTGATCCTTCATAAAACTTATGAAGGATAAAGGAAACCACGTATCTTCTTTTTTTAAAATTATTTTTTTAACTGCTGGTGTAGAAAAAGAAAAAAAATACTGTCTACCACCCACTTTCTGCAGTTTGTTGATTTGCTGTGTGGATGCCGAAAAACAACTTACAACCTTCCTTCAGCTGAACTGACGCCTATGCATGCACCTTCCAAACGTTTGTGAATCATGTCTGAGGTCAATGAAATCCCTTGCTCTCCTCCCACTAGGAGTCCAGCCCCCTTCTGCTCACAACGAGACTCCACAAAAAGAATAAAGCTCTTGCCACATGTTTATATCTGTGCACACACCCGGTTATGTTCGTATTACTGTAATTCCATGTGCTCCTGCTCATTTTCGGCACTCGTCCCAGAACGCGCAGAGCTTTAATCAGCGTCACCGGCCAGAATTCATCGACTGGGTGACATATCCGCAGTGAGCTCACGGCGCCGTAACTCACCTGATGGTCTGGTCGAAGGAGGCGCTGAGGATCTGGTTGCTGTCGTTGGAGAAGCTTAGACAGGTCACACCTTTGTTGTGAGCATGCTCGAACCGGCGCAGGCACAGACCGCTTTGGATCTTCCACACCTTCAGGATCAACACGAACGCACACATACACACACAAAGAGAGATTTTGGAAGGGATGTTGAATGAAAATAATTAATGCGAAGAATCCATTTTTATCAGGTTCAGACAAGACTTGGCTTTTCGTTAGGAGACACCCCATCTAACCTTGATTTTGCCATTCTGGGCTCCTGTGGCCAGCAGATCCGACTCTTGACTGACGCACATACACAGAACGGCATCATCCATCATCATGAAGCTGTCTTGGGCCTGATACTTTAAGTCCTAAATGATTTAGCCAAGCACACACACAGAAGAAAGGAAAAATAAGCCATAACGACAAAGGTTTGTAATGTAAAAGTGTTTCATCAGAGACATGGAGATGGCATCATTGATGGCATCGAATGGTTCCAACAGTAAATTAAAACAACCATGAGAGAAATCTCGGTGGTTTGGGGGCATGATATGATACCGACCTTGGTAATTTTTCCAGTGTAGAAGTTCCAGACCTCAATGAGGCCGTCCACAGATCCGGTGATGAGGTACTTTCCATCGGGTGAAAAGCGGGCGCACTCCACATGTGACCTGCGTCCAAACTGCACATTTACACCACATGTGGTTATTAACATGTTATCATATTATTAATATGTCTGCAAATGTGCTCTCCTGTGTGACCTGCGGCCTGCAGTTCTGACGCAATGAGAATTAAACCACCATTTAATATCCAGTGACCCCAGAGAGACGTAAAGTCCTCCAGTGGCCTGCCACTACGTGGGCTGGCCACTCTCACTTATCACTTTGGCACAGGGAGCCAATGATGAGCAACCCCTTGCTGCGCCATCTGGAAGCTACTGATGAGAGGCCAGAAGGGCTGCCTTCAGGTGATGAAAGCAATTACTTTGGGGCGTTTGTATGTGCGTGTAGCTCTGCTGAACAAGGAAATAAAAACCTGCAGCTTGTCAGTTCGTTTCTCACGGTAAATGGGCCGCGGCAACAAAGTCATTCTGAAAATTCTGCTGCAGAAACGCGGTGTGTGTTGGACCTCACACAGGGAGGAGGCTGCTTTGCGTACCTTTATGTGGCGGTACAGCTGTGTGGGGAAGCTCTCTTTGGCGGCATGTCGATCTTTGCTGGCAGACGTGTCGGCGGTCACGTCGGGGGACAGGTGACCCGGACACTGCTGTTGTCTCATGCACTGCAGCACACGTGAAGTGGGGGGAGTTATTGTCGGCGATCAATGCCAAAGTTTCAACATCAAGGCGATTGAAGAAAAAAAAAAAAGATTCTGTTGTAGGATTATTCTTCTAAAGTGGTTTTTAGCGGGGTAATCCTTAACAGGAGGCAGTGAGAAGACTGTTAATTGTGGGGCTAAAAAATACTTTTTTGTACTTAGAGGAAGTCTGCCAGGGTACAATGCTCAGTACTCCAACGCTAGCATGTCATTAGCTCCTCATTGTGTTATTTATCTGTGGATTATGTCTTTTTTTGCATCCAATGAGTAGGTGTCCAAGTAACAAATAAATTCCTCTGCCATGTATTCAGAGTGAGAGAAGAACACTGATCTGTTTACTCACACCGACTTGCTCCAGGAGCCCAATGAGTCGAGAGGGCGGCACCACGCTGACCTCCTTCACCAGGGCCTCAGCTATGGCCCTGCGCCGCTGCTCCTTGCAGCTGCCTTTTGGGTACGCCTGCGGTGACAACGACAGGCGATGACCTCATGAAGATATAGAGGTGCTCTTTGATGCAGTCGTTCAATGTGTTTTTCTGATTTTTGTTTGGGTTTCTCACCTCGCGGGGGTCAAAGTAGGAGCAGGTTAGCAGGGTCTCCAGGTGGACGTACCTCTCAGGCTGGGTCTGCTTCAGCATGATCATGGGGTCGGTTTGCCTGAGGAGGGAACGGGCTGCGCCCACCTCCCTCATCTCAATGAGTTCCATCACGACCTATTGAGGAGATCGGAGCTAATTAGGGGCCGCTTTCAGTTCAAGTCAGCGAGGAAAATCCTTCAGCGAACCGACAAACACCAACCTGCTCATAGAGGTCAATAAGTGTGTTGTCGGGCAACTTGAGGGACTCGATGGCTAGCAGCACAGAGTCCCAGTGGCCTTTGTTTATATCTGCTATAAAGCTGTCGATGCTTTCAACTGTGTTGAGTGAGACAGTGGTTTCCTCCTGTAAGGTGGTCAGTGTGCGATAGAGGTTGTTCTCCTTGAGGTACTGCATTATCAGGCGGATCACGCTAAAGAGATCACAGAGTATCCAGAAGTTTAAATTCTGCTATTTTTTTGATTGCTATTCTTTCTTTTATAAAAATAAAGAAAACAATTTCCTATGCGGAGACACAGATATACTGTATATGTTTATATTTCTGCATTTAGCAGACGCTTTTATCCAAAGTGACTTACAATCCAGATACAGCATTACCCGTATCATTAACCTGACACGTCAGAAGAAAATAACACGTCAGGCTTTGTTAGAAGCAACAGTGGTGTCAGTGAAGAGACAAAAGAGAAGTACAGAAAGAGTAGTAGAGGGGGTGGGGTGGTAGTAGTGGAACTGACATGATAATTTCTGCTCTCACTTATACAGTTACTTTGGCCATGTTAAAACTTTGATAATCTAATTACGGACAGAAATACTGTCTTCTCTCACACATGGCCACGGGCTGTCTGATGCACTGCCGAGATCCTTTAGTTAAAAAAGTACTCTGATCCCACCTCATGTGGGCTTTTGTCCCAATTCAGAGCCATCTGCTCAACGTGAATCTGTTGTCTCCTGTAACCTCTTTGCTTTCTGTCCATCCCCATTAGAACCTCAACTTTTTTTCTGTGCAGAAAATCGCACGTGCCATTTAATTTCACCCCCATTGATGGTCTAAAATTGTATTACTGTATAAAACCCCACCATAAACACCAGAATGTTTTACTTCACTCTATGAGAAAAGAAAGAAAAGAAAACAACACACCCACTCCTAAGCAGGGGCAGAGCACCTATGGATTAGCAAGGGAGAAGATAGGATGTTTCTCCAGGGATAACCAGACGTTAAGTAATTATTAGTGTAATTTGTCAATAATGCGAAAATAGGATTTTATAGCTTAAATTAGATGGGGGGCTCTATTGCCTTACGCCACAAGGACAAAAACTGGCCAAAGCAGCAACAGAGACATAAATGTCAAAGATTATTTTACATGTATTTGTTAACCGCACTCTTAAAAATCTTAAAAATATAAATAATGCCATCAGTGGAGCAATTACCGCATAAAACCAGTCAAAGCGTTATTTGGGTATCACAGCTTTGCAAATTACGCATCACACGTTCACCTCTGAAATGAAAACCAAACAAAACCCCTGGCATTAAATCCCTGCTTCCATCAACAAACAAACACCAGAAAGTTGGAATGCGCTCGCACAGATATTCCACGCTCACTTGTCGTGCACACTCAAATCAAAACAGAGGACACACTTACTCCGCGGGCTCCATCTCCACAGCCATGACCGTGATGCTGTCTGCTGATGATGCTGAAGCTGAAGCTGAAGCTGCTGCTGCTGCACCGGACCGCCAAAGCCACGTGAAACCCGAGTGTCGAGGACCACCCACTACACGTGCTTTATTACCTTCAGTGTATTGTATTTTCAATACTTCCAAATCTTGGGACTGCCTCTGCCACACTAACTGTCGGAGCTGCACCTCGCCACTGACGTCAGTCGTTTGCAGAAGAAAGATGTGTTGGTTTTTTTTCTGAGCACGTTGTGTGCAGGAGACGTGAGGATGCTGCAGTCTGCACAACTGCATCAGCACCACAGACACAACCTCGTGGCTCAGAGCGTGCTCCCCTCCAAGAGCCACCATGCACTAAGGGAGGGAGGGCGTCATTATCGCCCTTCCAAGGGAAAATACCCCTGCTCTTTCACATCAGTATTCAGATGCAGAGCTGCATGCGTCTGAGCCACATGGATCAGTCACTCCGTATTACCGTGGTGGTTAATAGCGTGATTGTTTATTCCTATAACCGTAGACTGGCTGGTTACAGTCTCGGCAGGTCGTGAGTATTAATCATCTAGAGGGTTTCCTCACTTCATTTAGCATGACTTTTTAATCTACCTGCTCCTGCTCATCTGAAAATGTACCTATAGCAAGGAGCCTCATTAATGCCAAGAACAGTGTTCTTAATCATGTTAATTGTGTGCAGCACAGAGGAAAAAAAAAACATGACTGTCAAAGCAGCTCCAAAATCCCAAACCTACTCACACATTCATGAGCATATACGAGAGCAATAAATCACGGCATTTATCTCAGCGACTTCCATTATTTACAATAGAGAAGCACAGACTGACTGGTGGCATGTACCATTCTGTGTTTATGTTTACAGTCTGCAGAAACATGTCAAAAGCAATTCGCACAAAAGGAAATATATTCAACTAATGGGATCTGATTAAGAGGTGAACTTTTTCTGAAGGTCATAGACAAGATTCTGGGCTTGGACAGCTTCCATCAAAAAAAACATTGACAATTCTAAAGGTCTTGCTAATGAGTAAAACATTTTTAACAATGAAAACTACTTAGAAAACTAAGAAATGACTCCGCTTCAAAATGATATCTTAACTATTTGTGATTTCCAACAGGTATGCAGGCTAATTCTGAGTTCCATGACATCATTTGTCAGCAGTGACTTCACCATGGCTTTGTTGAAATATCGCGAGATAAGGAGTTGGTTTCTGCATGGGTTCCAACAGGTGGGCAGTAATTGGCTGGAGCGCGCTATATGAATGCCGGTTTCTCGACAAGGTGTAGTTTTGGCTGATGAACAGATTTTGAACCTTTTCTTAAGCAGGTAAAGTGTTCAAAACAGCTAAAGTTTCACATGTTCAATCACTGAACCGTTTTGGCTCCACAACGTGTGCGAAAAATGCCAAAGAATAACAATTTGGTGAGTATACGATGGAATGGGGAGAAGTAACCAATTAAGCTACATTGTTTGCTACCCGACTTTTTAAAAAATGTCCCAGTGCTCATTAATCTTCTTTTCTCTTCTGCCCGTATTTAAGAAAGTTCCTAGCGCAGTCGCCCGACTGGCCCAGCTGCCTGTGGTTCGCTCAGCTTGTGCCACACTGTCGGGGCTGTACAACGATGCTAAAAGCAGCAGCTGCAACCTGAAGTCGATGTGTGAGGCGATGGAGAGCAGAGCCACGGCCCTCAGCTCCACCGTGGCGCCCGTCATTTTAAAGTTCGAGCCTCAAAGTAAGTAATTGTCCCATTCATATCTTTTGTTTTAAACGTATTTTTAAAATTCACAGACCATTTTTGTACCAATGATGGTTGGTTCGTTTAATGTAAAAAACAAAATGTTGAAAACGGTACTAATTGAGTCCACGACTTTGAACTGTGATTTTTAAAAACCTGTCTAACATTAATATTTTTGTTTAATTGACTCTTTAGTTTCCATTGCAAACGAAGTTGCGTGTAAAAGTTTAGACTGGCTGGAGACCTCATTCCCTGTGATTTTATCCCCCACGGATCAGGTAGTTGTCCTTTTTTATTCAATCAAAGCCCAATAATACTCACATTTCTCTTCAATGATTATGGTTTTGAATCGATCTCCAAGGTTGTTGCAACTGCTAAGAACAAAATGCAGGAGATTCAGGATGTGGTGAGTATTACGGCCAAAGGAACCATGGGGTGTGTGCAGTACACCGTCACGTGGGCGATGAGCCAGATCCTTCCAGCTGATGGAGCTGACCAGTCTCTGGTGGAGAGAGTGGTCAGTGTGGCCGGTGTAAGTCTGGACTCTGTGCTGAGTCTGTCCGAAGCTTTTATGGATCAGGTGCTTCCCCCCTCTGATAAAGATGAAGGTAGATGGCATTTCCAGCTTCTGATGTGAAATGATCAGAATTCGTACTGAAAGCGTCCACCTTTTTTTTTCTTCTCTTCTCTTTTTAGACGAAGCCCACTCGGTCAAGGGTTTTGAGAGTGCGACTCACAAGGGACGATACCCCGAGCGCATCATTTCCCTCACTACTAATCTGTTTAAGAGGACCTACCACTTGGCTGGCTGCAGGGCCCAGACTGTCCAGGTGTGCTACGAGTTCAGTTTCTCCTGCTGTGAGCAGTAGGATTGTGTTTTAAAATAAATATCTGTATATTGACAGGAAGTAATGTGCTGAAGTACATGATTTATTTAGACTAGGATTATTGATGCTTAAATATGTTCACCTGAACATGAAAAGATGTCTTCTGAACAAACTTGTCACCTAATAGTGCTTCTCTTTCAGCTGACTCAACAGGTGTTGGAGACCGTGTCCAGATCGACCTCCCTGGTCCAGTGCAGCTGGATGAGCCTGGTCTGCAGCCTCCAGGGACTGCCTCAGTACTTCCAGTATCAGGCCGTGTCCGCGTTTTTCTTCGTAGCTCAGATGTACAACGTGAGCAGTCTGCCATCCAAACAGATCCAATACAAGAAGCGTCCTGGCAATGTGGCCCAGGCTTACCTGGATCAGGTCCAACCACAGACACCGGCCTTCAGAATGAGGCCCACCAGGACATTTGCGTTGGACAATGGCTGTAATGTTAAGGGATGTGTGCGCCGGTAGTGGGGAAATTGTAATGGCTTGATTTAAGAAGAAAAAAAAAAGTTAATGTCACACTGATTATGGAAACAATAAAATGTTAAGGAATCATGAACTGGCTTCTGTTCTCTACCACCTCTTAACATTGAGGCGTTTGTTTACACCTGTTTTTACTTTAAGGTGTTAAATATTGGTAAACTTGAATTTAATATTTTAAAGAAAACTGATCCTTAAAATGATCACTAGGGTTCCTGAGGTTTAATTGGTTTGTAAAGTGTTTATGATGAGGAAATGTTTTGAATACTGTTCAAGCCAACAACCCTAGAAACTTAAAGGGGACATAATGCAAAACCAAGTTTTTAATCATTTATGTACATTTGGGACTATGGAGGGCTTATCAGCAGGCAAAGTGTGAAAGTCATTTGTGGTCTACTTCAGTCCCAATACAGGAGAAATCAGGCGGTTTGAGGAGTCAGTTTGATGTCATTGGCTCTAGCTCATATTCCAGCCTTTCACCTGCATATTGCCACCCACCTCACCCCGCTTATCAGTGGCAAACGTAGCCTCAGCATGGCGTAGCGTTAGCGTGCTGACATCGGCACACCTCCCGGGAGAAGTGGGTGGATTGCCTGGGTCTCATTTGCATTCAAAGAGACAGGCACTCAAAACAGATCACTCTGAATGGGGCTGTTTTGGCAGGGTGATTGAACTGCTATTGGGCTTCATCCTTATGGTATTTTGACCAAAGCTTGTCAGACATTAGGACATCAGGGAACTAGTTTAACTTGTTGAAATAGGATATGTCTCCTTTAAACTATTGAGTTTTAGAACTTGTATGAAACATCCCTCTTCAGCTCTAGGTTTACTTTTCAACTCACCGTTTACTTGCTCTGAACAGAAATGCTTTGGTATTTTGAATCCATTTCATGTGAGAGAAACTTCATACAATGAAACTTCAAATCAGATGCAAAGGGCAGTTTTTCAAGAAATATTTATTTGACTTTTGGGTTTCACTTTTGGCTGGACTCTGACTTGGATGTGGATGCTCTCAGAGAAGACAGACGACGCCTCTTGGCAATCTGTTCCTGTCGCTTCTCCTTGGCCTCCTGTTTAGAAGAACAAGTTTGTCAGTCAATCAGTACATGGGTTGTACACAAGTTAAGTTTAAGACAGTCTCATGAAGAGCTCATTGACAGGTATGCAGTTGACTTTTAGGTTTAAATGTAATCTGTTATTACATGCAGTTATTTTAGAAGGACGAATCACTGTCACATTGACAAAACATCCAACATGAATCCTCAATTTGCAAATGCGACACTGGTGGTCCGGTTGGGTTCATGGACTTTAAAACCAGGTCAGGACTGCAAACTATTAACAAGTCCTAAAGTAGTTCAGACCTAAAATATTTAATCAGTCATGTTCACAGGTTACTGTTCTCATCGTTCAGATCAGTTACTGAAATGAGGAATCGACATACCTTCATCCTCTTGGCCAGCAGCTTGGCGTACTCAGAGGCCTCCTCCTTGTTCTTCTGGGTGCGCTGTCTCTTGAGGGCAATGCGGCGGCGCTTGTGCTGCAGCACGCGGGGCGTCACCAGTCTCTGGATCTTGGGAGCCTTAGTTCTAGGCTTCTTGCCTGCCAGAGCGAGGGCATAAGGGTCATTATTGTCATCAGTGCAGCCAAGTGTGGGTTGTGAGAACAAAATGATATAACGTAAGGAATCGTTTTGGAAGCAGTTGTAGTTTGGAACTACAACTGACACCATTTAAACTGCAACTCCCACAGTGCTCTGGGACTAACAGGGGCCCAAATTCAAATCCTTTCAACAACAGGGTGAGATTATCAAGGATTCCTAAGTTTAATATAGAAAACATCAGGATATTTATTAAAGTAAATAAACCGTTCATTTTGAAAATTTACTACTGGGGAGAAGAAAAAAAAAAAGCAGCTTTCAAAGACCCAATAATAAAATAGTGAAGCGAAGTATGCATATACAACGCAAAACTGTCCCAGTCCTTCGTTTGTTTCTGTTTATTACAGATCAACAGAAACAAATTTCTTGTTACAGGCCACATAACGGTTTAATGGTTTAACGTAAATCTGAGAAAAGAAAGTACTACAACACAAAAATAATGTCCAAACAAAAATCCAAGTTCATATTTCTCTAGTTGAATTGTTAACTCAAGCAACCATTACCTTCATAGCTCTTAAGTTCAAGTAAGGTAGAATTTATACCCATTAAAAAAGAGCAAAGGGGTGGCATTTCATGTGTACGTAACATTTACCTTCTTTAGTTAGGGGTCTCCTCACAACATACTGTCTCACATCATCCTCCTTGGCCAAGTTGAAGAGTTTACGGATCTTGCTGGCCCTCTTGGGACCGAGGCGGCGGGGGACAGTGCTGTCAGTCAGCCCGGGAATGTCCTTCTCACCTTAAAGTAAACAGACATGAAGTAATGAAGAAAAATTACACCAAGCATGCGTTAACTGTTGCCCTTGACTATTTGGCAGAGAAATACAAAAAACAACATGAGAAAAGACTGATATCAATCGGTGTTCATTAATGCTGCAGATTTGTGCAGCAGGGCAAAGAAACGAGTCAGTCACACCATCGCTGCTTACCACCACCAACAATTCCAAATCAGACTTCTCATAACCGGTGTCTGTTCTCTAGTGATTCTGCACAGTTTGTATAGTAACAGCTGATTGTAATCAGCTAACTTTTTGTATCCATAAATCAGTCAAATGTTGAGATGTATAATGATATCAAAATGTGGTCACAGCCCACCCTAACTTCCATTATACTGGTTGCACCCTCTGCTAAATGTTACCTCTCCACACAACACAGATTGGTAGTCTAAAGCAAAGAGGAGTACAAGTGGACAAGCTTGTGAAGAAAGCCAGATTCTAAAGTGAAATGAGTGTCAATACATGAAAAAAAGTACACATTGTGTTCAGGCAAAGAAAAACAGGCAGATGAGTATCAATAAATGCAATGAGAGAGCAATGCAGTTCAACCATCCACCTGTACTAGGACTGGTTGCATCTGGAAAGCAGCTCCACAGTTACTTTCGGCATCACTCTGTCCCCCCTTAATGAATACAAAATCAAAAAGGGTCTCCTGGATGCCATTAAAATAAACACACAACCCGATAGCCAACGCACCGAAAAACGTAGGCGGTTTGACCAGGAAGAAAGACACATTGGTTTCAATAAAAGCCGCGGCCAACACGCACCTTTCTTGACAATGACCAAGTTGAGAACGCTGAGGTTGGCATCGACAATGCAACCACGCACGGATTTGCGTTTGCGCTCGCCGGTCCTGCGGGGACGGTAGCAGGAGTGGCCCTTGCTGAGGAGCAGGCGCACACGGCCATGAGTAAGTACACCCTGCTTCATGGGGAAGCCCTGCTTGTCGTTTCCTCCGCTAATGCGCACCACATAACCCTGGGAGATAAAAAATGAGGAAGATGTACACATTTTATTAACTATTTTGGGATAAATAGACTCTTGTACCAAGGCAAACAAGACATGTAATTTCTGTTAGGCTTTCAAATGCAAGGGATGACATGTGGTCAGTAACTATAGTTATGGACTACACTCTCTTAAGCAATAGCTTACAAGAGTGAAATTTGTATACAGAGACATGAGAGAGCAATGCTGTTTCAATCAGCCATAGTCACATTGGCTGCTCGCATCTGGTAAGCAACTCCTCTGCTCCTGTGGCAACACACTGTCCCCCCTTAATGACTATGGATCAGTCAAGAAGGGCCTACTTGTGTGCCAGGTACAACTCAAGGTTTTGTCCAACAATTTGACAAGATTACAAAGTTCAGTCATTGCAGTTGTTACCTTCCACTCATCTCCCAGAGGATCAGCAGCCACTTCAGTGGCCATACGCTTCTCATAGAAAGTACGAAGTTTACGCTCATCGTCGACTTCTATCAGCTTCTGGCAGCCAGTAGCGGGGAACGATATGTTCAGCTACAACGTAAGAAAGAGTGGTTATTTAGAGGTTATTTCCTACTAAGCAAATCAGGGTGACAAGCTAGAATTCTTAAAGGCTAATTATCATAGCGATGCCTCCATTATTACTGACGTTCAAAACTGCATTGAGAGATACTGCTATCCCTCATCTTGGTTGCATGCTAAATGATTGGTTAGCTAACTAGTGCAACAATTTCAACCTAAGAGCGCCTACTTTGTCTGTAGGCCCAAAAGCGCCTCTACCGGCACCAGCGTTTCATGCCTGCTAACATACATGCCAACATATATCCAACTACGGAATACATGCCGGATTAAATTTAAAATAAGACAGAAAACGAAACAGGTACTGCAAAAATTTAACGACTACGGTTGGTGGAAAAGACTTTAACGTGGGGCACATTTGTGTCAGTGTGCGGCCATGTTTCTAGAGCTCACTTTCCGACAAGCTCGTCAGCTAGCTCTCCCCTCAATCAAAGCTCATCCTCCATAATACAAACACGATACTGTATTAAAATGGTCTTCATTGAAGTTCAGTATAGTGGCTTCAACTACAACAGACTATTTTCTGAATAAACTAGGTTAAAACCGATAAATCAAGGTAGAAAGCCATTGTACCTTCATTTTGCCAAACCGACCCAACGATGGTCCGCCACGGAAAAGAGGCCGGATATCCGCTTCGTGGTCTCACATAGGAGTACGAAGTTCTCGCGATAGGTAGGCCGCTTAAATGGAAATTCTGTGTAGAAATTGCATTAAAAAACTTTTTATATTTAATTTTTCAACAAAGATTTTTTATGCAGTAACACTTACCTCCAAAATTTACTTTCAAAAGGCAGTTGTTTAATATTATAAAAACATGTTATTTAATTTTTGGATGAAAAAAAAACTATCATCAATCAATAGACAGGTGGCAATGACCCTGAAGGCGATGTGACCTCGGCACCATGTCCTTTTATGCTCATACTTGTGACACATACAAATGATGTGACCATGTGTTTTGATGTGTTTTAATGTTTGGACCTCCATGGATATCCACCTAAACTGAGTAGTGGCAAGTATTCAGCAACCGTTCTAAGTGTGTTCGACTGGGAAAATCCCAATATAGGCCTTGGAAAATTATATGAATCCTATCTCAAATTTTCTATTGTCAGAGGACACACCTGCACCCTTAACGGACAATTAATGGTCAAGTCAGACACAGATAGCTGCTGTATAAAAACATCTAATCATAGTTTTTATTAATCATAAATAAAGTGACAATTTATTAGAGGCATGGCACATAAAAGCCCAATTTAAAGCCCAATGTATTCATCATGTATGATGCAACTATTTGGTGGAAAAAAGGTGATTTTGTTTCACTGGCCTCGATGATTAATTTCATTCTTCACCTAATTTATAGCTTTAGGTGTCAAATGGTGACAAAAAAAAAAAAACATAACCATCATGCAACAATTCCCCCTCTAATAGTGCAGATAAATAAGTGAATTTATGTTCACAGCGAATATGGAAGGTTAACAGCAAATGCTGCTCTTCATTACTGTGGCATTCCAGAAGAATATTAAGCTCGGTTTCATCTTAAATTGAGGCTGTGAATTGAAGCTACCACCCTTCCCTGGTATTAAATCGTTAAAAAAGCAGCATACAAGGTGAATGCTTAACTCCAAGAATGCTCACTAATGGGAGTTAAACACACGTAACTAAACTGTAACGTACGACAGGTTTTGCCATCGAGATCTGCCATCTGTTCTTGTTCTTTTTTATATCAACATGACAAAGACATGACAAGACTTCCTGGAGTGGACCGAACCCGGAAGTAGGCAGCGAATCATCTTGTCAGGTGTGAACACTCTTCGAGTCCAGAGCGAGCAGCTGTCAGAGGACGCAGCAGAACGTCATGACTAACTGGAAGCTTTGTGGAAGGAAGGATACCCTTAAAATGCAGCACAGCAGCGGTCACCCTAAACAACTTAGGACCACGATACGCGTCAGTATTCACAAGTTAGGGTCCAGCGCGTAGCCAACAGGCCAACCTTTGGTCCTCCCCCTCGCTTATTGTCATTATTTAATCCCCCCCTGCGTCGGAGGATTGCTGTCTGCCAGCGCTGTTCATCAGACAGAACTAGTCCGGACATGAGTAACGTTAATCTGATTTTTTGGGACCAGTTGCAGGCTGGAAGCTCTGAAGTGGACTGGTGTGAAGGCAACTACCTTATTTACCCCAGCATCGCGGAATTTTACAACACGGTCGGTCTGAAGTCGCTGACTTGTAGATTGGGGGAGATGTTTTGCATAATGCAGTTTTGTTTACAGTCGCAGCTTCTCTGTCTTTGTTTTGTTTTATTTTGCCCCGCTTTCTGGTAAACATGCCATCATATGCTCTGATACGCCATAGCTTGCTATGACGCATTGAATTTAGACATTCTTGCTGCTTTTCGTCAATATATTTGTGTTAGCATCACTTTATAAATGTTTTTTAAAGCCGCATTGATGGTTCCAAGACGATCAGCATGTTGTTGCGTTTGCTACAGTCAGCTCACATGTGATGGCTTCTCTTTCCCTCATAGCTGTCCTATTTATTTTGATCTTTTTCATTTCAGATCAGCAACATTTTGTTTTTTGTTTTGCCGCCGATATTAATGTGCTTGTTCCGCCAATATGCAACACATTTCAACAGCGGGATTTACCTCATATGGATTCTTCTAGTTGTTGTTGGTAAGTGACCTCTCACCCTCTGTTTTAATGGTAAAGCATGCACAGCAGGCTAAAGTGAGGCTGCGTTTAAAATAATGAAGCAGTTACTTGTTTTGGGGTGTTTCTTACACGCTTTTACAGTCCCAGCTCTGTGTGTAACTGCACACAGTTTTCTTTGTATTCAACCAACTGGCTGATTTTCTTTTTTCTAAGAATCCTGGAGAGTTGCCAAAGATTTCTATGCTCATTTAATTTGTCTCAATATCTTCAATGCCTGTGTGAAGCCAGACGGACTCAGTGGGGGACCAGACCATCTGGCCCAGGGGGTGCCCACCCCAACCCCGCTCTGAGGGAAGATAGTTTACTGACTGTTCGTGGTTGTTATTGAGGCGTGGGGCGCACTATTCTTCACAATCATGTTCTTTTAATTAAACATCCCAGCACAACACCACCACCAACCCACTGTAATAATATCTGACAGCACTTTCATTGGGTTCGTCTTGCTGAAGGAAGGAAGTAAAACCACTAGTTACTGCTTTACATTCTTGTCCCATTTGTTGGCCGTTTATTCCCATTGGTCATCAAACCGATTAGCTGATCGACACATGGTTAAACAGAAACTGTTTTAATTTAGCCTTAGGAATAAACAAAAGGCATTTCACCTAGACTGAGCAGTCTATGGGAGTTGGGCGTAGGAGTGCGTATCATAGTCATGAGATTAGAATAAATTAGCAGTTCAAGTGCTGTTTTTCTGTCACATTTAGCTGAGTGTTGGAGGCTTTTGCCTCATTAAATGATAAGCTCCTTTATATTGGGCCCGTCTCTTTTTCATTTGTCGCTTCTGTGAAGCAAAATCCAACATTCTAATTGAGGGGGATAATTGTAACCTGAATTCGAGATTGTTGCCAAAACATGAGCATAAAGCAATCCTGATAATATTTCTAGTCACTTTTCAATTGTTTTTTTTTGGTCCACTTTTAGGAAATGCATGATTGGCCGATAAATAAAAGTGGAATTAAACACAGGCTTCGTATATGTAAGCTGGTCTTCTTTTCCCGTTATTGGATACTTAAATTCATATCAGTTTTTGGGGTGATACATGCCAGCCGTGCCTTAGTGCCTTAGCGCTGTTTTGAAAACATCAGGTTGCACTGTCAGCAAAGATAACCTGACAGCCCGCCTTTCCTGAGAGGTGACCTCAGAGGGTGTCAGAAAAAAGCAGGTTGTGTAACTGTCTAGCTTCTATTTATGCTGGTTGTGTGTCCAGTGTAGCCTCTGATCCAGATGACTGAAATTAAACCAAATGGATAAAGTCAGCTCCGTTCAACTCTTGTCACCTAGTATTTCATATTCTGTCCATTGAATACTTTTCAATGGCTGTCTGTCTGTATTACATTTTGGTAAACTGAAGGCAGTTAAAACCTTCATGTCTTCCCCCTGTGGCGGATGAGCTTAAACTAAAGTAAAAAGTATATATATAGAACCGCAGGTTTTATGTGGAAAATGTTTAATATTCAGGGTAGTTATCTCTTTGATCTCCATGTCAGATCTTTTTGAATAATTTACTCGTTTTTTTTCCAAAATGGTGCCTTATATAACTCTAAAAAAGGTGAAGGATGTATCTCCATAAGACAGCCGGCTTTCTGTGAAGCTACAAACTGGAATTACAGAACGCTACTTCTTTGCTTTTACCAGGAAAAAGAGCTGTTGGAGATCTAACGAATCATCTGAATTGTAACAGTGTTTCCTGATCAGACATTAGCAACGACCCAAAATAGTCCAGTGACTCAGGACTGTAAAAGACGAGAATCGATGAATGTGAAAACTGTAAATGATAATCGTTTTGAAGAGTGGAGTGGTTGATGGAGGGACAGGAGGTAATGGTTGGCTGGCTCTTGCTGAGAGCAGCAGAGGCTTGTGGGTAAGGTGTCCGTTGGAGGACTGGAAGTCGTGTAGCGCCTGTTATGACAACAGATTATTCTGATAATGTAAGGTCTGCTGGGCTGAGATAACAAGAGGGCACTGACTGATCTGCCCACCCTCTGCATGACAAACTCAGTCCTTCTCTCCAGCTAGCTGGTTGTGCGTAAAGGCGTCCTGCTTAGCGTTTTTACATCATCGTCATCTTGATGAATACATTTCCTTCCCCTATTAAACATTTACCGAGGTGATACTCCATAAATGTTTGAAACCTCCAATGTTTGCATCCATGTTTAATACCTTGTTGACTTCCTGTCTAGAGAGGATATTTTAGCCTTTCTGTGGTTTATTTTTGGCTCATTTCAAAGCCTGTCTTGTAACCTCGTAAATGGCTGAAGGATGTGATCAAAGAAAAAGAGGATACTGGTCTTCAGGTGTTTATCGTGTAGCCATCTGCTGCCACGGAGTCCCCCAGCCTTTGCTTTAGGAAGTTGACACCATGCCTGGTGCTGGCATGCTGTCGTTTTTCGGCCGCCCAGGAATGTTCATTTATTGGCATGTCAAAGTTTGCTTGTCCATTATTCTTTGCAACCTTAGAATTGGAAGACAGCCCCCCCCCCCCCTCCTCTCTTGCTGATTGGAGTTACAGTTGTGGGCATGATTTCATTACCAACTCTTTTGTGCATGTGGTCCTTTTTTCTTTTCCTCAGGTATCGGATCAACTTATTTCCATGCCACTCTTAGCTTCCTTGGCCAAATGCTGGATGAGCTGGCCATTTTATGGGTGCTCATGTGTGCCATTGCCATGTGGTTTCCCAAGAGATACCTTCCGCGGATGTTCAGGAGAAACCGGTAAGTGCATGTTTCTGATTTATGTATCCAAAATCACCCCATTTAGCCTAAACTAAGCTAAACCATCCATCCATCCATCCATCCATTCTCCTCCGCTTATCCGGGGTCGGGTCGCGGGGGCAGCAGTCGGAGCAGGGAAACCCAGACTTCCCTCTCCCCGGCCACTTCAGCCAGCTCCTCCGGGGGGATCCCGAGGCGTTCCCAGGCCAGCCGGGACACATAGTCCCTCCAGCGGGTCCTGGGTCTTCCTCTGGGCCTTCTCCCGGTGGGACGAGCCCGGAACACCTCCCCAGGGAGGCGACCAGGAGGCATCCTGATCAGATGCCCGAGCCACCTCAACTGGCTCCTCTCCACGTGGAGGAGCAGCGGCTCTACTCCGAGCCCCTCCCGGATGGCCGAGCTTCTCACCCTATCTCTAAGGGAGAGCCCAGCCACCCTGCGGAGGAAACTCATTTCGGCCGCTTGTATCCGCGATCTCGTTCTTTCGGTCACTACCCAAAGCTCGTGACCATAGACGAGGGTGGGAACGTAGATCGACCGATAAATTGAGAGCTTCGCCTTTAGGCTCAGCTCTCTCTTCATCACGACAGACCGGTACAGCGCCCGCATTACTGCAGACGCCGCACCGATCCGCCTATCGATCTCACGCTCCCTACCCCCATTCGCAAACAAGACCCCGAGATACTTGAACTCCTCCACTTGGGGAAGGACGTCCGCTCCGACCCGGAGAAGGCACTCTACCCTTTTCCGGTGAGAGACCATGGTCTCGGACTTGGAGGCACTGATCCTCATCCCAGCCGCTTCGCACTCGGCTGCGAACCGCTCCAGCGAGAGCTGTAGGTCCCGACTTGATGGAGCCAACAGGACCACATCATCTGCAAAAAGCAGAGATGCGATCCTAAGGCCACCAAGACTGACACCCTCAACACCTCGGCTGCGCCTAGAAATCCTGTCCATAAAAGTTATGAACAGGACCGGAGACATAGGGCAACCTTGGCGGAGTCCAACTCCCACCGGAAACGAGTCCGACTTACTACCGGCAATGCGAACCAAACTCTGACTCCGGTCGTACAGGGACCGAACAGCCCGTAACAAAGGGCCAGGTACCCCATACTCCCGGAGCACCCCCCACAGGATACCCCGAGGGACACGGTCGAACGCCTTCTCCAAGTCCACAAAACACATGTGGACTGGTTGAGCGAACTCCCATGCACCCTCTAGGACCCCGCTGAGGGTATAGAGCTGGTCCAGCGTTCCACGGCCAGGACGAAAACCACCCTGTTCCTCCTCGATCCGAGGCTCGACTATCCGACGGACCCTCCTCTCCAGAACCGCTGAATAGACCTTCCCAGGGAGGCTTAAGAGTGTGATCCCCCTATAGTTGGAACACACCCTTCGGTCCCCCTTTTTAAATAGGGGGACCACCACCCCAGTCTGCCAATCCAGCGGGACTGCCCCTGATGTCCACGCGATGTTGCAGAGTCTCGTTAGCCAACGCAGCCCCACAACATCCAAAGCCTTTAGGAACTCCGGCCGAATCTCATCCACCCCCGGGGCCCTGCCACCGCGGAGCTTTTTGACTACCTCGGTGACTTCAGCCCCGGAGATTAGAGATTCCAGCTCCGAATCCCCAGGCTCTGCCCCTCCAACGGAGGACGCGCCAGTGGGATTGAGGAGGTCCTCGAAGTACTCCGCCCACCGACCCACAACGTCACGTGTTGAGGTCAACAGCACACCATCCCCACTGTAAACAGTGTTGGTGGGGCACTGCTTCCCCCCCCTGAGACGCCGGATGGTGGACCAGAATCGCCTCGAGGCCGTACGGAAGTCTTTTTCCATGGCCTCCCCAAACTCCTCCCACGCCCGGGTTTTTGCCTCGGCGACCACCCGAGCCGCACGTCGCTTGGACTGCCGGTACCCATCGGCTGCCTCCGGAGTCCCACAGGCCAAAAAGGCCCGATAGGACTCCTTCTTCAGCCTGACGGCATCCCTCACCGCCGGTGTCCACCAGCGGGTTCGAGGGTTGCCGCCACGACAGGCACCGACAGCCCTGCGACCGCAGCTCTGGGAGGCCGCGTCATTGATGGAGGCGCGGAACACGGCCCACTCGGACTCAATGTCCCCCGCCTCCCCCGGAACGTGTTCGAAGCTCTCCCGGAGGTGGGAGTTAAAGCTCCGCCTAACAGGGGACTCCGCCAGGCGCTCCCAGCAGACCCTCACAACACGCTTGGGCCTCCCGGGTCTCACCGGCATCCTCCCCCGCCATCGGAGCCAACTCACCACCAGGTAGTGGTCGGTGGAAAGCTCCGCCCCCCTCTTGACCCGAGTGTCCAAAACATGCGGCCGCAGATCAGCTGAAACGACAACGAAGTCGATCATTGAGCTGCGGCCTAGAGTGTCCTGGTGCCAGGTGCACATATGGACACTCTTATGTTTGAACATGGTGTTCGTTATGGACAATCCGTGCCGAGCACAGAAGTCCAAAAACAGAACACCGCTCGGGTTCAAGCTGGGGGGGCCATTCCTCCCAACCACGCCCCTCCAGGTCTCACTGTCGTTGCCCACGTGAGCGTTGAAGTCCCCCAGCAAAACGAGGGAGTCCCCAGGGGGGGCACCCTCCAGTACCCCCTCTAAAGACTCCAAAAAGGGTGGGTACTCTGTGCTGCCGCTAGGCGCATAGGCACAAACGACAGTCAGGACCCGTCCCCCCACCCGAAGGCGAAGGGATGCTACCCTCTCGCTCACCGGGGTAAACCCCAACGTACAGGCACCGAGATGGGGGGCAATGAGTATGCCCACTCCTGCTCGGCGCCTCTCACCGGGGGCAACTCCAGAGTAGCAGAGCGTCCAACCCCTCTCGAGAAGGCTGGTTCCAGAGCCAGAGCTGTGTGTCGAGGCGAGACCGACGATGTCCAGCCGGAATCTCTCCGCCTCGCACACCAGCTCAGGCTCCTTCCCCGCCAGAGAGGTGACGTTCCACGTCCCTAGAGCCAGCTTCTGCAGCCGGGGATCAGTCTAAGCTAAACCAAGAAGCATATTTGAGTTCATTGCAGGGCAACTGGTCTTCACATGATATGTCCATTGGTGTGACTGTACAGTTTAATTATAGGCCTGTCCAAGATAGCTGACACCAGTAAAAGCCACATCACATGCCTTTACTTCTCTTTCCATTGTCACAAAGCAGAGTAGTGGCTGCCCTCCACCGTCAGGCTCTGGCTTGATATTTTCTCCAGTCTTTGCTCATCCTTATCTGAACTGAAGGCTTCTTATTTTCTGTTTCTTAAAGTGTGTGATCAGGGTGCTTTCTAGCAATGCTCTGACACAGTCAAACATTCCTGCATGTATTTTGCAATGTGTTTGATAGAAAAACAAAGTAGCGACAGATTCTGCTTCTCATTTCACTTCTCCATGTAGGTCAGGGTTTAAAGTGGTCATCGGCATCTTGTCCGGGATCACCACCGGGCTGGCCTTTGTGAAGCCAGTCGTCAACTCGCTGTCCCTCATGACTCTGGGCATCCCATGCACAGTGTTGCTTATTACTGAGCTCAAAAGGTTAGTAAAGCTTGAAGCGGGAAAAATCAGCCTCCTCCTGAACCGTGACCCTCTGCTATGCATTGTATTGAGATATAAAATGGTCTTGGACATTTAGAAAAATTGATGTAATCTAATTTTCTCGTCACTCTATGACTCAAACCTAAATGAAAAAAAATACTACTGAACTCATCAAACACTGGCATCGTCAGCTGTCACTTGAATGGAAATGCCTCAGTCTGAATTATTTGTTGCTGGCATCTCTAAAAGGATTTGTTTTTGTGTGATTGTGTTGCTTAACACCCACCATTCTTTTTTCTGCTTGTGTGAGTCACACAGTGACTGTGCTGGATAAGAAAGGGTTGGTTGATTGTTGGGCTTCAGATACAAGCTTTACAATTTTGTTTTTTTTACTGGTCCTTTTATTCATAAATCCATCATTAAATTTGAGTGAATGACTTTTGAAGAATCCTGTTATTAACTTGCAGACATATCATATGATGGGTAGGTGTGATTGAGAGAGGAAAAAGCACAGTCTCCAGCTCTATAGGGAATAAACATGCTGCCAGAGCTGGAAAAAGTGTCAATGAATGATCTTCAGTAACAGTCGCTCAAACGAGTGAGCAAGAAAAATACAACTTCTAAGAGGATAAAAAAATATGCAGCTCCATAAAAGGAAACCATAGAGAGCTTTTCAGTAATAAATGTATTCTCTTGGACTGTCTGATGTGTATCATGTTAGGTAAGGAATCGTGTTATTTTCATCCAGATATGTTTTCCTGCTTAATAATGAGCACCGAGTCTGCTCCATACATCACAAGTCCTCTTCAAGTGTGTGTAGAAACCTTTTTTTTACTTAATGTAAGTTTGGTCATTTATTCACCCTTTTGATTCTTGCATCTGCAAATGAAAAATGACAATCAGAGGGAAACTAGCTGACAACAACAGACCACAAGCTCATCATTTTTAGCCCAACAACAATCAACAAAGGCACAAAAGGAATGAAGGGTCATCCAGCAGAAAGAAATGGGGGGTATGAGATGAGTCTCTCTGGAACTGAACTGATGTGCTGGAGAGTTAGAAACCTTAGCTTCTATGTAAACTTTGCAGTTCATCGTTACAAATTAGAATGTAACACAAAAAATGTATTTACTTTTTTCCCAGTAAATAAGCACAAAACAGAACCTAATGCCCATGGATCTACTGCTGGGTGATAAGCTATCTTCCACACTGTAATAAAGCCAGAGCACCTTTTATGGGCCCAGCAACATAAGTGGGAGACAAGGAATTGATCAAAAGACAAAAGTAAGACAAAGTGATAAAATGGCAGATTTATAGTACATGTTGTTGTAAGGTTGGGTACTTTTGTTTAGCTGGTTTTCTCAGGTTTCCTCCCTGTCATTCCCGCTGCCTTACACAATAGCTTCCTTGGCCAATCGGGCTTCATTGGCCTATGCACTAAAGGCCTAATTGGCCTATGCACTAAAGGCCTTTCTTCAGATTTCTGTTGTGATTTTAAAAGAAAACTAAAAACGCAATTCCTTCAAACTATTAAGTAATTGCTCTCTCTGTGCCTTGTATCTATTCACAGTATGCGAGATTGTGAGTCTTTAAAAACATTAACAATGATTTGATGTTACCAGTATGCTTCCACAGTCTTAGTACACTTAGATGCAGATTTATCTCTGCATGTTTAGTTTGCTCATACTGCAGAAATAAGGTTTGAACAGATATATTGTCATCTAAAAATAATGACTGTGTCCTGTTCAGCTGCTGCATCACTTAGCTTTTAACTGAACAGAAGCCAGCAGTGTTGTGATGTGCGAACTGTAAGCCACAGTACATTAACATGTGACCTTTAACCTTTTGTACTTTCAGAGTCTGACAAACCGGCTAGCCTAATAATAGTCTCCTATGATGTGATGGAAAGTTCCTAAAAACACATTTTGTGCTCGTTCTTGTTTGTGTGTTTCTAAGGCTTTCCTCCACATCATTATCACGGACATGTATTGTGTTGTTTTCTGTTTCCCATAACCCTTACTACCCCCCGCCCCCCCCTCCCTGTCAGCCCTAAAACCTGAAGTCGTCTATTGTTCTACTCCTGTGTAATTTTTGACATGACTCCTGTACCAGTCATCTGTTGAAGCCGCTTGTTTTGTGCTGCTAAGTGGACCTGAATTCCTGTGGCCCTGACACATGGACCTCTGCCCTCCAAAAGCACGCACTGTTTTGCTGCCATTTGTTTTTTCCTAAGAGGGTGACTGTTGTCCTATATTCAAATAACTTTAGTCTCACAACACATCGCTTCAGTGTTTCATATATCCATCACACGTATTGTGTAAAGCAGAAGTGTTGGAACGAAAACACCAGTTAATGCAAATTGAGATCAAAGTATAAAAGCAGAGTTCTTTTTTCTTTTTCTTTTTAACGCTTACTTATACAGTATAAACTATTAACCCACCGCTGCGTGAAGCATTTACAGACTACTGCTCAGTTCTAATGAAATCCTGTTTTTAAAAAACTCAGTATATTCTCAGAATGATAGCAGGCAGGCTATAGATAAATCCAATGCAGTAAAGTCAGCTGTGCTGTTAGAAGAAGCAAAAACCTTGAAGGATTTTTCATGGTTCATAACATCTCAGTTTCAGACATGCTTCAGCCATTCATTTATCATGATACAAGGACGGTGGTCCAACACAGGGCCTTAGTGGAGCTGAAGCACCATTCTACTCTGCATACTGAGTGACAACAGGAGCACATTTCTTGTATTGACCTGCAGAAAAACTGAAGTAGTAAGCTTTGACCTACATCACAATAACTCCTCAGGCGCCGATGTGCTTTTTTTTACCAATGGTTAGAAATGCATAAAAGACCCTGTCCACAGTTGGTCCTCGAGGGCTGCTGTCCTGCTTCAGCACACCGTATTTATATCATACGCACCAATAACAGACTGGGAAGAATTTAGCAATCGTTTGAATAGATCATTGTAATCTGAATTAGGTGTGTCTGAGCAGGGAAACATCTGAAACCTGCAGGGAAGCAGCTCTCAAAGACCAGCGTTGGACACCCGTGGCATAAATCGACCTTACCGTCTGGTCCAGTTTGTGTCCATCCAATCGATGCAGCGGCCACTCATTCGGGGAGACGGCAGGGTCTCTTCAATGGGGGGGGGGGTGCTTGGCTTCCTGTGGCCTTCAGCGTTGTAGAGGAACTCTCCTGCACTCCTGTCAGGCAAACTATTTTAGACTGACCTGCTCGTAAAGAAATGGACAGATGTCACCTGATTTGATAGTCAAACAAGGCCGGAAGTCACAGACACACCATCATTGAAATCTTGCGCGGCCGTTGCTCGTTCGCAGCAGGAAATTAACGAGAAAAATAACGAGAAACAACATAACAACGACAGCTTTAAAAGCCACCAATGGATGCATATCCCAGCGGTCATTGGACGAGGCAGGGTACAGCCTGGACGTCAGCCTTATCGGACTAACTGCTCATCACTATTGCACATTATTTAGGTCACTCTTATATCTAGTTCCCTTTTTTATATTTTGTCACTTCCACTTACATTTTTAACAGTAATTTCCAATCGGTTAGCACAACTTTGACTTTCACTGTAGTGTTTCCACCACATAGTTTCAACACAGTCATGCCTACATTTCTCTCACTGTAGAAAGAGTCACTTTTATGTTTGTGTTTTTAGGGATCTGGAAGCGGAACATTTTGGAGTAACCCCTTTCAAATCTGCTGGCTCATCTTCTTATCTCCAGTAGGCGGTCAGTCCTGTATGATGGATGTTTACACTGCAGTTGACTTTGCAGTCAGTCATGAAGCTCCCGCCAGCGACAGGCTGGAAGCTGCTGGTTTGGCACGCTCTTGGCTGGGCTTTAGTCTAGATTTGTACCTTTCTGTGTGGAACAAAACTTTTTTTCTCTTGTAAATGACTTGGCAAACAAATTGTGTATTACAAAACACTTTTTAAACAAAGTTCTAGACTAAGCCTTACAAGGGCTGGGTGTTACTCAGGATGTTTTGCTTTGCAGCAAATTAGAGATAAATGCTTTGCATGCCAACTCCAGGAAGACACCAATGTCTCCCACATGTCAGAGGGGAATAGAACAACAGCATCCAGCTCCCTTTAGATCCACAAATTCCCAACACACCCTTGTTGCATGCTAACTTTTTGCAAGTGTTTTGACCACTATAACAAATGGCAAAACTCTTTCTAAACTTAAAAAAAAGTAAAGACAAATTTTACAAAGCTACTTATTTTTACTGTTGCTTTATGGAACACAGCAATATATTGACTTAAGAACAACAACCAGAGTTGTAAGGATTAGACAACCCCTGAAGCCACTTCCTCTCTGTGCAGTCAAGGAAGCGGAGCTTCACAGTGAAACTCCACCACTGCTCTTTTATCTTTCCTTTCTGCACTTTAACCCTCCTTCACATTTGCCATCGTCGAGTTTCTTATCTTACTTACTACTCTAATTGGTGGACGGAAGGTCCCATGATTTCAGTAATCAGATAGATTTGTGCTGATGGGTGTTCTTGTGTTTCTTGGTATGACCGTTGGCTGATGCAGGACTTTGTGGTTGTTGCAATCCGCAGGTGGACAAGTGGCTAAAAGCTGGATGCCCCACCAGAACTTTCTCTTTTGAGAATGGTAGTTGAAATGTATGCCTCGGTACTGACCACTGTTGAACAGCGCATTTCCCATTATTTTCATACTTCTTGTTGTCAATGAGAAGCCGTGACACTGACTCGATCCCTGTCTGGGCCATTCGTGCAATTTACAAACCTGCAGTTTACAAATCTAGCGCTTCATGGGACTGAATTCAGTGATGATCAGACATCTTACCGACAGTAATGTTTGTTAGGTATTTGTCCTACTGTATCACAGGATTTTAGGTCTGAAAGCTGCACTGATCACTGTTGGATTGGGCTTTCCATCAGCACTCCCAAACCTTTTAGCCCTCTTTTATCAGATGCATACTGTTTACTGTTACTCATTTTTGAAAGGCTTTGAAAGACTGTCATGAAATCTATTACCTTAAAAGTCCAAAGGAAAGGTTTGACTGGAACTTTGTAGCACTTTTACAAGCATTAGAGATAATTACAGACCCTTATTTCCGGTATTTCTTTATTCTTACCCTTGAATTGCTCACTTTTCTTTACAACCATATCAACTCAGGAAATGTGTCCCAGACATATATATTTATGTCTTCTGCCTTATCTATCTAACATTTATGTCTCAATGTCTTTATCACTCTGAATACATATAAATCAATCAAATAAATGTTTTTTTTTTTAAGATCAATTCATCCTCCACTCACTTTAGAGACTGAAACTTAACAAAGTATTTGATTGGGGTGCTGAAATATTTGCATGCCACTGTATGAGCCTTCAACTTAACTAATACAAAACATCCTCCCACACTTAATAATTATGTTATCCCATTATTCAATTAGAAATTATCTATATTCATAGTGTGACTAATGTCAAAATGTGAGCTGCTATCCTCTCTGTATGCAACCTGTTTTGACATACAGACTCCTGTATGAACCAGATACAACTATCTATTGCATCTTATCTAACCTGAGGGTCATTAGCATTTGTGTATGTTATGTAACTCACCCAATTTCCCATCTGTTCTAAAAAAATGTATTTAGTCTTTCATTCTGGTGATTACAGCTCCTCTCTGCCAGTTGTTAAGGGCAATTTCCCAGTCATTTATTTAAATGAAGACATTTTTAGAATATTGAAATGCCCGCAATATGTGGCAGAGCACCACGTTGTCTCCAAAATGTAAAAGTCTGACTTAATTTCTATTCATGTTAAAACCGAGGCTAAATCATCATTTGATTCTTTTTCATGGTGGTAGTGGTGTGCCTTGTATCTGCCCAGAACTTGTTTTCCCCAAAAATTGTATCAAAGCATTTAAAGCCCAATGGATATCTTGATAAAAAAAAAAAACATTATTAGGCTTCCCATGAAAATGAGGATCAAAAAGGAAGTTGTGGATGTTGTATTGGGATGATAGCTTTTCAGAGGATGTACTTTATAAACTATTTTAATCTTTATTCAAATATTCCTTTTTTAAAAGGAAATCTATTTTGTCTATGGAAAATGTTATGTAGTAATTTAGGACCTCCTCCAAAGCAGGACAAATAACATCTACTTTCTGATGCCCTGACAACTGGAGATAGGTGGGGGATCACTTTGTAGTACCTCTCCACTATTTATTTTCCTTTCTACATTGTCTGTTCTTTCTACTTAGGTATGAAATGTAAAACAGGTTTGATAGATCTAAGCTATCGTCTGTTTTGGCTGTTTTGGGTCTGACGTTTGTACACCAGTGTTTGGGTGGCAAATGTTGGTGAGTTAGCTCCTGACAAACCGAAACAGGATCCTCAGGGTTTGGTTGTTTCACCCAAAAAATATGTCAGATATCAGTAAAATCGACTGGAAATTCCTCTCTTATGCTCGAAAGGGTGATTTATAGTTGTTCTATCAGAAGATTTCAGCACGTTTTCCATTTCAACTGGAAGCTGCAGGAAGGACAATCTTCCATACATTTGTTTATCTTAATGTTGTTTACAGGCACACCTACAACATTAAATCGTACTATCTGCTACTTCTGATGACAGTGTGAGAAATAACAGGAAAAACTGCTGACATGTAGTGAGCCCAGTCATTTCAATGAATGTTCTTCCACAGAACTTTCGGTCTAGATTGGGAAGGTCAGTCACAAAAATTGAGCCATTTACAGACAAGGACTTTCTGCCTTCACACAGCCTGCTCTTATCAGTCGGAGTGGGCAAAGCCGCCTATTGATTAACCCAGTTATCTGTGTTTGCACCATTCATGTTCAACTGTGCAACTCCCCCGTTTGAAGCTGCCCCCCTTTTTGCTGAGGGGTGCTTGTTGTTTTCTTTGCTCTTATTCATATTTAGAGAGTGTGATTTCTCCTTGAAACACTGGTAACTCGCAGTGGAGGCTTTTGAAATCCGAGTTAATCTAATCTGAATGGAGGGTGATGCATAGTCCAGAGTTTCAGGTTGCTGCCTTTGTTTTGGCAAAACAGAGTGTTTACCTCAGCTGTGATTGGGTTTTTAAGGAGGACATGCTAAGAATAGCTTATCAGTGGCACTCTGGATTAGCACATCTTTATAGGTCAGGCTGTGTGTATTAATATAGTGGTTCAGTCTGTACATTATAGAAATATTTCCATCAAGCGAGCCAGTGATGATGCATCAAGGTAAATTTAAGATTTGAATATCCTGCCTGACCACATTTATACAAAGAGCCTAAAATATTTATTTGGTATCAATGCCTTTACTTTTTACCTCGATCTGAACACTCGCAGTATGTTTTTTTATGGGTTTAAGAACAGAATAGGCATGTTTTTGGCTAATCGCTCTCTGGGGATCACGTTGCTGTAGTGCAGAGGCACTCATTTAAATAATCAGACTGTGTAATCTTAGACACAAGTCAATAAATGGGATTAAATGCTGCATCTTTGCAGCTTGAGGGTTGTAAAAATAAGTGAGTGAAAGATGTAACCAGGTTCTAAAGTGTCTGTGGCTTCATGGCCTCTCAGGTAGAATGACCTATATTTCATAATCAAACTGTTAACTTATTACTGATTTGCTTATGTATTTAGATAGATAAAATTATCTGTGGGTGTGTGTGTTCTCTGGGTTGCTCTCATTTCTCAGCACACTGTCATTTTAGGTGTGAAAACCCACGTGTGTTCAAGCTGGGCCTGATCTCAGGGATCTGGTGGGCCCTGGCTCTGCTCTGCTGGATCAGTGACAGGATCTTCTGCGAAATGTGGTCATCCGTTAACTTCCCCTACCTGCACTGTGCTTGGTAAGCTCACACCAAGCTTGGAAACCTCAGTGCCGCATATGGCCGTGTGACACTGAACTTGATTCAACTGTTGTTGTTGTTTTGTTGGTGAATTTGTCTTAGATTTGGTCCCAAATATTCTGTGTAGTATAAGTACAAGTGATAAGATGAGCAGAAAAGATGGTCAATCTTTTTTTAAAGGGCAAGATTAGGAAAAACTTCTCCACTTGAATGTAGAAAAATGAAATGGGCACATTCTATATATGTAATAAAATGGTAGACATGTTCACAGTGATCGGGGGGAACACTGTGTATAAGAATTAGTGGAAAAGAAATGCTGTTTTTTTTTTATCCCCACTAACAATATCACAGCCATTCTGACCTATTCACTCTCTGGTTTCTCTGTACAGGCACATCCTCATTTGTTTGGCCTCCTACTTGGGCTGTGTGTGTTTTGCCTACTTTGACGTTGCGACAGAGGCCCCGGAGCGAGGGCCCGTCATCATGTTCTGGCCCAATGAGAAGTGGGCCTTCATCGGTGTGCCATACGTTTCCTTACTCTGCGTTCACAAGAAGTCGACTATCAAGGTGACTTAAAGAGGCCTGTATAGTATACAGGCCTGCAGCTTTGCCACCAGCAAAATACAGCGACGCGCCTGGGAGGGGAGTTGCCCTCAAAACAACCTGAGAAGCTTGAGATGGGGTTTGAAACTTTACGATGAATCTGATGCACATTCTGGGCAACTGCAAGGTAATACCTTTTCCCCAACCCGGGCTGGTCTTTGAAGCTCAGCAAAGCAGTATTTTGTTGAAACTCTGCCAAACAACGTCTTACACGATGCAGACGTACTCCAAAATGCAAGCATGTCAAAAGTAAGAAACCTTTACAGTGTTCCAGACAAATCCTCAGAATACGCCTGAGATCTCTGAAGAGTGAAAGTTTTAACACTTTATGCATTTTAAAATAAGGTGCTTTGAGAATTTAATCAATTTCCTGAGAATAGGAAAACCTCACCCTAAAGAATTATGTTGCCATTTCAAACATTGATATAAATGTGTCGTAGGCCATTTCTAACCATGTTTGGCTCTGTAAAGCACTGGATTATTCAAATGTGACTAATGCAAACTGCACAGCTCAGCCAACCATAGAACTCTCAGTGAGTTAACAAGCCGGTCCATAAGACCTGAGAGAAAAGGAAGGTAGTTCACAACTAGTCTTGGATAGACATTTCCTTTTCAGATTTTTTATGTTGTCATTTAAGCATGCAACTGTGAATGTTAAGAATAATGTAAGAAACATATATTTAATCTATTCCTGTGTACATTAGTAAACCAACAACGCAATGCAGTTATTGTCATAAGAAATAATAAGATTGACTTATGTCTGAATGACCTGGCACTTTTGAAAGTGGCCACAACCCAAAGTTAAAAAAGAAAAGAAAAGAAACCAAAAAATATAGTTCTCAATATATGATAAGTTGATGTGTAGTTTAATTTTAGCGTTTTAATATTTTGAAGCTCAACTTTTCAGACATATCTGACATATCTGCTTGTTCATTGCTCTTCAGGGTATGATTGAATATTTGAAATGGTGCAAAAAGCTTCAACCAAACATGATAATGAGTTACAAAGTAGGTAGATGTGATTCATAACTTTGTGATGTTTTTTGCTTTGTTTTCTTAAAATGTTTTCAAAGTTGGAGAGCTGATCATAGCAAGTAATGTGACATGAGTTTCATTTGTCTCTTATATGTGTTCATTGTACAAGAGATAAAAGAGAGAGAGAGAATAGAGAATGTCCATGCAACGGCTCTGGGCGTAGCAACGGACATACGCTTACCCAATAAGAGTAGAATCTTTAAAGCTTTTTTTATTTTGTGAAATTTTGAGAATGTCCTGGAGCTGTTATTTCAGTCCTGTCCTCCTGCAGAGGCTCCAGGGATCTCGAATTGGGCGAAAAAGTTGTGCAACCATAACGGGTCAAAGGAAGGATCGCCATTAACTAATAAAGAAAACATTTTTTTAGACAAACTGAAGCAATATTTTCTCAAAATGAAGTATTTTGTTAAGCTGAAACCCATTTGTATTTTTTTGTAGCAGAGATGCTGCCAAAATGATGTGCGGAGGTGCTTTTGATAATGGATTGATTGCCTTTTATATGGTCAGTTTTTTTTAATCATGTTTTTGTTCAAGAGGAACTACAGGTTCAACAATGTGACAAAAGTCCACAGAAAATGTTCAGTTTGTTGACAGCATTAAACAGCTGATCCAAGAAAGCACAAATATTGAAGAAGTCAGTGAATCAGCACCAGAGCGTGAACAGATCAGCCTGCTTAATGTAAATGTGATGTCAAACCATAGACCATAAGGTATGATTAGTGCAGTCTTTTTACTGACATGTACATGTATTAAAATCAAAGAATTTCTCCACCCGCATCGACAATACAGATAAGTTGCACAGAAATATTTATTTTAATAAATTATCCTGTTTTGTAAACAAACATTTGTAAAGAACTATTTGTAACAGATTAGAATTTTGGTATTTTATTTTGTGTAATGAATAAAGCCAATACTTAAGATGAATATCGTGACTTCAAACAGTGTCTCTTTTACAGTGATTCCTTATGGACTGTATATATTGTGGGGGTGTTGCTGGGTAACAAACTGGAGTGGTCTGCCAACAGCGTACAGGAAGGGCCAGAGCAATCCCTTCCTCCTGAGACAGCTTTGGTCCTTTAATGTCTGCAGAGACATGCTGTGAATGTTCCAACACACTGTCTTTGACAGTGCTTAGTTCTATGCCGTTTTCTGCTTTGGGAACTGGCCGTACAGACAAAAACTGCAGGTGCCCGAACAAACTGGTGAAAAAGGGGTCAGTTGTAAGACGAGACCTGTACAGTCTCAGAAGTGGGGTGGATTAGCAGATGAGGGGGAAGTTATGTTTTGTATTGGAGAATGATATACATCCCCTCCGCAGAACCCTGGCAGGACAGGGGAGCAGCTGTAGTGAAAGGCTAATTTATCTGGGCTGCAGGACTTAGAGGTTCAGGAGCTCCTTTTTTATAATAAGCATGATTGGTTTGTTTTTTGTTGTTGTTGTCTTTCTCATCTTTATTTAGGTTTTTCTCATTTTAAATAAAGAAGGGCCAAAAAGAAGTGCATCACATACAGTGCTGTGTATATGTGAAGATGCATGTATCAGAGCTGCCACTAGAGGGCAAAATAATTCCTCATCCACAAGTAAATCAACCATGAGATAAACACATTTTGTGATTGAATTAGTGTATAACCGCCATTTAATCAGGGGAAGCTGGACTTTTTCGAGAAAAAAAGTCATGACTGTTTTAAAAGTGACTGTAGACACATATTTCTGTGTACGTAGGTGTTTCTTAAAAAGCAGCATTTCCAGCTACAAACACAAATGACACACACTCCATCATTAAATGTAGTCTGCGAATGTGAGATGTTCAGACTTGTTCTTGATCTAAAAAAAGATAAACAGAAGTAGCACAGAAATGAAATCTCTTAAGGATATTCTCTTCTTCCTGCATATCAGGTTTAAACATCACTTATTTAGTGAACCGAGGAAGGGGGAGGGGGGAAATAAAACAGAAAAACAAAGTTATTGGAAAGATGAACGCGTCCGGCTGTCGTACAGTTTAAGTTAAAACTTCTTCCCACAAGGATACCAGAGATGTTTTATCTCAGCTTGTGTAGTTTGTGCTATTCATCTGTTATTTTTCCATTCAGAACGTCAGAATATTAAATTGACCGGGGCTCCCTCATGTCGTGGGTGTAATTTGGTTTAAATAAAACTCCTTTATCTGCTGTGATGTGGAAACTATAAGCCTCTTTTGCTGCATGATCAAGGAACATTTTATTCCGTTTTATTTTTTATTTGGGAGGACAGACAGGAAGTCCCGCCTTCCCGATGCACTCGACGTCCTGATTGGCTGGAGGGCGACGTCGCTCCGGTAACAGCCATGTCCACGGTTTGGGCTTTGGGTCAGATGGAAAAGCATCGCTCTTTAACTGGTAACCTCAGAGGATCCTTTATCTCAGCGTGAAGCCTTTTGGGAGCCTGGGTGGCTGAAGCTGTGGACGGACGGACTCCTCTCCTCTCCGCGGGCTGGATCTGCGCCTCTCGCCAGGATGATGCTTGTTATTGGCCGATAAAGAAAAAAAGAAAAAAAAGAAAAAGAAAAACACGGCGCTTTCGTCGAGCATAAAGAACCCCCCCTCCAAAAAAAAAAAAACATTAAAAGGTGTCTCCACCGCCAGGTTATCAAACATAACAGACGCGTACATGTGATTCCTTCCCATCGCGCGGGCGTTGCTTGAAACAAAAAAAATCCACCCAGATGATGTCAGGAAAGCATTTCAAGGCTCACGAAGTGAGCTGCTGCATCAAGTACTTCATATTCGGATTCAACATCATATTCTGGGTGAGTCCCCCCCCCCCCCTTTGCTTGGGGCCCTCGGTCCGCACACTGACATTCAACTGACATGACAGCGTTTGTTTGTTTGTTTGTTTGTTTGTTGCCTGTGTGTGTGTGTGTGTGTCTTCTGGTGTTTCCGTTGGCTTTGGCCGGACACAAAGGGGGGGTTCTCCCTCCGCAGTGCCTCTCTCTCTATGGGTGCACTTGCTCCGTCTGCCACCCCTTTCGCTTTGTGTGCTTGTGTTTGAGCCTCTGGCTGGGTTTTGGGGCAGGAAGAGCTGCACGTTTGCAGACGCTGTTGTGCCAAAACCGCTGCAGAGGCAAAAAAACAAAACAACCTTCCTCTCACGCCGGAGACGCACCGTGACACCGCGGGCCGCCCGCTGTTTGTCTCCGTGAGGAAAGGCAGGGGTCAAAGCTGCTTTAATGGAGCATTGTTATATGTAACCCATTTCATTTGGAAATTTGAAGGTGTTGGATTCATTCATTAAGAGGAAAAAGGGTCAGAAACGTGAAGAAACCTGAAGTACTGTACCTTTAACTTACAGCTGTTCAATTGTTCAATATGTCAATCATATTAAGCTTCAACATAATCAACAGCAAACTTGATGATTAGGTCTGATTGTTGTTCATGTAAAACTAAATGAAGATGTCACTTTGTACGGAATTCAACTCCACTGATTTGTCTTCATCAAAAGCCATGTTCTTGTGTTTCATAAGTATGTGGTTTATCGTTGTGTTTGTGAGATATGGAAGGCTTTACCCAAAACTTACTTTGTTTTGCCTCTCAAACACATCTACATATCTTTTGGCATTGGTGGTGCCTGGGTGGATGTGCAGGTGAGCAGATCTGGTGGTACAAAAAACGCCTAAACCAACACACATGCAGATGGTAACAAGCAGGATTGTCCCCCTCCTCTTTAATCCACAAAGGAGCTGAGCAGTTCCAAAGACACTGGTAGATTAAGACTTGTGTGTTACTAGTGACCTGCTCCCATTTCTACTTCGGAGACTTTGCCTCTCCAAGGTGCTTATAACACACTTCCGTTTCCCAGGATTTCATCAGCAAAAGTTGAAAAAATTGGCTATACTTCTTCATATCTGGCTCTTAATCACTATAACGAGTTCATCCATATCTTGAGTTTTTTAAAAGTCTGTGTATTCAAGGTTTGTATTCAACAATTCTAAATATCATTAAAAAAATAATGTTTGTTTTTGCTAGTATTGTTTGCTTTTATTTGGTCATTATTCAGGTAGTTTTGATGGTGTTTTTGGTCAATTCTTAAAAGGTATATTTTTAAGAGAGGTATTCTATGTTTAAGAAAGTCTTTTTATAAGCTCAGGATTTTACAGAGGAGCATTGTAATAATATCATCTGTTTTATTCACTTCAGGTTGAATTCAAACTGACTGTGATCATAATCTATGAGATGTTCAGATCTTAATTCCTCATGTTCAAAGTTATGGGGTAGTCAGTGTGCTCCCACCTTAGAGTAGATATAACGCACTTGACAAGTGTGTTTTAGACATCCCACACACACTTCCAATTAAAGCAAACACATTTCTAAATGCAGAGGAGAAAATCATAAGAACATGCAGTTCTGAAATTGTACAGCCAGTAACTTTCTTGTTGTGTTGTGACGGAACTAAACGTTCCACTATTCAATGACGCTAGAAGACATTCATCTTGATCAAAATTACGTCTGTGATTGGTGGGACACCAGTCACTTAGACGTGATTAAGTAAATTATGGTGTATTTCAGTCTGAGAACAAAACAGTTTCACACCAATAACAGTTGTAAACAAAGTGTTTTACACACACAAAGTGTTTTACACACAAATTACCATATGTATAAATTGCAATGCAATAATAGAATATGTTCAATGTACTGCTACCAATGTTATAAGTTCAAACCTTGACTGTCTTTCAATCATAATGCATCCAAACCATTTAAGGATTCCTTTTTCTGTGGGAGTCTTCTGCTGGTTCTGTAGACTTGAGATGAGAATATTTATTTTTGGGCCCTGGCCAGGAAAATCTCTCAGTGGTTTTTCTTCACGTGCCTCTGTTTGATGACCACATGTTGAAGCAAAATAACTAAGCCCTTTTGTCTCCCATCTGTCAGTTCCTCGGAGTGGCGTTCCTTGGCATCGGGTTATGGGCTTGGAGTGAAAAGGTGCGTCTCATGAAGTATATCAGGGTGATTTGAAGTTGTATTAAAAAATTGCATGTTTTTTGTATCCCTCACAGACATCTGCAAGTAATCGGGAGATCATTTGCATAAGTTTCTTATAACCTTGTGTGTCAGCATGGACAGCCAAAATGGCTTTACAGAGTCAGAAAGGAATGTCGTGTTTTCCTGTGGGACGCCCTCGTGAACAATGGGCTGAGTGGATCTGATGTATTTCACAGATTAACTCATAGCAGTTCTTTTCTTTTTGGGGAGACGCAGACAGAAAGTCTGCTTTTCCAACTTGTGCTATTCATTGAATTGACACTGATAACTGCTGTTATTTATCATACTCTTGTTCATTTATGGATTACATATGTACAGTATCTTCTCATGGTCATGACCTGAAATGGCTTTATAAATGAAAAAGTCTACGAAAAGTCTTTAACTGGAATAGAATGTTCATTAAAAAAAGACTGAATAAAGAATTTTCATATAAAAAATTAAAGGATAAGTCCAAGGTTGTGTTAGTTTTTCACAAACAAGTGAAAACCGAAACAGCTTGCCTTGCTGACTCAAAGCACAAACTGAGCACTGACTCAGTTTCCATTTTCCAGCCTGAGTAAGCCAAGTGTTTCCTGACAAAGGGCACATTTCCCAAATCTCACACAGTTTCTCTGATTTAAGAGTCAAGCCTCTTTGTTTGATTAGCTGCTTTTGGATTTCCTCTGATAACCGACAAGTGCTTTTAGCCGTAGTCGCTAGAATTTTTTTTTTAGCATAATCCTAAATGTTTCAAGTACACCAGATAATTCGCCATTAGCCTCTTTGGACAAGGAGATGTAATTCTTAACATTAAATCCGTCTCAGCCATTTTAAAGCAGAAATAACCCTGTCGGTGTAAAGCTAATTTGCCAATGTGATACTTTTTTAGTGTGTAGCTTGCCCTCGTGTGCATATCAGCAACAGTTACAGCCCCCTCACGAGGTTATTTTTAGTAAAAAAAAGATTTGACCATGCTCAGCAGCTGTGGACAACCTTTAGACGTCTTTGAGTATTGTTAGCCTGGTCGTTTTATCTGAATGCGAGCTGGCAAGTAATGGTATGCAGGCCAACGCCACTTGTGGCTACTTTATCAATTCAGTTACATGTCAAGGTTCTGCGTGAGAAAATGTGGCGTGTTGAATACTTCCAGCATGCTATCAGATCTCTGAATTTGTGTTGTTTTTGTGTTGAAAACTGTGTACCATACATTTAAGAGAGGGTAACGCCTCACGGCTTACCAAATATTCCACCATACCTTTTAATTAGAACAGAGACCCGGGATGTTTTTCACGATCAGACTTAGAATGGCAAACATACATGCAGTTGCTATACTGAAGTGGAGAATTTCCCAGCTGTCATTAGGCGAGAGGTGGGGTACACTTTAACCCAGTGCCACGCAGAGAGAGGCATACAACCACACACACTCAGAAGAATAATTTTACCTTACATGTGTGTCTCTGTGTGGCCCTGCGATGGACTGAAGGACCGTCCAGAGTGTACCCCGCCTCTCACCCACTGAATAACTGGATAGGCTCCAGTCCCCCCGCGAACCCATTTGGGAATAAGCGGGACAGAAAATGGATGAATGGATATATGTTTTTGGACCGTGGAAGAACCTGTGTGTTTCCCGCTGCTCGGGATTCAAACCTTGACCCCCCTCGGTGTGAGGCCACAGTGGGAACGGCCACACCACCAGGCAGCTCCCTGTAACCGCCAGGGCCTCTTAGCATCCACCTCTAAAATGCCTTCTTTCTACAGGGAGTTCTCTCCAACATCTCGTCCATCACCGACCTGGGGGGCTTCGACCCCGTATGGCTGTTCCTGGTGGTGGGAGGTGTGATGTTCATCCTCGGTTTTGCCGGTTGCATCGGGGCGCTAAGAGAGAACTCATTCCTCCTCAAGTTTGTAAGACATTTCTAGAATAATTCTGCTATCACTTCTTCTCTTTATAGTGTTTTCTAGATCAACACTATTAACATAAATGTTTTTTGTGTTTCAGTTTTCCGTCTTTCTGGGTATCATCTTCTTTCTGGAGCTGACGGCAGGAGTCCTGGCCTTTGTTTTCAAAGACTGGATCAAGGACCAGCTCAACTTCTTCATTAACAACAACATTCGGGCCTACAGAGATGATATCGATCTGCAGAACCTGATAGACTTCACACAGGAATATGTCAGCATGTTTTTTCTTTTTTTGTTTTAATCAACTCTGCTGATTTTTATGCTCATTTAGTCTTGACCTGTTGTTAAATGTGTTTTTTTTGGTCTGTTTGTTTAACAGTGGGAGTGCTGTGGAGCTTTTGGGGCGGACGACTGGAATTTGAATATCTACTTCAACTGCACCGATTCGAACCCAAGTCGTGAGAAATGTGGAGTTCCGTTTTCCTGCTGCACCAAAGATCCAGCTGTATGTCGTTCTGTTTTACAGACAATTCACAAATTTAATTGTACAGCACAGCAAGACAGTGGGTGTATTGGGCAGGGCTTTTCTGTTTTTTCATTCTATTTATTTAAATGTTTATTTTTTTTAAGTTTAAATTTGAACCTTGTGCCGGGGGCTAGAAGTTCTGATACTTTTTGAATGGACTCCTAGTGAAAGTGAGCCTTGTTATCTGTGTGCTCCAGAGGGCCATCCGAAGATGTTAACTACCGTGGCTGACTTCCAACAGGACGTTCAAGCCACAGTATTTAGTCCTCTCCACAGCACAGTCTGAAAGCGGATGGGAGGAGACCTTAAGCAGGGCTTTTTTTTTTTGGCAGAAAATAGTTCTGAGTGCTGCTCACTGTGCAAAACAGTGACCCCACTGCTCCGTAGCTAAATTCCCTTCATTTCCCTCTGAAAGTTTCCAGGAGTTTTTTTTTCGCTCACCCGAGGACTTGCTGTGCATGGACTTAACCTGGGGGGACACACAAATAGAAAAAATGTGGATATATGTGGGATCTGACAGGCACTAAGTCATTCAATCTTGGATTTAAAAATGTGAACTTGGTCAACAGTAGAATTCTATGTCTCTGATTTATGATATCAGGCATCAATATGATTTTTTCTTTTTTAAATATAAAGGGGAGATATTAAGATTTTATTAATTTTAACAGTTTAATAAAAATAAAAACAACACATTTCCAGCCTGATAATTATCTGTTTACTGGAAAACATGATCATAAAGTCGTTAAAAACTTATTTCTAACAACTTTATGATCAAGTTCCCTTCGTTGTTTTAAATAATTTTTTCATTCTGTATAAATTTAGCGCAGTTTATTCAATGTGTTCACCACAGTAATTTAATTTGTTTCTTTTCCAGTTGATGTGTTTTCATGGTCAAAAAAACCTTAAACCATCTTTTCTTCACAGGAGGATGTCATCAACACGCAGTGTGGATACGACATACGTGCAAAAACAGTGAGTTGCACACAATATATTTCCCACATTAGCAGTTTCCTTGTAAATTAAACTCAGGTTTGTCATCTGCCAGGTAACAAGCTCAAAACTCTAGCTGAAAGCTGAAGTGATATATTTCTGTGGCTCTTTCTTTACCCCAGTTCAATTTTCTGGCTGTATGATGTCATCAGTTACTCCACCCTGGTCACAACATTCCTTTTTCTGTATGTTTCTCACCTCTTCCTTCTTGGAAATACAGCTGCTGGCTCTCCATCCATAGGCGGTGTGGTATTACTCATCCAGCAGCAATGCAAGGCTGCCTCACAGCCCCCCCCCCCCCATCATCATTAGCTTTGGTGTACTCCACAGTAGCATATTGTTAGAAAAAACGGCTCTATTTGTTCTCTTGACTTTACATGTGATCTCCAGCGATGCAGAGTCCAGAGGCAGAAGTGAAAAAACAGTGAGCAACTGAAAAGCCTTTGAGGGATTTATACTGCCAAGGACAAAACCACAAGAACAAAACGAGACCTCATGTGCTCCCGTTAAAAATAGCCTTTTCTGCCAAGAACTGCAAAGCAAAGTCATTTTCAGCACTGTTGTATTTAAAGGCTTAAATCAGAACCTTTAGTTGGTTTTCGAGTGTTAGTCCGAAGGCCCGGTTTGACATGACTGTTTTTGACAGGACTCAGAGCAGAGGAACTTCATCTACATCAAAGGTTGCGTCCCCCAGTTTGAGAAGTGGCTTCAAGACAATCTAACGGTGGTGGCGGGCATCTTTATTGGCATCGCATTACTGCAGGTGGGGAGGTGTTTGAACAGTCTGACCTCGCAGCCGAAACTTTCAGTGTTTCATCTGCAGTGACTTTTTTCTTTTTTCCTGGTCTTAGATTTTTGGGATCTGTTTAGCGCAGAACCTCGTGAGCGACATTGAAGCCGTCAGAGAGAGTTGGTACGTAGCAAGTGTTCCTATATATGTGTGTGTGTATATGTATATTGGTATATAACCCCTCACATTTTCAATTTTCTTTTGACATGTTAGTGTTATACCTGCCCTATTGGCAATATAAACTTGCATATTGAAAAGTAAAATAAGTTAATTATGACTGAAATCAGTCTAAATTTACTCGGGGATACCCATGTCTAAAAGTGGGCTATGGCTCCAGACAGTGTTGACACCATGTCTAGAACACACTGGGATGTCCTGTCCTCACTTTGCGTAAATGCTATTATTACAGTGTCGTGTTTTTTGTTAGGTCAGTAGTTGAACAATTTCTGCAAGTTAAAACATAGCTAATGAGTGATTGGACATAAAAACATGAATATTGTTTGCAAATGGAATACGGAAATCCTCATTTCCCACGAGTCAGGAAAACAAACTAAGGAAAACAAACTGACTCAGAGCTGAACTTTGTCTGTCAGTGGTCTACGACCAAAACTATGCACGGCTAAAATTTGGTTGTTTGAGGTCTCCACTATCGCATCCATTTCTAAATCTGCTCCTTTTTTCTTACAGCTTGTTCACCTAACACCCCTAGAACATTTTTATTTGCCGGACCTTTGCAAGTGGTAAACACTGACAACTTTTATTAGTCACACCTAAGAGCAAGTTATTGATTCTCTCCTACTCTGGGTTTTTATTGACATGTTTTTTGTTGGTTTGTTTTCAGGATCCTGCACTTTGGAGTTGTAGCAAAGGGAAGAATTAATCAGCCCGAGTGTCCAGATGAAAGAGTCTCCTTTAAATGTAAATATTGAATTAAGAATGACTTTTTTTTTATTGAAGCCTACCCATTGAAAAGTAGTGTAGCCCCGATGCAGTTCAACACAATCGAATAATGTCATGGGAAAGAGGAAGATCTTGGTTTTAAAGTTTTAGCTTAGCGCTTTGTTTAAAATAAGGGGTATTAGCTTAAGTAGTTTCACAAATGACAATTTTCAAGAGCTCTATGGAAGGACCGTGTACAAAGACTGAAGTGATTCTGGAAATGCACTGCATGCCCTTTGTCTGCTGATTGGACATTGGCTACTCTAATGTATGATATTCAGTATTTTCAAATATTCGTTTTCGTAGTGGCTGGTGGCACTTTTTTTTATGTTTAATGAAATCTGCTTCAACTTTAGGATAGTCCAGTTAAGAATCAATTTCCACATGAAATTACACAGCAGAGTTTTGTGAAAGTATCGCAATATACAGTATCATGAAGAATTAAGATGGATGTCGCAGGCTTTGTGATGATGCAGGTTGGAAGTGACAACAAACATCCGAGTACACTGATGTGGCATGTTATCCAAATTCAGCCTTAAGCACTTTAACGATGGTGAAGGAGAGAAGAAGCTTCATTGCAGATGTTAAGTTTTAAAGAGGAAACTATTAGCGGGCACTTTCCATTAAAAAAAAAAAACTATGACTCTCCACTTTTGCTACTTACTTAATCCAAAAAGCAGCTTTACAGATAATATCTCACATATTGACAGTGGTGCCATTTCTATATTATGTTAATAAACATTCAGTATTTTCCCTTAATTTTTTGTTATGTCCATGTTTTTTCAGTCAAAGAAATTCAGTCATGAAGGTATTTTTTTGTTGATTTTCCACATTTAGTCCTATCGCTTTTCACTGGAAAAAGAGGGCGAAAGTGATTTATTATTTTTTTTAGGGTCAAACCGAGCACCATACTGGTCCCTTTTAGTGGTACTTATAGAGGTGTACAAATGATGCATAGCCTACTCACATGCAGCCCTTGAAAGCAAGTACAGTCCCCGTCACCAGCAGATTTGATTTATAAGCATTCACATGAGATGGCACCATGATGCATTTCATTTTCTGATCACTTTTAGAGGAGCATAAGCTACCAACTCCTTTAGATGCAGTATGACATCACAGCCTGTTCGCATCCGAACTGCTTGTTTGCAGTCAAATCTTTAAATGTGAACTGAACATGCGCAAACAGGACTTTTGTATGCTTAAAGTATGTCCTTTATTTTTATTCTCATAGGCTATGTTTTATAAGGCAATATGGTGTTGGACCTGATTGTCCTTTTAAGCGCTTCGTATGATTGTTAATGTTTACAGATCACTTTCTCACCACGTAGTGCCATATTTGGGATTTCTACATACTGCTGAATATGATTAACTTGTTTTTTTCCCCACTTGTGCTCTTTATTCTTGTAAATAAATGTATCACAATGATGTGTAAATATAAGGTGTCACAGAATAAATGTGTTCTTTCTATATTTTTGTGTGAAGGGACTTTTATCGGAACATATTTTCCTTTCCTTAACCACCTGTGCTTTAGGTTTCACAATGCTTTCAGTTTAAAGCTGCATACAGTTATACACAGAACTACTACATCGCAGCACAGCAAATTTTTTGTAATTATATAAATATGTTCAACAATGCTGCTTTAATTGAAAAGATGAAGTGCAGTTCAGTGAAAGGTGAAAAATAACTAACTACCGCCATCTAGTGTTTGAAACGAATATTACTGCTGTTCTTTTGTTTCTTAACATTTGCTGATGAATGAAATACCTACTTTTCTCTTAAAATCTCCCTAAAGTAGCTCACACAAAAAAGACAGGTCATCCCTGCGGATGAAGACATTTTATGGGGCATGTCACAGCAAAAACTCCTTATGAGGATCCCTTTCGCTCAATCGGTGAATGAGAATTTATGAATAAAGGGTTTAGTCCCGCCCACATCTCCACCTAACTGATAAAATCCTTCTGACAAGCTCTTGCTGACTTATTGTAGCGTGGCCTCTTAGTTAGTCAGTTCATCACACAGTTATATTAGCTGTAAAGCCAACAGTTCAATGTGTCCAATACCCAGGCTCTAACGTCACCTGTCAGGGTTAAATTTTTTTACACAATGTGTATTATCACATACAAAACATTTTATTCATATATATAAATGTAAAACACTACATTTTACATTGACGTGTTTAGCAGATGTTTTAATCCAAGGTGATTTTATAGGGTCACAGATACATTTAGGCCAGTTGGGATTTAGATCTAGCCCAGGATCAAACTATTGACTTTTCCACTGGTAGGTGAAAGGTCTTTCCTGTGAGCTAAAGCAGCCGAACCTTATGAGTGGAACTCTTTTTGGAGTGATTTTGAAAAACAATGGTGAAAGACGGTACAGAAATGAGAGCTGGGCTTCATCTCTGCTGCCTGGAGCCACTTTAATGATCTTTGCATGTCAGAGGTCAGGGGGAGTGTAGTCGTAGTACGGTCCAAGAGGAAGAGCCATGAATGTTTTTCTTTCGAAATGAACCTTTCATGCAGGAGAGAGAGCAGAGATTAGCTGCTAACCTGCATGCGCATACACACAAACACACACACGCACACACTTTTCCTTAAACACAACGCATACAATTAGCACTGCTGATAAGTGTATCTGTTTGCTGTGTTATCGGGAATTGATTTCAAACATTCCGACCTTTGGTCAGATGCCTCAGTGTTACTTCTCCTTTTCAAGCTTCTAAAGCAGACTGATATGATCATCCTCCTTTTCTGTGAGATTCAGTCTAACTTCACGAAAGCACCGAATTATGCCACACTAATAAGCAAGAATGCTTTCTAGTTCATGGGTGGTTGTTGTTGTTGTTTTTTTTTGCCGAGAGAGTCTTGGTTTACCTTGCCTGTTCAACTCTACTAGACAATTTTGGGTGATATATCATGGCTTGGGCCTGTTGAGGACGTCCATGGTGGATTTTGTATTCAGGAATGTTGTTCCATCGTCATTTGCCTTCTGGTTGCTGACGTCTGGTCGGTTAGAGATCAAAAGTTTCCTTTGATAATCCTGTTTGTTAAGAAACTGACAGAAACACGAGGCCAAATCATGACCACTCTCACTCCATGCTTAATAGTTGGAGACTTTGTCTTTTAATAGGATTAGCAAACCTCAGATGATACAATTTTAGGTTAAGGGCACGGGAGCTTTTTAGAAAAGACTCCAAGGCAATCATCTTTTAGTAGTCAAAGCAGCATTTTAGGAAAGTACACCACCTCCAAGGACTTTCCACGTACTTTTAAACAAACTCCCGTGTTTAGTAAACTGTAATTGTTTGTTTGTGGCAAACAATAGCATAAATGAGCACTAGAAAGAATGAGGAGTCAGGGTATTAAAAGGTGTTTAAATCTGCATGATCAATCGTTTCTAAATGATGAATGTGAACAAATTGTACTCTGACAAGCAAACTGAAGCCTGTGGCAAAATTGACGAAATCTATTTAAGGACTCGGCTCTTGTTGATATCTCAAACCTTCCTAATGTCCTCTAGCCTCTTTTTTTTTCTCTTCGAAAACACTGGGAAGTGTATTTTCCTCGTAAGAGTTCAGAGGTCACTCACGTTAAATATATTGACCAGAATGCTTGCTAACAGTTATTGCCTCAAATTGGTGACAGACTTGTCAGATAAGGAGGTCTAATGACTCTGCTGGAACATCATTGGCGAAATGGCCTTGAGTTTGTTTGAAATGCCTCTCTGGTTTAAATGAATCCACACAGGCAGAAGACGGAAATCACTGAGACCCACTGTCTGCTCAATAAAAATAATTTATATAGCTCTGGTCGCATGTTAAATAATGTCACAGCAGTTTTTTGTAGTGTGACTATAGATTTAAGTAATTAATGGGTCAATCATTACAACTAATGGCTAAAATAGCCTTTGCCAAAGCCACATGTTCATACATTAGTGCATGACCACTGTGACAATTGAACAATTAAAGTTTTTTTCAGAATGATTTACATAGTTTTTGCAGAAGGTATGATCACTTTCCCACTGAGAATGCTGCTTGTCTTTAGGGTAAATCAACATTAGGTTGTCAGGTAAATTAGGTCTCATGGACTCAAATTCAGAGATGATGATCCAGAAGCAAATAGAAATAGGCCCAAACCCCTGGGAATGTTAATAAAATAAATTCTCTAAACGAATCATACGTCTAAATATTATCCTCTGTGTGCAGACCTTTGTTGGAGATGGTCCGTAACTTATATTGGGGACAAATCCCATAAACTACACGGACTGATCCACAACTCCAACCTTTGGGGTGTTGTAATTTGAGCCGTAGGGCTGGTTTTTCTGACGAGACTTCCCATTTCCTCCAAAATAACACGCCGACAAAGTGCCGACTGTTGGTAAGTGGAAGAAATGAGGTGAAAGGTGTCTGTCATGAAGACCTTTCTTCACCGGCTCAGGGAAAATTTACGTCTATCTCTTTGGATTGAATTATTTATGCCTTAGAATATCCGACTGTCGTGATTCATTGACCCGTGCGTCCCGTTACTTGGACGAGGGAAATTCAGACAGCTCTTACTCAGTTGGAATTAAATCAATCAGGTGGAGTAACACTGCCGTGATTATTCAATCATGCGCCGGCGTGCCGACGCAAACCCCATCCAACTGCAGCAAAAAGGCGAAAACTGACTTCACCTATCAACAGCAGAAGTTCCTGTCAAATCTGTGCTGTCGAGGTTAATGATTTGCGGGTTATTTCGTACTTAGTACTTGAGCGTGGAGTTTGGAGTCTGCCCTCCCCTCTGATAAAAGACAAGAGGAGACGTTTAGACTTGCTTTGCCTTTCTCTTTGGCCTTTCTGGTCCCACTTTTCCGCCGACTGCTGTGTGACGGTTTGAATTATCCGGCAGCGCGCAATGCTGGCTCTCGTTCTATTCTTGCTTTGCGCCGCTCCTTCTGTCTCCGTGTCCGCCAAAGGTGAGTCGATGGCCTGTTGACATGTTTTTTTTTGCGCTGTTGGAGGTTCATATGAGGGAGCTGAGGGAGTTTATTGAGGAAAAGGGATGAAAGCTTCTTGACGCATCAGTGTAACTGAGTCATTCAAACTTTGAAACTTTACAAAGACAAAAGTGCTAGATGATGATCAACAGTCTCTCTGGGAATGTGTTTTATATGAAATGCCCCAGCTTAATTTCCTGGCATTTTGAGACGTTTCTATTACTGAATGAATGCATTCTGACTTTAAACGACCCCCACATTCATGGTCAGGGTACATCCCTGGTTGATAAGAGGTAGAAGAGCACAAACAAAGACAGTTTTATTATAAAACAGGGGGAGAAAAGATAACCCTCAGTCCTAATCGCTTTTTGTCCCTGAAGTAAATCAGTTGTAACAGGCAAACCCATTCAGAACTTTTATGTAATGAAAAGATGTCCTCACCAGGCGGTTGACTGATGATGAAATCAGAAACTGACACGTCAGTCTGTCTTCCCTGTTGGTTAAAAGTCACATCAGAGCTTGTCATTAATTGAGCAGAGGAGAGATATTTTCTTTTTATCTCCTCTAACCTGGAACACACCCAGTTCAACAGCGGATGATTAAATCAGCCCGTCTCCTCTTGACTGTCCACCTCTGTAGTCTGAAGGTATGTGGCACTGGAAATAGTCATTTTGAAGATGTCTGCCACATCAGGGTGGGAATTTAGTTTCCAGAAGTGACAGGGTGCACAGTATAACCTCACAGAAGAGAAGCAGATTGGCCGGTTTCAGTTCATACTTGTTAATCTTGCAAAGATTTTCATAATAAAGAGTATTGCCATGTATGAATTACTTAAGTAAAAGTTTTGTAGTACAATGATATGTAATACTCAAATAGTAGTAGAACCTCAAAAGCATGCTGCTAAACATGTTTTTTCCCATCAGCTTGAGCCTGAATTTAAAATGAACAAATGCCTCTATCTCTGACTGAGATTAGTTTCAAGTTGCTTTCACCCACTTTCCAGTGGGTTTTTGTTTTAATAGAGCCTTTTGATAATTCATTGTGCCTCACCAAAGCTGAGGGAGGCGCCGTAGATGGCTCTCACTGCCTGTTGGTCACCAGCCGTGTGTCCTGTGTTTCTTCAGGTGCTGCTGCTGGACCCCGGCTGAACAACAACCAGCTGTACAAATTCAGCTACAGCACCGAGGTCCTGCTCGACAGGGCCAGAGGGTCAAGAGAGGGCAATGCGGGCTACAGAATCTCCACAGATGTAAACGTTAACCTGGTCTGGAGAGATCCGAGCAATAAGGACGAGCAGTTGATTCAGCTGGCGGTAGGTGGTTCCAATTATGGAAGAATGAGACTTGTGTTTCCGACAACAAAAATAATCCTGATGAAAGTGGTTATCATGCTTGCATGCGTCCTTTTGGTGGTTTTTGCTTACTGAACACTTACTGAACCATGAATTTGTCTATCCCTCTTCAACAGATCTCAAATGTAAGGATTGAGCCTGCATCTCATAGATCTGAGGGGAAGAACGTCCTCCATGGCTCCACCACCGAAAGCCTTTTGGGGAAGACCAACCTGGAAGCTCTGACCAAACCTTTTCTTTTGCATCTAAAAAATGGAAAGGTGAGGACATGAAACCTTTGACAATCTTTGCTTATGTGATGTGTTCTCTGCAGACTATTACAGACCTATTTATGAAAACAGTGGTTTTAGTGGATTGCATTTTCAAAGTGTAGTGATAAAAAGAAGAAAAAAAGTTTCAAACCTTTTATTTTTATTTTACCTTAACCATTATTTGGCAGTTGTTAGAAATCAGAATCAGAATCAGAAACACTTTAATAATCCCAGAGGGAAATTATTATTATTATTATTAGAAATGAACATGCTTGCATAAGGTATGGAATAGTGAGTGTCTCACAGCTCTGTCGCTGTCTTCCAGACAGTTAATTAGCTTAATTTCTCTGTGTGCCAATGATGATGCTGACAGGGGAATACCGGAAAGATCTGTGTGAAGGAGCATGTGTTCAAGTGTGCACAAAGGTCAGCAGGTGCAGAGGGTCACTGGCTGAATGAGTCACAGTAATAGAATGACGAGAGGGTTGATGGAAGAGGATAACATTGTGTATGTAGGAGACTATTACTACGTTTTGGATCTAAATTCATTGTAAATGTTTTTTTAAAATGCACATCTTACAAATGGTTTAAACCTTGTCACTAATGATACATTGTTAGGTAAAGTTCTGTATTGCACTATGGTTAAAAGCCATCACTTGGAAAGTGTAATAGATTTTCAGGGTGATTAAAACAGAAAATACTGTAATAGAGCTTTTTAAAAATATATAAATATTTATCAATAACACATTTTTAACAACTTAATGAATCACTACATCTCTAATCAAATTTATCATGTATTTTAAACAAACGAGATGTAATCATATTCTGTTTAATTATGAGTTGTTAATGGCCTCACAGCCGATCTTTAAAAGTCTCCAAACCCTGAACAAGGTTACCATACCAGAACTCTTAAAGCCCCTTGATAAAAATTTAGATATTTTATCTAAAATTTCAACTTGTCTTGGTTCAGCTTAGACTTACATCTGGCATCCTATTTGTCTGTCAAACGAGACAGAGGGGCGGCCTCCCCAGGTTCTGTTGGATTATTTATACCAATAGCAGCCAGTGGCAGAGAAAAACACACAGTAGCAGCGGGGACTCTATTTATGGTCAGCCTATTTGATGTTGTGGATGGCGCCGCATATAAATTCATACTGTAAAGGAGACACTGTACGATGAAGTAATGGGGGGCTGACATTCGTGACCGGCTCGCAGTGCATCGCCGAGCCAAACTGCAGCTTCTCTGCAGACATTGGAGGAGGGACGTCACATATTTTGGCTCAGCCCAGGTTCACTTAGGAAAGATTCAGCATGACATTCAAACACAAATATAATTCAGTGATGCAAAGTCAGTAATCTATACTTTGTACACTGCTATGTATCAATGAAATAAGAATAAATATAAAAAAGACCTGAAATAACAGGTGGTCACTTCAACACTTGACATCTTATATTTTGTGCACAATACTCAATCATTTTGGTTATCAAAAATGAGTGGCATCACCTGTAGTCGCAGAGCTGTGATGTCCTAAATTCACTCTAGTTAGCTATTATATTAAGATAACATAAGATATTTTTTGTCAATGTGAGGTTGAGATTAGCTCTTTTAATAACCTGTGAGTAGAAGTACCGCAGTTGTTTGGGTTGTTTCTATCTTCAGAGAATAACATACAATGTAAATAGACTCTGATGTCATAACTATGCAGAAATATTGTTGTGCAAAGGTAAACTGACACCCTGAGGGTCTTTATGAGATCCGTAACCAAAGGTTAATTCCTTATTTTGACTTAGAAATTGGTAAAAGCAAATGAGTATACTTTGTTTAAGCATGATTTTCTTTTTACACATGTGTTGTAGACGAAAGCATTTTATTCCTACCGGGCAGAAGCAGCGACCATCAAGAACATGAAAAGAGGTCTGGCCAGCCTATTGCAGTTTCAACTCCATTCCGGAAAGATGGTTGAGGTAAAAAGCTTAACAGTTCCGCTTGTGACACTGAATAACGTCAAACGTATTGCATGTAACTAATTTAACAAATGACCCTGGACAGAACGATGTGTCTGGGAGATGCACAGTTCAGTATCAGGCAGCAAAAGGTCAAGTAACAAGAACCAAACTCCTGGACACGTGTAAGACCTCAGAGACAGGATTTACCACACATAGCAAGGTTAGTCCACCTAATAAACAGCTCATCATGTGAGGAGAGGAGCTTCTTGTGATGGGTTTCCTCATTTTGTGTGAATCCCCTTTCTCAAATTCAGGTTTTGGGTGTGAACAGGAAGTCTGGCTCTGTTACAGTGTTTACACTTGAAGACGGTTTCATCCGCTCAGCCGTGGCTGAAGAAACACACTTGTTGGCTGTTAATGCACAGAGATCTACAGCAGCTAAAGTTGTGTCCAGGTAAAGCCTGGAAGGTCCAGTGTGTATTATTTGCAGTGATGCACTGGGGTCATGGCTACAATAATTACTTTAAACCTGTGTGAAAGTAATGCTTCAATTTGCAATCTGTTCATTTTTCTGTCTCTAAATTATTATTTTTTTGTTTTTCTGTTTGATGGCTGCACACTTAAATGTGCTTCTCCCTCTTTACCAGGCAAACGCTAAAGTTTGTAGGTATGGAGGCTGGGCCACTGGAGGCTGCTGGGAAAGATGCTGCGCAGGTTGTAAAGACAGTTGATGACAAACTGGCAGCTATTGGTATTGTGGCTGAAAAGGTCAAATCCCAGTGCAAAGGCTGTCCATCAGTGAGTTCCTCCTCATTTTCAATAAGCAGTCCTCACATTTCTTAGTTTTACTGTTTTAAACTGTATTATGGCACTACTGTATCAATGGTGAACATTGGTCAATATTTCAAAATGACTATTAATATCACTCTATTAGTAACCATATACTATATATTTTTGTACTTTAATTGCTGATGAAATGTGATCCATCTTCTATCCCCCTCCTTCCTTGCACTCTCCCTTTTAGCTTTTTGAACATTGGCAGGCTGAACAGAAGCAGCTGGAGCCAGCAAGCCTGTCCAAAGCCTCGGCTCCTCGCAGCTTCCTGTCCCTCATCCAGAGCATTAGAAAGGCGTCCAAGGCTGAGATCCTCAAAGTGTTGAAAAGCGCCAGCAAGACTTCTCTGTAAACCAGCCCCTCCTATATAATATTTAATAGCTACTGACAGTCTGCTGAAGTTATTTCTAATTCGAAGGACGTAACTTGTATGAATGCTGCTAACACTACCAAATTTTGCTCAAATTGTATCCGCTGATGTCAGACCTCAGGTGGTGGACGCAGTCACATCCTCTCAAACCCCTGCCTCCCTTGACGCCATGCTTGAGTTCCTGAACTTCACGGACGCCAAAGGTTTGGTTCTGCAGGAGCGGTTTCTCTACGCATGTGGCTTTGCCTCTCATCCAGACGAAAGAATGCTGAAAGCTCTGTTGGTAAGTTCCCGCCACGAGTCAAGTGAGAGGACTTTTGTCAAATAAAATTGCCATTTACTTGCAGTGAAGTAAAGATGAATGTTTGCTACTGAGAAAGGACAGCTCGTGAGAGGTTTAAATAAATATTTATCATATTTTTTAATTGTACTTTTAAGTGTCTGATTATTCATTTGCAGTAATGCACCAAAATAATAAAAAAATGCTCTTTTATTACTCAAGCGTCTATTGTTCCTGACTTTGTTTCTGTTTGCATGATCAACACTTGGTTAAATTATGGGCAAGCAGTCAGCGATCCATTGAAACTGTGATGACAAATGTCTTCTCAGGATATTTCTAAAGGAAAGATTGGCAGCACTGACATCAAGGAGTCTGTGGTGATCATTATGGGGGCCTTGGTCCACAAGCTCTGTCTGAAAGGAGGCTGCAACTTACCGGTGAGCTCCCCAGATGATCCCATAGATCACAATTTATAACTTTCCTCAGAGTAATACAGGAGCTAAATGGTCTTCCTTTGTATGTTAACCCCATAGACAGTGGTGGAGGTGAAGAAGATGATTTTAGAAGGTCCTGAGAGCACCCAGCTTGAGAATGAGGTCCATATGTACCTTCTGGCACTGAAGAACTCGCTCCTGCCAGAGGCAATTCCCATCTTTACAAAATATGCTGAGTCAGAGGTGGGATCATACAGCACCATTGCACTTACCTCCCTGCAGAGATACGATGTCAGTCTCATGACCAGTGAGGTAGGCCACCGTGTATATCTCAGTTCAATTGATGGATTGGAAATACTCTTTGGAATCGATTGATATCAGGCTCTTCCGTTTCAGGTTAAACGGACAGTCAACAGGGTTTACCACCAGAATCGACGAATCTATGAGAAAAATGTGAGAGCTGCAGCAGCAGATGTCCTGCTCGGCAGCAACCCCTCCTACATGGAGGTCAAAAATCTACTTCTGTCCATTGGACACCTGCCCCATGAGATGAACAAGTACATGCTGTCGAAGATTCAGGACATAATTCGCTTTCAGGCGCCTGCCAGGTGAGTTGTCAAGTAAAAGCCAAGAGGATCTTAAACAACCATTTGTTTTTAAAGGGCTTTGTTTTAATATTGCATGAATTTTCTGCATTTCTTTCAGTAAGGTTATACAACAAGCTATGAGGGACACGATTTCCCATAACTATGACCGCTTTTCTAAAGTTGGCTCATCATCTGCGTACTCAGGATTCATGGCAAGTAAGTGAAGTTGAAAATAAGAAAAAAGAAAGAAGCTTTTAAAAAAACATTTTTAAGCCATGCACATTTCTTTTTTTTTTTCCTGTTCCGAGTGACTCATCATTAGTTTTTAACATTTAATTATTGACCGAAAAATTTACACCTCCTACAGAATCTCCGGATGTGACCTCCACGTATAGTTTGGACATCCTGTACTCAGGTTCTGGGATCCTGAGAAGGAGCAACATGAATATTTATGGTGCCAGTAAAGGAGCAATGCTGCACGGACTGCAGGTACCGCACAGTTAGGGCTTTGACACTCAGCAGACATGCATTAAATATCTAAGCTAATGGTCCTGTTGGTTTCCAGGTGGCAATCGAAGCCCAGGGCCTGGAGTCCCTGATTGCTGCAACACCCGATGAGGGAGAGGAAAACTTAGAGTCGTTTGCTGGGATGTCGGCGCTGCTGTTTGATGTCCAGCTGCGACCAGTCACGTTCTTTAAGGGCTACAGTGACCTCATGTCCAAAATGTTCTCCATGACTGGAGAGCCCATGAATGTAGTGAAGGGACTCATCCTGCTGAGTGATCACTCTGAGGTCAGCCATCATATTAGGATACTATTGCCTCTAGAAACAGTTCTCTAGGAAATGTTTCCTATTTTTTGCAATTTCTTTCCAAATGAATGTTGAATCATGATTCTGAGTGTCACAATGTGCACTGTTTTGTTATATCTTCTGGTTTGGGCTCCCTCAGATCATCCAGCTGCAGTCTGGTCTGAAAGTGAGCGCAGAGTTTCAAGGAGGATTGGCCATTGACATTTCTGGAGGGATGGAGATAAGTCTGTGGTACAGAGAGTCCAAGACCAGTGTCAACAATAGGTACGGCTCGGGCTTTCTATATGCTTATTAGTCAGGGCAAATTCATGTCTCTTACATGTGTTATGCACTATGTATTTGTGTCCTAGCCAAGAGAACATGGATCTGTGTTTGTCAAGTACTGTATGTACAGTATGATGTAACACAGTTGTAGGTCAAAGGTACTTTTTGCTTGTAGAAAACAATGTTGGTGTCTGAAATTGAAATCACCTCAGAGGTTCCTGTCATGTCACTCGGCTGCAAATAGATTTCTGTTGATGCTGGGCTTACAAGAACTTCAGAGGGTCTATAAGCATGGTCTGATTAATTTGTTCCAGCAGCACTGTGCTTCACGCCTGTGTCCTTTCCCGTGTGACAGTCACGTCAGCTCGGTCTGGTTCTCTATTTTAGAACATTACATTCGATGTGCAACAATAGCTGCTAAAAACGGAGCACATCATCGCTTTGGGGTTGCTCATCTCACAGCATGTGGTGACGAAAGCACACTGCAACAGATATTTAGATACATAGCACAACCAATATATGTTCCAATTCCTTTTCTACTTTCTAAAATGTTCCTGTTTTGTTCATTGAATGCTGTGAAAAGGTTGCATCTTGGAATTGAACCATAAGATGATGTGTGTGCAGACAAATGGCAGAGGCAGGTGAAGGGATCAGCATAGTTGTTCCTCTTCCACTCTGATTATAGACTGGCGGTCTATCTATAGAGGCAGATCAAACCACTCCCAGTTGCCACTTGCATTTTTGCCAAGACATGTCGCTTAGGCCTTTCTCTTGCAGACAGTGAATAAAAAACTAAATGTTTAATAAACAAATTTATATAAAAAGATTATGATTTTACACAACTTTTCTTAATAATCTACACCACCCAGGCCATCTCCATTTCATCCACTCAGCGTCAGACAGCTCAGATGCTGACAGGCAGGCGCACAGCTCCTCGCTTAACCCTAACCCTAATAGTAGTGGCATTACGTTTTTTTATCTTCTTTTTTTTTTCAATGTGAAGACATGTCTTATAAATAGCTCATATGAAGGTCTAAACAATTCCAGAGTTACTTTAAAGCTGTTAACAGGAATTTTCACGGATCAAATAATAATTTGCTTGGTGTGCATTTCAGCAGGAAGAGTTTACAACTTAACTGTAGATCAACTTCTAATACTAACATGATACTTAGCTAATTTTGAGAGTAATCACTAACCTGTGATCGAGTCGTCCCACCCCTTGTTTTTGGAACATATTATAGTGAGTCTGACGAACCGGGTACCGTCTTTCCAAACACCAACTTTTCTATCTTCTGAGGTGAAATTGTTGTTCTTTAGGATTGACACTTTTTTTCACCTCCCTCTGGCACATAATAAACACAGCTGTGCAGTTTGGAAAGAAACAATTAGAGAAACATTTTAAAACCAATGCAAAAACACATCTGTGTAGGTTTATATAGATAACTTACCTCAAAGTGGCAGAGTCTTCTATAGTGACAGGGACAAAGTATTTTGCTCACATGGATAGATCTGTTTACATGTAGGCAGAGGAGCGCAGCAATTTAGGCCAATTTCCTGTTTTTTTTTTTGCTGAAAATGTAATGTCTTCATTTTTGTTAAGAATTTGGGGAAATTTGAGAGTATGAGATCAGCCACTAGTACACATCTCAGTGCAGCAGATTAGTTAATATGTCTTCAGATTGAAACTGTCAGCTTATTCAAACATTATGTTTTATGGATATCATTTGGTTTTCTTTCCAGAGGGGCATTGGTCATCACGGGCAACGTCACTGTGGACATGAACTTTTTAAGGGCCGGGGTGGAGGTCAGCTTTGAAACAGAGGCATCACTAGATTTCATCACCACCGTCCAGTTCTCTAACTACCCCTTCCTGGTGTGCATGCAGATGGATAAGGCCACATTCCCAGTCAGGTATTGCTCACCCACAATAAATTTTTTTTCTTAAAGGATTGTTTTCATTATCAAAGGAAGTACTTGAAGACCTAACTTTCTTGTTATTTTCCTCTTTCAGGGAATATCTTTTAAAGTACGAGAGCTTGTCATCAGGAAAGAGCATAATGTCACGTAAGGGCAAAAAGATGCTTGTGCCTGGCACTGAATTCCCTCTCCACCAGGAGAACTCAAACATGTGCAAGAAGGTTTTTGACTCCAACTTTTAGAAAGGAGACCATACATTATTACTTTTATTACATTAAGGGCAGCCATCACAGATCGACAGTTAAAAGGAAACCTTTTCTTACTCAAGCAGAGTAAGACCATAAAGAAAAAAACCTGGTGGATGTTTTTGTTTCAGTTTTCTTTAGTTAGACATGCAATGTTTACATTCCTGTGAGTATTTAAGTAATTTTAATCCAACATTTTTGCTTAAAATTAGGAACTCTCGCATAGACATTTTTATGTATTTCTTTGAAGAAAAATGTATTTATGAGGGGCACATTCAGGATGCGTATTTTGATAAGTATCACCGACAGTTTTGCAGTAATCCCGACCAAACAACATGGTTACAACAAAAAGGAACACTGTACATATCTCACTGGGGAAAGAGAAAAAAACGTTGTTGTCAACAGGAGGTCTCCTTTATGTCAACATTCTTGTGCTTTTTTTAATTAAATGTGTTTATAAGGAGGAGCGGTTTCTTGTAGTTTGTCACTGTATCACTGTTCACTAAAAATAACTTATTCATTAGACATTGTTCTCAGGTTTTTCCCCCCACGATTTAGGTGTAATTTTGTGATTATTGTCTCTTTTTTATTGTTTGTATGTTTGAACCCCTAATCTTAAATGTGAAAACTTGTATTCATCAAGACTTGAATTTTTTTTTAAATTGCTGTGATTCCTGTATATTTTGAAATATGTTAAAAGCCATTGAATCTGAGCTGTTTTTTCCCGCCTATACTTTGGTTTTTATGGAGCTATCCAATTACAATAAATGTGCCCTTGAAACATCTTGCCTCTTGACTTTTTTTCCCCCCTGGTTTAAAGACACATTGATTTAGAATCACAAGATAAACCCTTCTGGAAAGTCTTGGAAATTGTCAAATAACATTTCAGCTTTTTTTCTTTTGTCAGAAGGAGCTCTTTAACTTCCCTATGAAGACAGATGAAAGCATGCACATCTAACATTACAACAACATCAGGGGGCATCTGCGACCGTGTTCCTTTTTGTGTCTATTAGAACACATCCTGTATTGGGAAGTAATGGGATTGGTTACTTTCTTTAATTCACTTAGTTCTGTGAAAAGAATCATAACTTTACCTAGACATTTGCATTGACTCATTCCTCTTATCTTGTTATTTTAGTTGTTAAAGTTTGCTTTGATATCACATTATTTTATTTGTGTGTATGTATATGTATATATATATATATATATATATATATATATATATATATATATATACATAAGTACAAATAAAATTATATACATACATAATACACATACATATGTGTGTGTGTCTGGAGCCAATCCCAGTGGTCAGTGGGCGAGAGGCGGGGAACACCCTGGACGGTTAGACAATATCCATGACTGATTATTTAGCCACTTAAGTGAACATAAGTAATACAAATGTATTTTCCATACTGAAAGATTACTCAATAACATAGCATGTATTTGAATAACACCAATGTTTCGAGAAAAACCCACAGTTTAACAGTTTGTGGTAGTCTCCAAAGACTAAATGTACTGGCTTATCCAGGTGAGGCAATAAATCTTGACGTGTCATAGCTGTGACATCAGAGCTCCTGCTGGCATCCAAACGCAACAACTGGGCCTAATGTAGATTCTTTAGAAAGCACTGAGAGCAGCTGGGGGCAAACCAGTGTCTGCCAGTCTCGTTGCATCCACGGTAACCAAGTAAACACAGCAGCAAGCTGTCAGGTTAAACTTAAGTCCCTCCGGATGATGTTTCAGTGTCACCCGAAAGCGAACCTTGCACGCAGGCACATGCCAAATGTGTACTTCTGTTGGCATAAATCTGCTTGATTGCTCTGCTTGCTCTCATCCATGTTTTTTTTGTGTGTATGTGCGTATTTGCTTATCAATAAGAATACAAGTAACAAGAATAGGTTTAGACATTAGGGAAGAATAAAACTTTGGAACACTGTGAACAACACAACAGATTAGATAGAATAATATATTTATGATGTTATACTTAAAGTCAACTACACAAGAACATCTGAGAAAGAAAAAAAGGTGCTTGATTGGTCAAAGAGGTTATGTTATTCTCACCCAAACAAAAACATTGGGCAAGTTTTTTAAAATCTTTTGGTCAAGTCTTCTACATGATCAACCATTAGTTAATACTATATAACACCCTAAAGTAATAGACGTTTTCATTATATGAGATTTCAAACATAAACATTCTCTCCCCAAAGCAAAAGTTGATTTATTATAGTCAGTGTGTCAGTTCTAGTATTCTGTGAGTGAGAACACTGATGAAATTCTTGGGTCAGGCAGGTATTCATCCGATTTTGATATGGATAGTGCATTGGCCCTGGCAGAGAACTGTGCTCTCCAAGTGCCCTCTCAGTTATTAATACAGTTCAGATCAGTTTCAAGCCTTTTCCAGACAAGCAGGTTGTGAAAAAGCACTTTTAGTCTTCACTTCAACAGGCACAGAACGTTTTTCCAGAGTAACAGATCTTAAAAATCTCGACAACCCAAGAGTGTGTTTTGTTTGGGGTCTGATACATTTTTCAAACTAATTAACATGAGCAAAGCTGATAGTTTTAACTAAGAAAACCTCAAAGGCCACCAAATTAGATAGTTTATTATCCTGCTACCCTTCATGAAAATATGGCTAAAAGAGCACAATTCAAAACAAATATTTTCATGATTTCTTCGTTGATAATATCGCTAATAAGAAAGGTTATGGCTTGTTTCCCATATGAAAGGCTTGCCCGCTTTGAAGTTAGCACAAGCCAATTTAAATACAAATACAAGTTAGCCTGAAACTAATTCACATGACCAGAAACATGTTCAGTGGCATGAATTTTGAATTTATTGCAAACAGATGTAGACTTTTCAGTCTACACAACACTTATGCATCATATTCCTTACATTCAGTTGTGTAAGTGCAATCACTACACTCACTTCTCCTTTCAGGTTTGTCCCTCCACTCTCAGCCCGCCCAACCACATCCTTTTTTGGAGGCAGCCACACAACACAGCGGACAGCATCATCAAGGCAAACTGTACCACTAAGTGATTCCAAAGCCATTAAGACATTCCATCCTAATGTGTGCCCTGTTTCTTATAACATTTACACGCTAAACACACTTATCTCAGACCAACTAAGCTTCACTTTCTAGCCCTCTTTTTTCAGTAAGAAAAATTCAGATACTGTCAGATTCTCAGATTTGATCTTAAAAATCATACCAGGTATCCATTCATGCCACATGAATAACACAGTGTTATCAATATAACACGTTATGTGTTATCAATTTATTTATATGTTATCTGGAGTGTTATTTTTCTTTAGGAGAGAACCCCGCCAATAATTATGATGCCATTTTATTGTTAGAATAATATATAAAATGCACCAGATGCATAATGTCACATTCTGAAAAGGCATCTTAAAAATATTTGATAACATATATAATCTTATAGTGCAACTTTGGGGCAAAATTCTCAAATAAAATTTTCTAAGTGCACATTGTGCATCTGTCACCAGAGTTTATGGCCTTTTGCTGCTGCCATTGTTGGTAACATTAGTAGCAATCAAAATGCAATAAGTAGGCTACATTATTATCATTCACAGATAAATGTCACACAGTTTTTTGCTCAAAGGAAACTGGAATAGATTTGTACTGGATCTTGAAAAAAAACTTTATTAAAACTAAATTGAACGGTGTTGGAATATCGTTTAAAAAATGACCTAAAATTACTTCAAATTAAGAATCTTTAATCTGAATAAAGTTTGTGTGTGTTTTGTTTTGATTTTTGGACATGTTTAAAAAAAAGAAAATCTGGCAACGCATACCATGACTCACTTTGGACCTGCTCCCAATTGAGTGTCTTTTCGCTCAACTTTTCTTTTTTTATTTTGTTTTCCACGCTTCCCATAAATTGACATTCAGTTGTCTCAACAGTGTAACTTAAACGACCGTCAATACATTTAAGCAACATTGTACCTCAAAATGCATCAAATCTCTCAAACCATTTGCAAACGTTAACAGATCTCTCACACCGCTGCATGGGTTGATCATTACAAAATTTACTCTCGGGGCCACAAATTTACATAAAGTGTGTTGTCCCAGAGCTAAAACAACATGTATTTTACATGGAGGTACATAGAGTGACCAGCAGCTCCAAATACCTTTATTTTGTGCTTTGTTTTAAATGTGCACAGAAAAGGAAAAATAAGCTAATCTACAGTGTGACTGACTCAAGCGAAACAAAAGATCATATGAATCCCTGCTGCATATTCAAATGAAAACAAGACATGACAAAGGAAAAATACATCAGCACTTCATCTTACAGAGAAATGTAGGTAGAGAAATAAAACAATCTTTTGATTCATATAAATTTGTGGAAAATCCCAACCAAAAAAAAAGAAAAGAGAGAGAGGACCTGAGAAACTGGCATTGCTCTGCGTTAAGTGGAAAGACACACTTCACACATGTTCTGTGTGTGTGAGATCCGCAGTGAAGTAACATAACTCCTTGTTGTACTCACAGAATGCTCAAATGCCACACATAACTCACGGCCACAACCACGGACACATTCAGACGCTCACACGTCCACTCCCATCTCATTACACAAAAGTGTAAACTGAGGCAACGCAAATAGAGGAAGTTATCCTCTAAATGTCTCAGCTGGCACTGACTCATTTGGCCCAACTCTACTTATAGTCAACTAAGTATACTGGTAAACCTGAGTCCCAGCTCCGTTTCCTCACCTCCCTACAGCTTTTGGATTTTGCACCTATTAGCAGCATTTTCTGAGTTGTGACAAAGAATATAGACAGGCATAGGCCACTGAATGACAGGGAAATGGTTAGTTTAGTTGATTATTACGACACGCAGCAATGCCAGATGCATTTGGTGTAACTTGTTTTTCTTCGTTTTTAAAAAGTATCTGTACGAAATGGGATGCTTTTAAATCCTCCTCTGACCAAACTAACTACACAAAAATGGTCCCTGTTCTTTGATAATCATGAAAGACCAACTGTAGGATACATTTTCTTTATTGTGCAATTGAAACCTACTTAACTATAAAACCTTTACAGAGCAGCGAACATTTTGGACCGAGCACAAATTCGTAGGACAATTCAATACTTAAGTCCTTATCATTTGTATGTTAGCTGAAATCTGTTCATTTTAAGACACCAAAGCTCATCACGATCTAAAAAAAAATAAAATATGATGAACCTTTAATTGTTAGAAATCATCTCACTACAACAACATTTCCTGTTGGGAAACTTTGATCTAATTTTATGGGTGTTAAACAAACCAATATCCTCTGCTGGTCCAAAAAGCTAGAAAGTCTCTCTCCTTCTTGCCATATTCGATATATTTCCCTGGAGCACCCTGAGGCATTGCAAGTCCCATTATGGTACTGTATGTAATCCCTCCCAGGTATTCTGGATCTCTTTCCAGTGGGACGTGTCTGAAACATTACTGCAGACATCAGATGTCTGATAAAGAACCTGATTGATACTGTTGATGAATGCACTCAGATCAGTAAATAGATGTGATGACATAGATCAGATGAGCAAATCATGCATAGGTGTTTATGTATACATATAAAGACATCACACCATCATGTTTGGAGTGAGGCATAATGTTGTGTTTCATGTGGAGCACACAGTGGCGATAGTACTGTACATCACTGGGTAAATAGTGGAGACCATTTTCTGCATTATATGTACTAAAGTATTCATTTCAGCACAAATCGGATAATAACTACAACATACTAAATGAATCCATCTAAAAGCCAACACAATAACCTGATCAGTTTTAGCCTTGAGCTACTAGAAAAATGGAAGAGCAAAAGTACTCTCCATGTCTCTTTCTAGTTTGTCTCTATTGCATCAAATAGTAAATGCTCACCAGACATGTCTATGATCACATGTTTCTGTTATCATCCACAGCTTTGTCAGATAGTATGGGCTAAAACGTAGCTTGGACTTCTTAACTTAGAGGTTTTATGTCTGACAGCTCTGTGTATTGCTACGTGGGGGCAGCTGCCATTTGGAAACCCCCATTTCACCCTCACAAACCACCTATTTGGTTTACTATGTGAAGGAAATCACTTCATTTTTACATCCCTATTTCAGCTAAAAAACAAAAAAGTAAGTTTCCAGCTGTGGTGAAATTTGATGTCCCCAGCAATCCCTCCAGGATTTATGTCCAGTGAATCAGCTACCTATGCATTCAGCAATTAGGATCAATCTAAGTTTAAGGCTCAGCGAGAATTGAAGAAATGTCACCCAGTCATGTAGCCTTAGCCACTGAGGGGACATTTGACTTTTACAGGCATTCAAACTTTGGCTTTTATACAAAAAAGAACCCAAACTTGTGTGTTTCCTGAAAAGTCTTCAGTAGCCAGATGGTTGATTTTGTTGCAAATCTATGTTTGGCCACCACAACGACCTGACTGTACAAGGGACAGCAGACAACAGGCTGGCCTCTTTGTTAGATACTGTCAGTTTGTATCTTGCTTTGTTCGTATCTTGTATCTTGATTTCTCAACAAACAACAAAATCTATATGCAAACGAGCCGTTTTGTTGCAGAGAGAGTTAGCTAGGCCAAAAATAAACACTTTATTAACAAAACTGCCTTGTTTCCTTTTGAATATACTGCAGGGCACAAATCATTTCTAAACAGAGCTCAGACCTCCAGGCAAAAACCTTAATGGAAAGTACTACAATCCCAATTTATAGTAAAACATCTGCCTGAGGGCATGGTTGAATGTGTTAACTACAAAGTGCAACAATGCACACAGTAAGCAATGATAAAGAAGGAAACAGCGTGCGGGCAGAAGGTGATGGTAGGAGATGTCCCGGGTGAAGATCACAGGGGTGAAAAAAGCACTTACAGAGAATGGGTGCAGTTTCCTCAGCAGAGATATCTGGAGATGACAAAAAACGACAACACATGAATGACAAGTTCAGGTATGGGTAAGATAAAGATTTCATATTTTTACCACAAAAAATAGAAGTCAGCATTGTTCATTTGTGTCTGAAGTGTGGGCGACTTGTTGAAAGTCACTAACATGTCCTGAACCGGCCGACCAAACGCAGCCAAATCACTGCCGGGGACATGCTAGTCGATTTGTTTACCTTGAAGTTATGGAGGTCAGCAGTGATCTCCACCTCCCTCTTCCCATTTAGGAAAAGGCAGAGGGGGAGGGGGCTATAAAAAGTCGACCCCCTTCGCAGTCACACAGATTTGCTTCCAAGCTGGAGCTGCCGCAGCATCTGATCCGTGCGAGCAGCTGTCCTCTCCTCACATCAGCACAACAAATACTTTGCATCGCCTGACCTTTTCCTCCTGCATCACTATCCCAGTCATGCCCCGATGTCCCTCCACCCGACACACCACCAGCGGCTTCACACACACACACACGCGCGCGCTAAGCTCCCCTCACACCCTTACTCAACCCCATACTAGGCCCCCACTCGCTACGCACCCAGCTCACTTGTATCCTTCATGCTCAAGCAGTTGTATTATTGCTCTGTCACATTAGCTGAGAATGGACTTTGGCTATGTGCAAGTGTGTATGAGCATGGCAGAAACAGGGATTTAGAACCACAAACATAGAACCAAAAATCAATTTTGATTAATTTCCTTGGCTAATATTTATTTAATTTGATATATTACCATAGTTTAAGATGAGGTGTACATGCATGATTTTTGCGAACATTTTGATAGTAATTCTGAAAAGTCTTTAACAGTGTAGAAAATGCTTACAGAAAGTTAAGGAAATTCACATTTTTACTTTGCTGTTATTGTGTTGCTCACCGTACCAGATTGTATGGAAATCTTTTACAGCTTGTCTTACCAGACTAATTAGATTCGATAAAATACATAAATAATAGTATTTGAGGCCTGATTTTTTTCAGAACAAGAAAAAGGTTGTGAATGAGCAGTTTAGGCCTAACATATAGGTGAAAATGTTTAGCTGTAAATCAGAATTAAGTAGAAAAGCAGTATTTGCAAATGTGCAAAAACTTAAGGAGGGACGTTTGCCAAAAGCTGTGTGTGAGAGGCAATGCTAGCCAAAGAAAGATGAGGAGGGGTTGTGCATAGTTCTCTCAACAGTGCAATGACTGTATAGAATGGTATGAAGTAGTATCGGTGCTCTTAGAGTGCACTGCTGTTTAGCCATAGCTAATGCAGAGGGGTATGTTGTGATTTTGAAGTGATAAAAGTTGTGTTCATGATCACATCTCACAGCTATTTTCTCAGGTTCTTTTTTCTCAGAATACATGAACCCAAAGTCTTAGTGAGTGTTTGTGGAAAACTACACGATACATTGACCCAAACCCTACAGTTAGGTTCAGATATCTAAACTTAATTGATGGGTCACAGCATTAAAAATTGATGGTTAGGTTTAGATTATGATAAAATAAAAAAAAATGAAATTCCACATTAAAATCAAAGATGTACGACTTTCACCACAGACAAAAAACACTGTGAAACACTCCCATGTTCACAAATAGGCTAACTTTTTTTAATGTTCAATTTGTGGTTTTCCTAGACATAAGCATGAAAGTTGAGGATCGACCTGATATGCTTTCCTTATTATCTATTGAATTCCTTCAGAATACAGTTGGTAAGAAAATTCATTGTTAACTGAAAATGAAAATGAAAACTGTTTCTTCCAGAAGATTAGTGAATTGTTGCATTCCCTATAGTGTGAAATGAAAACATTAAACTTTTCAGTATTTGAAATACATTTAACACTTTAAAGCCTGACTCAAGAAAAAAATGGTAATTGTTTTTCTTTAAGTCTCTGTATCTTTCACTATACATTTATGCATAAAGATATATTAAAATCTAAATATATATTTTTACTTGATTAATGTTTACTGCAAAAGTTTATTATGAACTAGAATGGAAAGATTTTTTAGAACATTTTGACCATATGATAATGTAATAGGTCTCAGATATCTATGCATTACATATGATAGATTTGACATTTAAAGATTAAAAGAATTATGGTTATAGAACTTAAATTGTGAATAAATACAAACGGGTGACAATATGGGAAAAATATTCTTGGCTTTTGTTCCGCTTGTGCTATACCATGTGCCGCTTTAAAGGGAGCTTTATGACTTTGTGATTTGGTTGAACCTCCAAATTAACTGTGAATTTGCAGCTCCAGCTGACTTTTATTAGAAATAGTATAGTGTTGGCTAATAAAAAATGTTTAGGCTTGAGTTTAACAAAGCATAACTTACAAGGATTGAACACATTAATAAACTGTAATGCTATATGAGAAACTGAAGCATTTATAAGTGATTAAAGATAACTAGATGCAAGGTGTCACTAACTGGAATAGTTTCCTGCGACACCCTGAGAATAAATCGTGTAAACAAACTCGCCTCACGCTATTAAAATAGCCCGACGATGTGTAATGTAGAGAAAATCTCCAGGCTGTGGATGAAAATCCAATCTCCCTGTAAGTCCAGCCGAGTTTAAGGGGGTCGGGTTACCTGTCATGAAGCTACTGCATGTCTATTAACGCTGGCATGCCGGTGCAAAGGTGGCCAAGCTGGCCTGCTGTTTTAGCAACATTTACACATAGAAATGTCAAAGGATTCAGACAGGATCTTTGTACAGGTGTACGAGGACAAAACGGGGACAAAGTTACTGAAACTAAAAGGAAAACAGAGCAGTCAGAGAGCCTGTAGACGGGATTAGTGGTAGTCGTCTGTGCTTTGTCTTGTATGTCGCTTCATGGTCACTTCTCCTTTTTTGTTATGACCATTGCTTCATTTGAATTATGCCATGTCTCTTTCTGGCTATATTTCTTTACATGATTTATGGCCTCTGACTGTTGGTATGATATGAAGAACTTTTCCTCTTTTTCGTTTTCTGTCATTCAATATTTCTATTTTGTTTTTTACTTTTTTTTAAACTTTTTTTTTTACTGTTGATCTACTGTAAGGATTTCTATGGAGTCAGGTTCTTTCCCTTTAGATATGATATTAAAAAGAATAAGTTATTAAGTTGATGGTTCATAACAATAAGCATTTCTTTCTGTAGTTTGTAGGATTAGTGGAATTTGTTTTGATTGTTTGCTGTGTAAAATGACTGAATGATTATATAGTGACATCAATTTTTTTGTTGATATTTGCAAATTGTAAAGGCAACTTCAGTCTTTCAGTTTAAGAACAAAAAGCAGCAGATGTGAGATAGCGTGTGGGATTTAAACAAACCTACTCTGATGAAGAGAAGCTCTGTTGGTCACCGATGCTCCACCACGAAGCTCATTGTTTTTCCGTCAAACGAGGGTGGGGCGATGATTCTTGGACCTTGCTGCGTTGTGATGCTGATTAATGGCTTCCTCTCAGAGCCGGCTCCTCCTCCTCTCCTGGTCACTTGCTCTAAACTCACTGGAAGGTGCAGTGACCCGTGGGGAGCTTCTCCAGTGGCGCTGTAATATGTGCCCTCCGCCCCGGCTGCGTTGCTCTTTTTTACCTTTTCTCCACCTGCATCCTCAGAGTTGCACGGGGACTGTGGCACCACTCCGGGGGCTGCTAATGTGGGTGAGGGGATGAAACTGGGGTATATCATGTAGGTAGGGGCGTACGCTCCCGGACTCAGAGCCAAGGGAGACAGGGGAAGAGGCACGGGGGTGACAGGTGCCACGGGCGAATGGGACATGGGTACGTCCACATACTGGCCCGTCTCGGGGTCAAACAGTCTCTTAGTTGTGGCCTGTATGGGAGTGTCCACCAAATAATAATGTCCAGTTGTGGGATCCAAAAGCATCTTTCGCTGGGTCGGTGACCCCGTCTCCACAGAAGAGGGTGTAGGCGACACATTGGGGACAGAGGGAGAGAAACATAACAAATGGGGTTGTTTTTGAGGACTTGTAACCGCCACCGGACGGTGGTAGATGGTCGCAGCCGGGTACTCCATGACCAAAGGGGACCTCTTTTGCTCAGGTCCTTTGGTGTCGTCCGCACTGACTCTGCTGAAACTCGAGCCGCCCTCCCTCGTAAGGGGCTCCCGATTCGACGGCGCGGTCTCATTTGCATGCCCCAGCCCCGGCATGGTCAAGTAGTTCTCGGAGTCCGAGCATCCCTGCGTGACGGCGGGAGAGCCGGGGCTGACTTTGGCCTTTCCCTGCTCCACCTGGTCGGGTTTCGGCGGCTCTATTTTCACCGACAGCGGAGCCGCCGGAGACTTGAAGCTCTTCAGAGTGGATGACGTGCTCTGGGAGGAGCTTTGTGAAGGATGGTGACCATCTGTGCTGACACTGACGCGGGTCCGCTGGCCAAAATGAAGGACGCTTTTGTTAGTGAATGTTCTGCTCTCTTGGGACTGCGTCTTGAACGTGTCATTGTTATACGGGACATGTATGATATTTGAAGCCTTTTTAAGGCCCTGTGGCTTCAGCGTTTCCGTTAAAGGGTGGGGCATCCGGACGGCGTTCGTCTCCCCCTCGTCCGCCCCCTGCTCCTCGCTGGCAATGAGTGACAACACGTGGCTGTCCGTGACCGGCTGTGGGGCTTGGGTTTTCCGCTTCCATTCCTTTTTATCAAAAACATACAACTGCTCCATTGTTTTGACTGCGGCTCTGAGTTTCTCCAAAGCATCCTGTTTTGGCGCCGCGGCCTCGCTTCTCCTCTCAGCTGCGTCGCCCGCGAACTTGTCCGGCCTCTGCTTCGCCAGTTTGGCCTCCAGATGTGGTTGCGCGTCGGACTGGTCGAGGTTTCCCTGCTTGTTTGGAGCAGTGGCCGCTCGGCTGATGGTGCTGTCACTTTGAGACGTCTCTGGTGGAGCGTCTGCCTCCACTTGTGGATGTGACCCCTCTGTTGTATGAGATTTCGAGTTTGTTTTCACAGAGTTGCATTTAATCACAATTGGAGATGGTAGTAAATGTTTAACTGAATCCCCTTTCGCCTTCTCCTCAAGCTTATCAGCTACTTGGGAAGATTTACTGTCACTATTATCCAAAGAGACAAAGCGATATGAGCTTTTTACTAATTTCCGTACATCCCTAACATGATATATTGGTGTTTGAAATTTGCCTTTGGTGTCCCTTATATCTCTGACTGTGAAGTTTGGAATCTTATCTGCTGAAGACAAAACATGGCATTTGTTATCATCCGCTGCCCTGAACATCCTAACGTTGGAACTTATTTTAGGGGTTAATAGATTTGCGATGTTCAGCGTGCAGCCTTTATTTTCTTTCACGCTTCTCAGGCATATTTTTATCTCCGGTGCTTTCCCCCCTGAGTCGTGTCCCTCTTGGCCATCACTATTTCCATTGATGCACTTTTCCGGCTCTTTTTCACTGTTGCCTGACCCAGCAGATGCACCGGCCTCAGTCGTGCTCTGTGTTAGATCCTCTTTAAGGTCCTGGTCCTTTGAGAGGAGCTGGCAACTTGGAACAAAGAGCACGTTTGTCAGCATGCTGCTTGTGTCTACCCCTTCCTTTGCAGTGGTTTGTGAATCACTTGCAGATGAAGGTTCGGCCTCTTTCGGAGGGTTTGGCTCCTCTTCTTTTAATGAATTGAACGCACTACTTTGACTGTGGATGAGTGGAGCTTTTGGGGGTTCTTCTTGCCTATTTTCTGCATTATCAGGGGCTTTGCTGTCTGTTGTCTCATCAGCGGGGCCACAGCAGCTGTCTCTGCCGCCCCCCGTGTGCTCATCCTCGGTCGAGTTAATGGTAAATGCTGAGCCCGATTCCGAGCTTTGCCTTTGTAATCCCTTACCCTGACACTTATCCCTCATTCCGTCTTGCTCTTTTGTGTGAAAACAGGGTGATAAGGCGGGATGTGTGTCACGGATCTCCCCCCTCTCCATTTTGCGCTCCTGCTCGAACTGCATCTTTTTGGAAATCACATTTTTTAAAAGACTCGAAGCAAAAATGGCCCTCTTGTGCGTGTCCTCCGTGCTGTCTGTGTGATGACACTGCATCTCACACCCCGACCTGGTCAACACAGTCCCGGTGACTTCACTGGGTCGTGCTTTCTTGGAACATTTGGGACCCCTGCGTCCATCGTGGGACTGAACGTTACAGTGAAAGTTTAACGTCACCCCACGCTGCGCAGGCTGGGCGGAGTCATTCAGTTGGATCTTTCTACAGGATGCCGCTTGTTGTGAAGTCCTCTTGTTAAGGGCGTACATTTTGGTAGGTGAGGCTTTCACACCGGTAATAGATCTACCATGCCTCCTACCATCCACATTTTTATTCATCTCCAGTGTTGCGCTGGAGGTGTTGTGCGCAATTACGCTGCGCTCTCCCCCCCTCGATATATTTCCATACTTCCAATCTACATACGTCGACCATTTGTTGAGCCCATATTCCGACACAGACGATTCACTGGAGGTGCTGAGATTGATAGCATCGAAGTAGGGACATGCCAAGCTCCGGAAAGACTTGGCGGTTAGGTTACGCACCTCTTTATCAGCGTCGTCCAGTTCGCTGATGGAGCTGGACGCTCCGCTGGAATACTCATTAATATCTTTCCGTCTCAGTTTGGTTGCGAGGTGCTGACGTCCCGGAGCAGGGATGAAATATTGGCCTCTATCGCACAGGGGCCCCGCTCTGGCGCCGGAGCTCACAAAAGAGAAATGACTCCGGTCTGCGAAGTGTTTTGTGTACCCATGGGTGCTGCCGTCGAACACACCGACCGGATCGGTCACCGCTCTGGAGGAAGTTTTGATGGACAGGTGGATTTTCCCCGCGTTGTGGTCTCCGCTCTGGTTTTTGCAGACACTCTCATCTGAGCTGGCGCATTTGTCCGAGTCACAAAGATCACTCTCCTCCTGCTCAGTGCTGACAACTGCTCCCCCAAGATTAGACTGCACTTTTGCCAGGCCCATGCCCTCCAGGATCAAGGTCCCCTCCTGGGTGTCGTCGCTCTCAAAAGAAGCGTAATCCACAAACGAATAGACCAGGTTGTTGTCCTCGAAGTCCCAACAGGTCCCTCGGCCCAGGTCGTAGTCGACGTCGTGGTCGAGCTCGGTCAGCTGGATTTCGTGCGTGGTGATATAGTGGGACTCGTCCTCCACGGTGTCCGAGCCGCAGTGGTCAGACAGCACGGCGCTGGCGCCGTCGTCCGACTCGGTCTTGCTGTTCAGATACATGTCCGTGTACTGGAGCTCATCGCTGCAGCCGCTGGTGTCCAGCCCTGCCGGACGCTGCTCCTCATTCTCCGCGAGCTGATCAAGTTTGGTCAGAGTTTCAAATGTGGACTCATCCGGCCCGGTGACGGTCTCCCGCGTGTCCTCCGCCTGCTCGATGGTCTCATCCGAACTTATTTTCCGTTCCTCCGGCTTCGAGCTGTCGCTTTTGATCACAGACAACTGGTTTCCCTCGCCGGTGAAAGTCACTTTCACCGTTTTCGGGCCGTCGGGTTTCATGTCCAGATCCACATAGTTTGACTCGTTGCTGTTCGTCTCCGTGGCGTGGTCCTCCTTACTCTTCGCCCTGTGCTTGTTTTTGTCGTGCGTGAGCAGCTTCCTGAGAAGTCCGGTGTCATCTCGGTAAGTGAGAGTTTTCTCCGCTGCTTCCATTTAGTCCGTTCTTACCGTCAGGTGGTCCTGGTTTACGATGTTACTCTGACACTGGATGGAAAACTCTGCAGGGCGCAGCCAGGGGCAGCGAGGAGGGAGCGTGTGTGTGTGTGTGTGTGTGAGTGTGTGACAGAGAGAGGGAGAGGGGGGACAGGGGGAGAGAGAGAGAGAGACAGAGATAGTGAGGAATAGACAGACACAGACGTGGGGTTGTCCCAGGAAAATCCCATGAAACAATTAGACATTTCTCCACAGTGTGGTCCACCAAAACAAATTCTCCAGTTTTCAGCACCTTTGGAAGGACAGCTCCCCTTCAGGGACCCCAAAGTAACATTTTCCAATATCTTAAAAAATATATATCTTTTAAAAAAGTATATATATGTATAGCTGAATAAGAATATGACCTTAAATTGTTGTTTGTACAACACAAAACAATTCCATGACATCCACTGTGTGTCAGTTCAAAATGTTACAACATGACCCCAGTCAGTTTACACTCAAACTGACCCTAACTTTGAATCTGTAACAACATACAGGGCACATAATCGCAACATGAAAGCAGCTTATTTGCCAAAAAAGCTCTTATGCGTGTTGCAAATAATCTATTTGGAAGTAAACTGAACTTCAAAGTGTCTGAAGCTCAAAGATACAGTACAACTTCCTGAGGCATGAAAGAAAGACAGGAAAGAAGATTTTTTCTCTGGAAAATGAAAAACAGGTAGTTAAAAACGAGCAATATAGCATTGAACAATAATTAGATTGTAAAAATACACAAGCCAAGTCAAATTAGTCTAGGGTACTGACAAAATTTATGAACAATTAAAGTGTTTGTTTAAACCAGGGATTATTTCAGGTTTATGAAAACATTAGGCAAATATGCTTCATGTTGATTTGAATTGAACATGTAATTCAATGGATTTTAGTGGGCTTTTTCAAAGTAGTGGGCTGAAATAGCAACATATACATATAAAATGAAAAACGTTTGATCGGGCTTATCAATGCTAATACCTCCATCTTGATTGTTCACACAACTTAAGTAAATATGGGATATGTTAAGACAAAAGACAAACCACCTCAATTTTTTTAGTGTCCCCTCAGAATCATTTATTGGCATTCATAAAAACCTCTTCTATAATTTAGACACTCATTGAAACAGCTATCTACCTGGGAGAGTAAGTATTCACCATCAGCTCATGTCAGTCTGCTTAAAGGAGTAATTCCATCTATTCATGTGCCGATATGAGCTCATCCCACCTCTCACCCGGAGCAATGTGTGAAAAGTTTGGACGAAAATATAAGCAGGAATCCTTTTGATGATGAAATTTGTGACCAAAACATTGCTGAATCAGACTGCCTTGCATAACAATGATCCAGTTGTTCGGTGTCTGTCTAGGTTTCGCAGACACAAGTGTTGTTCCTGGACATGGCCCCAGATTAGTGGTATGCAACAGGGAAGGGGCGGGCCAACAGTTGTTCCATGTGGAGGGCACACTGACAGCAGTATCAAGGACAGAGGCCACCAGAGTAAAGCCTCTGTCACACTCGGATCCCAATTTTACACTCACTGTCACTCGAATGGAGACAGTCTGTTCAAATAGACTCATCTTTTTTTCCTTCTTTTTAACCGAACCACTGCAAGTATAGTTTTAAGTACTGTACTTGGCCTTGGTGTTTCGTTATGCTTCTGCTCCGCTACATTTCAGTGGCTAAGAATGCGATCCTCTGCATTCAGTGGACAGCTGTAGTTATTTTCGGATTAGACTTTTACATAAAAACAAATATGATGCAAGATATCTGATCAGCTTATAAAACAGCCCTTAACCTTTTTATGTTCTGACCTCTAAAAAGCTTCTGGACTCTCAGTCAGCTTGAAGATATAAATATAAGTATGAATGTGTGTCAATAAAATAGTATTAGTTTTTCATGAACAGAATGTATCATACTCAATAGTCTAAGTCTGAGTACTTCACCAATGGCCGTTCTTGTGTTATTCCCCTAATGGTTGAATGAAAGTTTATCAGTCCTACATAAAATGAAAAGAAGCATTAATTCTAGACTAATTCTGCTTGAAAATTAATTTTCTGACATGAATGGTTTGCTTTATGGGTTGAGCAAAGAAGCCCATCAGAACATGGCCACAAGTCAAAGTGACCAATGCAAAGCTGATAATTTTAGGTAGCTATTTGAAATGGGGACATGGCTCACGCAAGCAAGTTGAGATCAGTTTCTTACCATGGCCACATTAAAACGGCAGGTGTCAAATCATGAGCGCCATTAATCAGCGTCGTGAATGGACCATTCGAAGACCTTTTCGTCTCTCGCCCTCCGTCACCCTTGAGATGTTGATACAGAAATGTGAGAATTGATACACAGTATGCGCAGTGCTCCGAAAATAACCAGTCAACGGCGAAGGGCAGGTTGAACAGTAACCCAGCAAATCTTCATGTGTTAACAAGTGTTGATTTTACAGTGACAGATCACCAGAGGCAGCAGTTGTTGTTCTGACAGCTGACATGTTTTTGCATGGGTTAGTTAGGCGTGCCTTAAAGACCATAGCTATTAAAAATAGCTTTGAAAAGGCAAGAATGACCTATTTTTATGGATTTTTTTTTTGCAGTATTCAACATGAAAAAATTAATCACAGCATCAGATGATGGAGATTTGGTCCTCCAGTTGACAAAGAAATCTGTAGCTGAGATGAAGGCCAAAGCTTTAAACAGGGGACTATGAATGTAAAGTGAAATAAGCCATCCTGTTTCATAAAAATCACATTATGTTAAAAAAAACATTTGACAGGAACTAAAAATCATGTAAAGACAGTGTGATGAAATTGTATTAAAAGGTTGAAATGCTTTAAAAGGGCTTTCATGAAATGAAAACTAAATAGCAAAGTAGGGATCAGCTATGTGCTATGCTATCTAAATCGGCCCTTTTCTTAATTTTTGAGGGAGATTGTTAAATAGGGAAAAAAACATTCACCTTTTCACACATACATTCACATTTTTACTCAGTCTAACAGTGTAAGGGGTTGCGTAGTCCACTGAGTCGCATAATCACACACATTCAGACACAGATAAATGACTAAAAGTCCTGTTAAAGTACATTTCAAATTAGAGACTGAATGAGAATTTGAAGCCGATAACCGTAACACACCCCATTGCTAGAAAAGGCACAAAATAATGAATAAGTGTCAGAGAGACATGGTTAAAAACTCCTCTCTACACTTGCAAAAGGTTGGAGTTTAAAAAAGCTGATGGAAACTATACCTGATCCTGTCAGATGGTTAGAATTTTTTAAAGCGTCTCTGAGAGTAACTTTTAAAAAAAAGCAGAAAACATGGGAATCTTACTCAACGAAAATGAACATCTGATTTGAGAATTTCTCTAAAATACTTTGACGGTGTCGAAGGCACACTGCCTCATTGTACGCCGCATACTACTATGACATGTTTATGTTTTCTGCAGCATTCAGCAGCACTGCTGACTTTCTGACCCTGGCTGCTGAGCCCTGTGCAGCTCCTGAGAGGGAACCGGAGAAGTCTGAGAGCTGTGACACCTGCTGTAATGCAGTCACTGGCAGCCAGACACCGCTCTTCTCCAGAATACTCACCTCACACACACACACGCGCACGCACACACACACGTCACCCTTCAAGTGTTTCACGGTTCAAAGGGTAAAAAGTCAACTTCGGACTGGAAAGCGTTGCGTGTGAGCAGGTTCTCTGGATGTGAGGGATTAGCGTGTTACCACCAATACCGACAGTTCACTTAGAGAGAATAACTGCAAACGGTGAGGTTTGTTCTCTTTTCCTGAACTCCCGGTAAGGTGTTAAGCAGGTCTACCAGCGTAGAAACTTCATTTAGCTTTTTTTTCTGTTCTTGAAGTTGCCCCATATGAGTTTAGAATGTCACAGAGTCAGCAGAACAGTCAACGCTACAGGGTTTGCTTTCAAATAACGAACTTATCAGGAAGATCTACGTTGCAGCTTTGCTGACGTGTGTTGGGTTTTTGTTTCCATCAGTGCAAAGCCTATTATGACAGAGTTGCTGACCCTTTGGACCGCAGTCATTTTTCACCAATTAACAACTCACCATAGTTAAAATTAGGACTGTACCACACACATTTACAAAAGCCTTACTGTCAAACATGGCAGATAAATAAACAGCAACAGAAACATTTTAAAATCACAGTAGCCCAAATGCTAAGGGCTACTATTGATTTTGTATGAGCATTAGACAAACAATCCTAAATTATAGAACATGATTCACTCTAAAAGTTAGAAGTGCAACGTGTCACATTCTATGAGCAACCGAATCATATAAAAACTGCAGAAATTTAATCCCGGTGCCTCTGTATGTACTCAATTTAGGCTTTGGGGAACTTTACATGCTTCAGGATTAGGTTTGTTTGTTTTGTATGTAAAAAACAGATGCCTAAGATTTAATGGGGGTAGGCATTTGGTCTCAATTTTCATTATAGTTCCCCAATTTCTTAGATAGCATGCATCACGCAATAGTAGAATAGGACAAAAAAAGAACTAGTGCCCCACACAGTGCTCAGCCTCTCCATTTAAATGGTTTAGCTTCAAATATTTTTTGCTCAGTCATTCTTTTGATTTGAGAAATAACCAACAAAAAGAAGTTTGAGGGAAATGTGATCAATGCGTCAACTGTCACAAATAACAGGCATTTTTGGTTGTTTGTTGAGAACAACTTACAGATGTTTGCCTTTCTATATGAATTAGGGAAAGATATTATTCAACGACATAAAATAGAAGCTAAATCACATACTGATGGGTGTTTAAAAAGAAACATGGTGCAAGATGTTTGCTGTGTGTCATCTGGTTTCAGCTTGCTCGTGCCCTGTGTGTTTAGGGATTCTCCAGCCTAAAAACAGCAATGCCACAGGCAGAGCTGTGATGAATTATGCCAGCAGTGGCAGACCCCTATGGTTGCTCCCTCCCAGTTATGAGATGTCACTTGTGCTCACAGGCGACTGGCCCCCCAGCAAAGGTCAGCAATATGTCAAGGGACATATTGTAACCCCATTGTAATGTAAATATTGTCTTTTAAACAAATTTGAAACAAAAATAGTGCCAAAGAGATTGATCTTAGAATGGTAACACAAATAAACATCCATTTTCAGAACCCCAAATGGGGTCGCGGGGGACTGGGGCCTACTCCAGTATTCAATGGGCGAGAGGCAGTGTAAACACTGGACGGTCCGCCAGTCCATCGCAGGACATATGGACACACAAAGACGTGCAACCATGCACCGCACACTCACTCCTAAGGGCAATTTGGAGTGTCCAATCAACCTAACATGCAGGTTTTTGGACGGTGGGAGGAAGCCGGAGAAGACCCACGCAGACACAGGGAGAACATGCAAACTCCACACAGAAAGGGCCTGGTTCCCCCCGGGGGCCCACCCCTCTAGCTGTGAGGGATAGAGCTAACCACCCACAAACACACATACATATTCATATTAAAAATGACCCTATAGCATTTGGCGTTTGCTCCTTCTTGTTATGCTTTCAACAGCTTCCCTCTGGTGGTGTCTTCCTGTAACTACACACCTTCATTCGCTACATCTGCACTATGTAGTGTTGATGGGGGACAAAAGTTTGGGTACCAGTCAAACTGAAATAATTTTCCAACGGAACCTGCTTCAACATGTATGATCTCTATATTAACTGATTGATGGCAATAAGCCAGACTGAAAACACTTGTCAACAGCACTGTATGAGGAAAGCTGTGACAGATGCCAGTGTTTTTGCCTCCTCAGGAGCTTATATTATCTACTAAAACACACTTTTGCCAGTGTCACGTGACCAAATCAGCATGTTTAACCGTTTAATAGTTTAGCAGTCACTAAAGGGGGAGTTGTTCAATCGATTTAGACATGTTTTAATTAATCAACACAGTAAATATTCCTTGTAAAATTGAGTTTTAATATTTGCAATCCTATATTTACTGAAAATCAATCCTGTTTATCCGATGTCAAGTTGCTTTCTCTGACACAAATAGTTATTGTGATTGGAATCGAATCGAATTTTCTTCTCTTTTTTCCCCCCCTCCAGCCTTCCGGGATGCAGCTGCAGCCGTATCAGCCTGTGTCAGGGCTTTCCACTGTAGTGCTGCATTTGGATGTCACCCGGCAGAGAGAGCCCACAGCTCGCTCCAAAACGCGCTCCCGTTTGACCGTTCTTAATGTCCGAGAGGCATTATGGCGTCCACCGTGCAGTGGTTAGCGGCCGGCCTGGCCCTGATGTGTTTGTGTGGCGAAGGTGAACCCAAAAAGACTGTGAAATGTCCTTCAGGATGCTCCTGCTCCAAGGAGACCGTGATATGCGTCGGTGCGTCCCAGATCCCCCGGACCGTGCCCAACGAGATCAACTCGCTGTAAGTAATCGATCAGATGAATTCCACTCTAAATATGTCAAGGTCTCAGTATATCGCAAGAGATTTAATGATGCGTTTCAAAGGGAGTGTTTACTTCCCATTGTGTTGGCTCTTGACTTGTTTAATGTGTTAAGACGTCCTTTATGTGCTCCCAATATAGGAGCGTTGTAAATGGATCCATTGCGGAAATCACTGAGGGGATGTTTTCACTCATGCCTTTTCTTCAGCTGCTGTAAGTACCAAATAGTCACGTGGTAGTTGTTGTTGATTAGCAGATTATTGATAGTCCTTGTCTCAGTTTGATAATATAGAAAGCATGTGTGGTTTGTCTTTGGCATACAGGCTTCTCAATGCCAATTCCCTGACCACAATCAAAGATGATGCTTTCTCTGGTTTGTCTCATCTTGAATATCTGTGAGTATTTGGGGCATGTTTTTCCAGTCAATGCTCTGTTGTTGGGGACACCTACAATGACATGCAACTGCAAATGAAATCTTCCCATCTCCATTCACCATCAGCTCAGTTCAATTAATACAGAGATGCCCATCTGACCTGACATCATCATCTACTAATGCATTGTGCTTTTCTGCCTGTGCACAATGATGAACCAGGTTTATCGAGGGAAACAAGATTGAGACAATCACCAAAAATGCCTTTCGGGGTCTGCGAGCTTTGACTCATCTGTAAGTCTGCTGTCCTTCTCTCTACCAATCAGAAAAGAGTGTTGATCTAAAGATTTTCACTCTGCACTGCTAATAAGTGGTCCTAAATAAAGAAAAAACCTATGCAGCAGTTTGTATTGAAAAAAAGGGCTGATTCCTGATAGAAATGTGTTTTTTCCCTCCCTGTGCAGCTCCCTTGCTAATAACAAGATGAGGTTTCTGCCAAGAGATCTTTTCTTTTACTTGGATTCATTGCTGGAACTGTGAGTAAGCAGTTAAGTCAGCAGTGTTACTGCAAACGTGTGTTTGTGTGTGTTTGTGTGTGTGTATGTGTGTTTCTCATAATGCGTTCCAAAGTGAAGCTGACTCAGGCTGGGCTGTTTGGCCTTAAATCTCTGTGGGATAGCATGGCGTATCTATCTATTAATCTATACATTTTTAATGTGTAAGAGGACCATTACATATCTGGGGGTCTTTAGCACGTGATGAGTAGTTTGTAGCTTCTTGCTTGTGGCAATCCTTCACTGCTGTTGATTCCACCTGTCATGCTACAGGGATCTACGAGGCAACTCGTTCCAGTGCAGTTGTGAGAACAAGTGGTTGATGGTATGGCTGAAAAACACAAATGCCACGGTGTCAGATGTCTTCTGCGCAGGCCCCAGTGACATGAAGGGGAAGCGGCTCAATGACCTTCCTATCCCACCAGGCGAATGCATTTCCACAGGTAACATATCGAGCACACCATCAAAGGCGTTTCTGTTCATTCTCCGGTGTAGCTAAATATGGTCATATCCTTTCATAAAGAGAAGGGGAAGACATTCAATGTAAAGTCTGAATAAATTAGCAGGACCTAAATATGTATGGTTCTGCATGATAACAGGTAACATAATGCACACACATACAATTACACATGCACATTATAGCAAAACTAAAAAAACAAGAGTCCACAGGCCTGGGACACTATCTAGAAACATGCTCATAAAAGTAATGGAGATATTTAGCATGATTGTTACTTTTTTTCCATCGGCTTAGTTTAACATGGAGCAGTCAAAACAGAGAAAAAAATCAAGTCCATGTGGAGCTGAGTAAAATGTATGCAGAAGACTGGTAACCACGACAATATTAAGCAGAAATGGGACAAACAGATATTTTGAAAGGGCTGCTGCAATACGCATGACGTTTAAGCATCCATTAAATTATTACTGCTTCTAAAGAGGGGGTACATGAACAGGTACGCTTTTGAATAAATGAACACTACAAAAACAGTCTGTTTCAGTTGGCTTCTTAATATTTCTTGGTTACTTAACAACATTATTCTCACACTGGACAAGATATTCTCTTCCCACTAAAACTAATAATCTTTTATAAATAAATACGTCTTAAAATGCAAGCAAAAAAGGGGTAACTAAGCAGTTTTTAAAAATACCTCATGAGGTGATCAATAGGATGGCTGTGTAAAATAATTGCCCAAAAAAGCATTCCAAGAACTGCCTTAGTATGAAAATTAAAAGTTAAAAATTATGAAAAGAAAATATCATTGACACTAACTGAAATATGATACCATTGGATACATTTTTAGCAGGTCAGGCACTGAGGTTCTTGTTCCCTTGATCAGCATACTAACAGTTTCCCTTTTTGTCTGCATTTCACAGACTTTGTGCGTCATCAGTCCATTCCCATTCAGTCCATGTCAGCGGACATCTTCTCCTTTAAAGAGGACATCTATGTGGCGATGGCAGCCCCAAACACCAACAGCTGCATGATCATGGAATGGGATCACATCGAATTGAATTTCAGAAAATTTGACAATATAACAGGTTTGAGAACACTTCTCTTAGTTTTCTCTTGTTTAAAAACTTTGTTTTTCATTTTAAAGTGTGGAGTTCATAAAATATAGATAAGATAAGTATCAAAATATCAAAGACCACGTCCAAATGCCAGGCATGGTACACCATTCGTTCCTTTGTAAGAAGAAGAACTTTTCAGGGTACAACAGAACACTTGGGATATTAAAGTCAGATATTTAAAAAAAAAGTTTTGGCAGGATAGAATCCGGAGTCACATTCAAATCGTTTTAGCTTGTTAATTGCAAATGAAAATTATGTTGAAGATGATAAAACGTCTGAATCTGAAAAAACTAAAAAGCAAGAGATGTCCAGATGATGTTGACAGCAGGTTGAGGACTGGATGTTTATGTGGCCTCATGTTTTTTGGGAAAGTATCAGCCTGCACACAAAGTTAACTAATTGACAGATTGACTCATTGGGTTTGGGTTGGTTATAGGTTTTTTGTTTATATTGAATTTCACATCTGAGGTGCATGACCACTTACATTCTTTTAATTTCAGGTAAATCTGTTGTTGGATGTAAGTCGGTTCAGCTTGAAAACCACGTCTTGATCATAGTCACACAGCTCTTTGGCGGCTCCCACATTTATAAATTCGATGACCATCAGAACAAGTTCAACAAATTTCAAACAATTGAGGTCTTCAACATCTCAAAGCCAAATGATATGGAGGTCTTTCAAATAGACGGTGACTGGTTCTTTTTGATCGTGGACAGCTCCAAGGCGGGCCTCTCTACTCTCTACAAGTGGACTGACCGACCAGACCGCAATGAAACTGGTTTCTATTCCTACCAGTATCTTCACGAATGGTTTCGTGATACAGATGCCGAGTTTGTTGAAGTGGACGGAAAGTCTTACCTAATTCTGGCCAGTCGCTCGCAGTCTCCCATCATCTACATCTGGAACAAGAGCACACTGAAGTTTATTCTTCACAGTGAAATACCGTATGTTGATGATGTTGTGTCTGTCAAAGCTTTCCGGGTGGAAGCTGAGTTGTACTTGGCCCTGGCTTGCTACATCGGTGACTCCAAAGTAATCAAGTGGGCAAACAAGCAGTTCACAGAGGTTCAGGCTCTTCCTTCTCGAGGAGCCATGATCCTCCAGCCTTTCCGCTTCTCAGACAGACAATATCTTGCTCTTGGCAGTGATTACTCTTTCACACAGATCCACCTCTGGGATGGGGAGACAAAAACATTTCACAAGTTTAAGGATATCTATGTACAATCACCCAGATCATTCACTGTGGTGACCACCGACCGGAGGAGTTTCATCTTTTCCTCCAGCCTTAAGGGAAAATCGATGGTTTTTGAGCATGTATTTGTAGATCTAAGCTTGTAAACAATCCCAAAATGTAATGGTCATCCAGATCAATAACGTGTGCATACTATAGAGGCCTCACATGCTATATAATCTTACAATGTGTAACCTTACATTGTGTAACAGGTCAGTCAGTAAAAAGGGACTTATACAGATATCACCGCAAATCAGATTAATTGGTTGCCTTTATCATCATCCTGACAATGGCTGAGTGTTGGAAACCTCATAAAAGTAAGAAACCTCTTCATTAAGGGACATATAACTTTCAAAACCTATTATGATTGTCTACTAACTTTATACCTACAATTGTTCAAAGCTGCACTGGACACAGACCAAACTAAAAAAAAAAACACACATTTTGGTAGACACATCAAGTGTTAAAATGACCTGACCTGGCCTTCATTTATTTACACATAACTACATCCCATCTGGGAAAAAAAGCAGTCGCTCATAGACAAAAAGGTTTCAGATGCAGCTTGGCATGCTATATTGCTCAGAAATACCCTTATTCAAAAAGGTAAGAGAGAGAAGAAACTGTTTCATGTTTAAGCTATCTTATATAACTCATAGCAGTCTGACCAATGTTTAAGAAGTGCAAAAAATAGGTTTTCATGTATATCAAAATACAGCAGTGTAGTAGGTAGACTTAAGAAAATTTATACTAAGCAAATGTAAACCAGCTACTGAGTGCCTGAATAATAGCTGCATTCTAACAAAAAACAAGATATGTATGTACATACCTTCTTCTGACTCCTATGCAAAACGTGCAACACTGAATGTTGAAATTGCAAAATGTGAACCCTTTTCATTCAAGATCTTCTACAGATTTGTTTACAGTTTGGAAGCTGTTTATTTTCCACATAGGACCCCAAACAGTCCTTGTGGACCCATATTCAGATGACAGTCATACGATACCAATTGTACTAGTATGAATGCATAATTTTTTTTCATTTGTATATTAGATTTGCGAGGGTGAAAAAACATTCCCTGTTGCCTTTTCCGTTGTTTTGATGTCCTGTTTCGCTGTACTGTGTATACTGTTGTTTAATTCCATTAAGCCACAAAGCAATTATAAGAAGTGACCTTTTACATACCTACAACCTTTAATTAATTGTAAAAATGGGTTTGTGAAAATGCATTAAATTCCATTTAACCGACTAAATTTTCCTATTTTGTGTTTAAGTTATTATTCTAACCAGAACCTGTAGGAAACTGAACTAAAATAAACAGCTAGTTTGGAGAGCTTTGACAAGGTGGCTTAGGTTGAGGAACGCTTTGGTAAATGGATGCTTGTTTTATCAATTATCTATGAAGTCAGCTTGATGACCTTTATATAGTTAACACTCAAGTCCACAATGGCTGCAAGACATTTCTGAGTAGGTAAGAATGCACATCTAATAAAATATATTGCCATGATTTGCTGTTAAGGTCACTGAGTGTTGATAAATAATGCAGATGATCTTTTTGGGCCTTGGACATATTTCTGGAAATGATCTAAATTACAAAGAATATTAATGCCATTAGAATTACTTTTCTATCATATATGTTGTATATTTAAAAAGAGTAGCACCTTAAAGGACTCCAAACAAGTGCCATGATGTGGATTTAGACACCATCCTACCAAAGAATCCTTAATGATGATGATGATATTTATGAAATTCAGTTATTATTATGCATTTAGCAGACACTTTTATCCAAAGCGACTTACAAAAAGAGGGTTTAACATTCAACCACAACACCAGTTACACACTTACCTTGAGTGCAATAAACTAGAAGAGGATTTAACATTAAGGATTTAACATTCAACTATGACAGACATTATCATCATCATATAACATGTGATGTTGAAGAGGGATGTGTGTATAAAGTTAGTGTGGTTTATATCTGGTGACCATTAAGGTCGTGACATCTGATTCATATCATGTCTTCTACAGAAGAACATACTCCCATCAAGACAGATGCGGCAGGTGACATGGTAAAGATGATCATTCGTGCGTGTGTTTAAAACGTCACGACTTCGGGTATGAAGGGGAAATTTTTTTATTTATTGGAAATTATAAACTTTATCATGAGTGTTGCTTCGGGTTTTAACAATACCAACACATCTCCAGGCAGACGGCGGCCACTGTTTTGATTTTTGATTTACTAGCTTTTGCGAATGCGTCGTGACGTCACGCTGACGTCCGCGGAGGGCGGAAGTGATGCAGCCTGTGCTCCTCCGGCAGTTAATCCGTTTATGTGATGCTAAATGTCTCCTGATTCAGGTGAACCAGCGCCGTGAAGGTGTAGTGGGACTATGAGATATTCCGTTAGCCTTTAACAGGCGGCACGAACGGAAATGGACGCGTCCCGGAGGAGCGAAAGTGAATGGCAGGGGATGCTTAACGAGGTGAGAGACGGACGAGCAAAAGAGCTTGTAAATCTCAACAAATGTGATGCGTGTAATGCCCAACTAAACAGCGTTTTGCACTCTGGATAAGTCACGTCCGGCGCCTCTTTGTCGGACCAACAGACAGCTGAAATAAGCACCAAATGAACGGGCTTCACACTTGTAAAATCTCAGCCTGTTTCCTGCATACTGCACCTGAACAAGGAAGCAGATTTTCTTTATTTACTTTTGTTTTCCTGCATCTGCAAGGCCCCGTGCCTCATGTCACACACACACACAGACAAAAAAACATATCTACATGTTGCGTGACATAGTTTACTTTACAATTTAAGCTACTTGTCATTGACTTAGGTGACTCCATTTGATGTTAGTTATTCCTTTCCACACATGTAAATATCTTGATTCACTTTCCAACGTTTTGCTGACAGTTGATTAAAAAGGTGTAGCCTATGTGTGGTCTATGAAATGGGCTGCATTCCTAATAAGTAACTTTATGCAGGTTTGGCTCCTACTTGACATCTTACAGCTCATACGTTAGTGCACGTTGATGCTTTTAGTACATTTATCTTGTGGTATTGTGCCTTTCTCTTAAATAATGTGAAAGAAACACACTTCATTTTTCCCCATTTGTGTCAGGTGACAAATATCAGTAATAAACAGAGATCATTGTTATCTCACTTTTGCCTTATGTTGCACCTTTACGCTTTACTCTCCATTAATCATGTCATAGACAGTTATAGCTGTTTTTTTATTTTAAATTTGTTCTCTCAGTTTTTGGTCTGTAAGCGGAAGCTGGAAAGCAAGAAAGAGGCTCTTCTGATTCTGTCCAAGGAGCTGGACACCTGCCAGCAGGAGAGAGATCAGTACAAGCTTATGGCCAACCAGCTCCGCGAGCAACACCAAGCCCTCAAGAAGAAGTACAGAGAACTCATTGTAAGCTGATTTTTTACAATTTAAAAGATATGCTGATGGGGAGGAAACCTTGTCAACTATTGTGTTTTTGAAGGAAGGATGACGCCTGTTTTTTTTAACTAACAGGATGGAGATCCATCTCTGCCTCCCGAGAAGAGGAATCAAGTAAGTCATTTTTCTTGTTGTTGTTTTTTTGCCGAAATGCCCCAAAAAAACATGCTCAGGAGAATAAAGTGCACACACAGCCCGTCTGTTTGCTGACACAGTCCCACTGAAATATACAGCAGGGATCAGGCCGTGTTGCTGACAGCGGTAAGCCGTGATGAGTCATGCTGTGTCTGGGTGGAGTGCCACTCACAGCCTGTGTTTGTCAGAGCTTTGATTCTCTCCTATGAAAAACAAGACACTCTGTGAGTTTTGTGTGCATGTCTTTCACAGGTGAATTTCGCCCAGCTGCTGAGAGACTCCAGAGAAAAGAGCAGTCAGCTTGCCGAGGAGGTGAAGGATCTGAAGCAGCGACTTGTGGAGGCTCAGGGTGACAACAAGGTCTGACGTCATGTGAATTTTCCCTAAATAAATGAGTGCTGGTACTGTGAGCCAGGGAAACATTTAGCACTCCCTGAAAATCTTTTTCCAACCCGTTTGACCTCGCAGCTCCTTCGGATGACCATCACCAAACAGAGGCTGGGGGATGAGGAGGTTGGCGCTCGACACTTTCCCGCACACGAGAGAGAAGATCTGGTCAAACAGCTGGAATGCGCAAGAGAACAGGTGAGGCATGACGGCTTCTTTCAGGTGACTCAGATTACCTGCTGGCACTTCGTGGTTTAATCGTATGTTACTTTGTCAGCTTCTGTGAGGTCAGAAGAAATCTGAATATCACAGAGTGTGACTTTACCAACTTTACCAAATTGGCAACGGCAGCATTGAGATGCATTTGTGCCTTGATTTAAGCTAATAAGACATGAGACATGAGCTACGTTTGCACATATTTTTTCAAATGGACCCAAGCTGTCCCTTATGCTCTGTGCATTTCCAACAACTCCTGTCTGAGACCCAAAGCTAACAGAAGAGACATATTAAAGAAGCAGCTAACAAGAGATTAACCACCAGGACTAGCATGTAATGTGTGAGAAAATAAGACGAATAAAACCCAGATCTGGAACACAGTACCAGTTTTCAACCGGATGAGTTGTTTGTTAATTTTGTTTTGGGCCCAAGAGATCATTTAGAAAAATAATATTTACGAGCTAAAAGAGCATCACCACCCCATATTTAAGTTGAGTCAGACAAACGTCAGCCACTACGGTGATTCAGAATCCAGTTAGATGTCCATAGCCGTAGCCTGCCCCCGCTGGGCTCAGAAAAACACAGACTAACACAATTACAGAAGGGTTTCTGTCACATTCAACTTTCACAGTGAGGAAAACCAAAAAGAAACAAGGCTGTAGGGATAATTGAGATGTACAAGATAACATAAACATCCCTGCTTGAATTTTATTTTCACTGCTGAAAATGCCATTATATAGTATAAACAAGTGCCAGAGTTGGGCACACTGTTACCCGGCAACACTGTGGTCATGTTGGATTTTATCACTGTATGCAATTATCTGCTGAACAGAACGAGGTGCTGGAACACAGCGTGAAGTCCCTGACAGACGAGCTCCAGGACGTCCAGGCGGAGAGGGACGTGTTCCAGCAGAAGGCTCATCGGCTCAACACAGAGATGAACCACATCGTGGGCAACGGCCAGATTCGGATTCTAGATATAGATGCACTCTGTATGGAGAACAGGTCCAAACCATTGTTTCCATATTCATATTTCTGTTGTAGGTCTCATTGAGTGTTGGTGAGATTATGGCAGTGTTTACTGCAGTTTTAACAGTTTAGATAACAGTTTAGGTAACTAAATTTCATTCAGGCAGTCCAAATGGATGATTTCCCGTTTGAGGCTTTGAGATAAATATCGAATATCTCACAGGTATTTACACCAGCGGCTGAGCCAACTTCAAGAAGAGGTCAATCTGCTCAAAACGAATCTGCTAAAGTATAAGGTACCTTCGTTTATTTCTTCATTTTTTATATAAAAAAGTGATTCTTGAAATGCCTCTCAATTACATAAAATCTGAAATATTTTAGAAAAATAAAAACTACATCCTACACTGATTTCAGAGCGCTCTGGAGAGTCGGAAGAACTCCAAAATGAGTGGCAAACCCAACAGCAGCGCCCTAACCGGGGTGCTTTCTGCAAAACAAGGTCAGAGAATCTGCTGTTTTTTGGGACTTCTTGGAAATCAAATTTTTTTTAAGGACAAAGCTGTGAAAACCTGGGTAGTTGTTGTCCGTGTCTCTTTGAAACGCTGTGAATACTCTCTGCAGTGAAGGAGCTCTTACTGTCTGAGGAAAACAGCTGCAGTCTGCCGGTGACCCCTCAGTCCATCTCAGACCTCAAATCTCTGGCAACAGCTCTGCTGGAAACCATCCACGAGAAGAACATGGTGGTCCAGCACCAGCGTCAAATCAACAAGTACACAGGCCTCTACCTCACGCCATCCAAAGATTGTTGATTCTTGTTTGTCCAGATTATATTAGGGCAGAGACTTTAGGTTTAACTCTGACTCCTCTTTTTAGGATTCTTGGAACTCGAGTAGCAGAGCTGGAGAAAAAACTAAAAACCCTGGAGATTTCTGGATTATGGAGCCTTCCAGGTGGATACAAGTGTCACAGTATAGAGCATAAAACACATGTTTGTTCTTACCTGTGTGTGTATGTGTGTTCTGGGTATTCCTTCCAATAATTTCTTCTCCTGCTCTTTTTCTTCCTGCACCTGAAGGCCTGACTTATAATGTGTCTCTGGGAATATGTGGAAGTATGTTCCTCTGATAACAATCCCATTTATTTACACTCTGACTTTGATTTTTCTTTCTGCTCTTTATTCACCTCTATTATGATTTCAATTAGTGTGTACGGTTAAAAATGATAATAGTTTACTTTTTCTTATGTTTTATGGGAAAAGGGGGAAAAGACACCATTATCCTAAACTCCCAACAAGTGGAATCTCCTGGTTTGCCAACACAAGAAGGTGAATATTCATTGAAATTATACCTTAGTGCGTCCTCATCATTTTCTAATGCAACTACATTTCTCGACAATGACTTTCCTGTCTTATCTTTGAGGTGTCCAAGTTTTTGAAAATGTTCTTGCTGAGCATGAGAGCACCCCGGAAGCTGTCGGCCAAGCCAGAGAACACGCACCTGTGTCGGATCTTCAAGAAGCATCGTCACCATGCAGAACGGGAGCACCAGAGCTGAGGTCGGATGAGGATGAGCTACCCAGCACCCAAAAAGAACTGCCAGATAGTGAGGACTGTCATGTGAGTGAGCCATCACAGCTCACAGTGGACTGTAATGAAGAAGAGAGCACTCACAGCCCCACTCCAGAGTCAGAGTCCCCGAGCAGACCCCATCCATCCGCAGATCCCTGCCAGCATTCAACTGAGCCAATGAAAGAAGGAGAAGCTGAATCAGAAGATTGCACTGAAGAGACACAGTGTATTATACCACAGGAGAGTATCAATATTGTCTCCGATGAGCTGCAGCAGGACGTCTGACCAGAACAAAAAGGTACGCGCCTTCCTCATCTGGACCTACCCATTTAGCTTTAGTCAGCGTTATGGACTACATTAGGTGCACCTCTACAACTCTGAACTGTCAGAAAAGCTGAAAGACTCTGCTGCTTCTCTCTGTGGGAGATCACTATACATGGAAGTGTGGTTCCTTAGTCACTCTAACGGTCAGATGTGCTGATCTGCGGTTATGAAACCGGCACCTCATCAGAACAGGGCAGCAGTGTGGGAATGCTGTTAGTGACAGTTGCTCTCAGCTGGTTTCACTCTTCATTCACTATTTTGTTATTATTTCTGTCAAAAACACTTATCTGCGGATTAAAAAGAAAAAAGTCTAGTACATTCCAGATTAGTATTAATGTTTCCTTTGGTGTTACTGTTGTAGCACCACTGTCAAATATAACAGAGACAAAAAAAAACATAAAAACTCTGGGTTCCTGCACGTCCTCAAAAAGAATGGGAAAGAATGACATATGGTTTGTTTTCATTTGCATTTTACAGTTCTGTGGAAGGACAGAAAAATGTATGATTGGAAAATCCTGGTCATCTAAAAGAGAAAAGTTGGAATGTCTCAAGGGGATGCAGATTAAACAGGGATGTTTCACATAGACTCTGTGTTAAAGACCAACATTCCCCCCGCGGTTCATTAGGAGAATCCAGATTAAAGGTGCTTTAACACAGACTTCTTCTCCATTTTAATTAGATTTTCTTTCTCTCTGCCTGCTTTTATTGTGAAAATTATTGATGTCATGGAAAAACAAACAAGACTTGGCATGTAATTCAGTTAGTTTTGATTCTCGTTTCTAATTACAGGCTGTAAGCACAAAGCTCTGTTTTCCACCCTCAGCTCCATGCTGCTTGTCATTCTGCATCTGGCTGCTCTTCTCCCAACGCTGTAATTCTTTGCAGTTTGTTTTTCTGAGCTCCACTACGGCTTTAGCGATCATGCACATGCTCATGATATTTCCCACGTCTCAACGAATTGATTTACAAATATGGTAGGAACATACAGATGTGTGTACTCTCTAAATTTAATGAATATGCGAGAAAACACTGAATATGTGGGGACCCTGGAAACTGCTAATTATGCCTGTGAGCCTCCTCAATTCAAACTTAAATGTGTCTCATAACTCTGCTGCTGATATATCCATGAGCTGATGCTTCTTTTACACAACAAAAAGGGGACAAAGGTCAAAACTAAACAAAAAAACACTTGGCTTCCCCTGTAGGCGTTCCAGTGGCATTAAAGTAGCTTTATTTTTTTGTTTATCACAATGTGAAATACACACTGTTCTGATCTGCTCAAGCAAATAAGCTTTTTTTATTTAACAACTGCACGCTGATCCGTCCTGTTTGAATTTATTCATTGGCAATTAATTAAAGCAGAAACAGAAAATACTAAATGTTTTCATTAACATTGATGTCTTTATCCTGATTTGTGGTTAGAGGCTAACTCATGACTAATTTTATTTATTTATTAAAGTCACTCAAGAACTGTTCTGTTTAACAATAATAAAGAAAAAAACAAAGTCTTCATGTCTTTTTGCATAATTCTTTGGAAGGACAAATAAGAAATGTGTGTAGTCATTTACTAGAAAAGGTACAAGGACAAATACAAGATACAGGAGCTTTCAAGTTTTCCACAGTTCCACATCTCGAGTGAAGTAGAAGGATTTTCAGTCCAGCTTTTGCGTCATTTGAAATTCCTCCACTTTTTGACTCTTTTGCCCTCTTTGAAAACAGCCCCTTGACAGCCACCCTTCCATGGAGACCTCTTTCAATGAGGTTTTAGTGAGCAGTACTTGGATCAACTCGAGGGCTGCAGCCACCTCTGGCTTTTTGTCAGGTCCACTGGCCCTTTTCATGAAGACGTCACGTGCCGAGGCTTGGGTTTTTCAACTACGTCAACTACTGCATAAATACCTTTTTTCCCCCTGTTAAACAGATAGCGTTAGCTTTTTCCGTTAATCTAACTGAAGAAATAGATACTAATTATCTGTCTAAAGGACGACTGTAAATGTAAAATGCAGGAGGTTTTCTCTGATGTATGCCCACAGAACCGTGGGTTGTGTCTCTAATTTAGAGCCTGACTAACTCAAAAGTCATTGTTTGGTGGCCAGACACACCAAGAACTACAAACACAAACAAGATTGAAAAAAAAAAAAATTCTCAAAAAACAATAGTCTGGATTGAGGAGTGAAAAAGCAGCCATTGTCTAAAGAGGAATTCTCAGAGACTTCTAGAAGTACCAGAAGCTCATTTTAAAGATTACATGAGTTTGGCACCTTAAATGTAAAATATAAAGAAATGAGGGACTGTTAAAGATCTGAATATTGCTGCAGGCCATCTGATATTTTTGATGAGCTCCTCTTCATCTGAAACAGAACATCTTTCAGGTAGAAAGTCTTGAAGAGACTTGACTTTGAAAGCCTGCACAAAGAGCCTGTTCATGCAGATCAGAGCAGTACCTCAAGGTTTAAAGATCACAATTTTAGATTAGTTGACTAGAGGGAAAGGAATGAAAAGGGTTTTCTGTCTGGCAGCTTGTAATAAGCTGCCAAATGGCAATACAGAAGATATGCAACAAATGTTGATGTATTTCTGATTCAGGAGTAGAAAAAAAAAAAAGAAGATCACTGGGGTCAGTATGATTCATCCTTTATTGAACAAATTCCCCAACAAACCAGCACAACTTTCAGGATTTCATTTTCACTCACCGACAATATTTCACCTACATTTTTATTAGATTGATTTAAAAAAAAAAAATGGTTTGGTGTTATATTAGAATTCAATTATATAACAAATGGTCAAACATGGACGGAACACTGGAGGGGCTCTCACATGGGTGGGATTAACTCCTTCGCAGCTGCCTGGTGTAGCGCTTGTGCTGCACGTCCCAGCGGTTGGAGGGGGCCGTCCCGATGACGCAGCAGGCCAGCCTTCGGCCGGCGTTCCCGTGCAGCAGGCTCCCGGCGTCCCCGCCGCGCCCCAGGTCGTCCACCATTTCGTGAATCACCACCGCTCTCCCGAACACCGACAGGCCCCCGAACAGCGTGGCGCCAGACTCTATCAGCGCGCCGATTTTTCCCTGCTGGGGCGCGAAGTTACCGAAGTCCCCCGGGTGCTCGGGGTGGCTCACGCCGTACGGGTTGTAGTGGCCGCCGGTGGAGTCACAGCCGCGGCTCAGGTCTCCGTACTGGTGGATGTGGACGGCCCGGGGCTGCGGGGGGCCCTCCGCGGGGAAGCCGCTGAACCCCAGGAGCACCTGGAGCTTCCCCTGAGGGTGGTCCTGCTTTAGCAGCACCTGGCCGTAGATCTTGGGCAGGCCATCTGGGAGCGAAGAGCTGGGTCTCACCTTGCAGACTCCATACAGGGTGCCATTGTGCTGCGAGATCTCTGGTGGAAGCAAAGTATCAGTGTGCGCCCAGACGCATTGTTGAAAGGCTGCCAGCAAGACCAAGAGGGCCGTTTCCAGCACGCTCACTGACCTGAAACGCAGGGGAATACGCAGGAGAATGCATATCAAATGTATTGCTTGAGCCTTGATTTAAACTGACCGAAATCTTAGGACGTACAGACTCTTTGAATAAGTATAAGCAGATGCTTGTTTGCAGGCTGTAGCCTTGGTGCTTCTGCAGGGCGGTTATGTCACAGACTGTGGTGGTTTTCCAACACAATAAGGTGATTAGATATCCCTTTATATGCCTATATATCCTTTAATTTTTTTGTAGAATAGTAAAGGTTAAAAACACAAGCTACTGTACTATTGAGCATTTTAGTTTTAAAAAGAAAGATGAATATGGTTCAGCCTGAGAGTCTGCAGCAGCACAGTGACAGACTCCATCCTTTTAGCAGTTTGGATCATTTCCTCTTTTTCCTCCTTTCCGTTTTACGCACGTTAGCGTTTTTGTTTTTTCCTTTAATCATTTGCACACAGTATATTTAGAAAGACTACACGTTGAGGAATGAGACTTCAGAAAGGAAAACTAGGCCGTTTTACCATATGACAAACGGCATGACGCAACTTGTAAAGTCAAAGGAAGCCGGATGTTAGTCCTGAACACTAACATCCTGAAGACTGACGTCTAAAGTCTACTTACCCATGTGGACGCATGGTCATCATAATAAACACACAAGTGGAAACTCAAAATGTTCACTCTTGCAAACTGCCGCGCATCGATCCTCTGAGGAGTCTCCGCGTGCGCGTTTCGTAAGAGCTTTATAGGGTTTTTGGGAAGGCGTTACCTCAGATGGGGGTTGGGCAGGAGCTTTGTCAAAACCCGTGTTCTTTTTTTGTTTTTTTCTGTTTTTTTTCCTACTCATGAGATTAGGAGTTTGTTTGTTGGAAAAAACTGTAAATATAAAAGTCCATACTTTGCAAAATATCCCAACCACTGTGCTGTAACAGCCATGATAAGCTCATGAAAGCCAAAACAGGCCTGCTCCTCAGCTGTCCACAGTCAAACAAAAATACTAATTGTAAAAAAGGAATGACATTTTGAATAGCAGGCTGTAAAAGTGATTAAATGATGGGATTTGATGCAATTTGGACAAGACTTTGAACCTATCAGACTGTGACCCTGCATTCAAAGCTCACGTGATTTGGTGATTTGCATCTGCAACTAAAGCAAAACCCAACAGACCCAACCGTGACTGTGACATTTTAAAAATATAATTTATTTACACTAAAGGCATGTCAATTACTTCAACTAAACAAATAACTAAATAATTGTTTGAACATCATTTTGTGATCATTCATAAGGGAAAGGGAGTTTGAAAAAAATAAACGTCCGTGCACATGTCACACTAATAAGACACACACAGAAGCTTTTATTTCTTAAAATTGATACTCAAAAATCCCAATGTGATTAAAAATATAACAAGAATATTTTTCCTTTTAAGACTTGTTGGGATATTTTCTGTTAAACAAGATTCCCAGTCCATGTCTGAGGAAGCTCTCTCTCTCTTTCTCCCTCTCCCCCTCAACAAAGTGTTGTTATAAGTGTACAGAGCTGCTGTGGAGAAACAAAGTGTTGTTACATTAAATAAACCTCCATGAATGGAAGCAGTTGAGGAATTATATCTCTGACCTGAACTTGCAGAGAATGTTACGGCTACACAAATACACTCATGAAAACAATCCCAGAGGCTGCTGTGTTTGTCGTCTCTCCCACCAAACAGACTGACTCAGAAAGCAACAGCCAGGATAAAACATTTCCCTTCTCAGAAACCTAAGAATAATAGAGTACGATTAGATGAGCCAAACTGAGCATGCAATCAGAGACCACTTTTCCCATCACAGCGTTTTCTCTCCATGTTATTCTTTTGCAAACTTTGCCTGATTCTTATGCCTATGTAAAAAATTAATAAATGAAAGGTCTTTCTCAATTGAGACTTGTATAATGATAAATAAAGGAAGGCAAGCATCTGGATGCTAAACCTGGTTTCCTTTCTGGCATCAAGTTTGATAAATTGTGCCACTTGCAAAACCACAGTCTCCACAGCTCCTAAATTGGAACTCTATTTGCGATGTACCTCTTATTTTTGTAAACCTCTTGTCAATTTTTTAAAAACAAATTAAGATATCAGATAGTTGAAAACATATTCTTTATTTTTTGTGTAGCATCTGATAAAATCTACTCTACATAAAATCTGAAATCTTTTTTCAGTTGTTTCTAAAGCGCTATGTACTCTCCAGATCAGCAGGGGGCGGTAATACGCTGCCTAACACAAATTTAAAAAGGAAAAAAAAGATCCATTGAACAGGAATCAGGAAACCGATTTGGTTGCATTTTGCCCGGTAGAATTGTGTACGGGTTAGGTGACCATCGACAAGCTATTCGTTTCCATAAATATGTCCAAAAGACATCGTCTGGATTTGGGCGTTGACTACTCTTCCAGTAAGAAGAAATCAGATGGGTAAGTGAAGCCTCCCCATTACCGTATCCGCTCAAATAAGGTGGCTACCAGCGAAATGTTAGCTGGTTATAGTCAAGTTAGCTAACAGCCAAACAAGAGCCGAGACAATTGAACGCCAGCGGTTACAATTTAGTTCTTTTGGGGTACTGTTTAGTAGCGTGTCAGTAATTCTCCATATAGTCGCGTTAACTGCCTTGTTACAGCAGAATATTGCTGCTGAGGGCGGGTTTAGCGAACTAACGAAGCATCAACGTTGCCCCCGCACCAAAGAGGCACGTGTGTGGATAATGTTAACATTAGCCGGCTGCTAACAACCCTCTCAAGGTAGCTTCAAAATGGCCTCACTTGGCTACATACAGTGTCGATTTTCTATACATATGAGTTATAATTGTAAACTGTAGCGTATTTATATGAAGTTATGCTATTGTTACGTTTCAGTAGTAATAATTCTTAGTGTAGCTATTTGCAATCGGACCTAAAAAACAATATGAAGTTTAGCGATAACATGCACTAGCTAAACAGATGTAAATCAATATGACAGCTCACGTTTAAATGCGTAACTAGTGAAAGTAGAGTATACTTATTATTCTAATGTAAGGTTTTAAACAGTAGGTATATATTTTAGGTATAATTTGTTTATGAAATGGATGCGTTATGTTGTGGTGTTGCTAAACTGTGTTCGGGTGAGCATAGATATCCATGCTGGACTATAAACTTTTAGGATAACGTAACCGCAACATAGACCCACACACACTTTGTTGTAGAGTTATGATACATTTAATACAGTTAAATGGACAAGTCATAAAAAACGGCTTTTGTCTCTAATAAAACAAATGCGTTATATAGCTTAAATGAAAATAAACGTTCCACTTTCTTATTGTACACATGGAAAGAGTTGGAGTTTAAATTAGAAATATCAACCTTACTTGAGTCATTTAATATTTTTCAACATTGTAGCTGATGGAGATTGAACAGATTGACTTACTTAGTGACCTTTATCAGATTGAAAGAGAATGACTAACATAAATATTAAAACAGGTCTTTAGATACTGGAGATTCACACAGTTTGTATTGATCTGTTAGACTTTATTAGAGACTGTGCAGACGTTATGCGCCTCATCTTTAGATGCTATTCAGATGAGCACACCTCAGCAGCAGAGTGCTTAGGGGCAGCTTGAGAAGCAGATATGAGACTAGGAAGTGAGTGTTTAAGAGAGCTGCATGCCTCCATACACATCAACAGAAGTGTCAGCATGCAGAAAAGACAAGGTCATCATCAACACATACACACTCACCGCAGTCGCTCCAGACTATTTGACAACTTGTTCACACATCCTCACCTGCTGATGTTCCAGAGATTGCCCTAAATCCAGAGAAAATTCTGCAGACACTTCATTCATGCGACTGCTCCTGAGCATTTTAAGAACATTTCAGGATTCCAGTTCATGCCTCAAAGGCTTGACGCTGTAAAGCAACTGACACGCACATTATCATGTGCACTAGAAAAGTTTGAATGAACAGATTTGTGAAAGGTAGGATAGATATGACTTCAGAGTCATACGTTTTATTATCTGCATCAAACCAATGGGGATCTTTCAGACAGTGTGTCTGGTTTTGGTGATGTGAACGTTGAATATATTTTACCGCACCTTTCACTTCACAAATGATTTATTTTTAGCTATTCAGATTTGTAGGATTACAATGGCCGGCAGAACTGAGAATTTACTGTAATACAGAATGCTTCAGTTAGCAGCAGGATCTGAAAAATATGGATTTTTTTCACTCAGGTTGTCTGCAGAGGATGATTACACAGCCTTTTTTATGGATATTGAATTAAGTGCCTCTTACTCCTTTCTAAGAATGCTGTAGAAGCAAAAGGCTTGCTTTAGCAAATGAAAAGACTAAATGTGTGTCATGCTGGATTTGAACAAAAATGTTGGGCATGGTACTTTTAACAAACTCTGAACGTGTTTGGTAAGTTAAGTGGCAACTAACATAAATCCTGGTGATTAATCCTCCAACCTTTTGCTGTTGTGATGCTCGCAGGAGAGACAGAGACCGAGACAGGGACCGAGAGGACCGTTCGAGGGACAGGGATCGAGATCGGGACCGGGACAGAGACAGAGACCGGGAGAGAGACATAAAGCCCTCCGTTGCCCCGTCTAACACCACAGCAGCAATGCCTGTTTTACAACCGTTCAGGCAGATGGTTGTCCACCAGCAGATCAATCCTTTCACCAACCTGCCGCACACGCCGCGCTTCTACGAGATCCTGAAGAAGAGGTTGCAACTTCCTGTGTGGGAGTACAAGGAAAGCTTTACTGAAATCATCACACGTCAACAGAGCTTTGTCCTCGTCGGAGAGACAGGTTCAGGAAAGACAACACAGGTAAGAGAGGCATGGCCTCTCATGTCCTGCAGTATATATAAGTTATCACTGCATATTTAAAATACAAAACTAAAACAACCTTTGATTGCATTTGGAATTCACAACCTTCTTTGTCCTCAACCCTCAGATCCCACAGTGGTGCGTGGACATGGTGCGGGGTTTGCCGGGTCCCAAACGGGCAGTGGCTTGTACTCAGCCAAGAAGAGTGGCTGCCATGAGTGTGGCTCAAAGGGTGGCTGATGAAATGGATGTCATGCTTGGACAGGAAGTTGGCTATTCCATCAGGTTTGAGGACTGCAGCTCTGCCAAGACCATCCTAAAGTGAGTGCAGTGGTGGACTGGAGCCGGCTCTGCAAAGTTTACACTGTTCGCAGCCCTCTGAGTTGTCTGACTGTTATTTCCTCAGGTACATGACAGACGGTATGTTACTGAGAGAGGCCATGAATGACCCCCTGCTGGAGCGATACGGCGTGATCATTCTGGACGAAGCCCACGAGCGAACTCTTGCCACAGATATCCTGATGGGTGTGCTGAAAGAGGTGGTTCGTCAGAGATCAGATCTGAAGGTATTTAATTTTATCCCTGTTTTCATTGTTATCACTAATGTTCTTTTGTTCCTGTTGCCATTTGGTGATTTCTTGAAACCAACAAGTGTAATCTGATTAATGCGGCATTAACTGCAGGGTTTTATTTACACACAATTTGCAAAAAGAGTTGTTCATAAAAAAAAAAAAATCATCTTATTGAGCTGTGAATGTTTTCAGCTGTTCTTCCTGAACACGTGAACGTCATCATAGCACCTATCAGGGCTGATTGAGCAGGAAAATAGTCTTATTTCTTCTGTCAGCACATATGTGTATGCAGATATTTTATTAATGGTGAAATGATAGGGGAAAATGACCCGTGTGGTGATTCTGCTCTCCACAGGTAATTGTCATGAGCGCCACGCTTGATGCTGGGAAGTTCCAGGTGTACTTCGACAACTGCCCTCTGCTGACTATCCCGGGGCGCACTCATCCCGTGGAGATCTTTTACACCCCCGAACCGGAGCGAGACTACCTCGAGGCAGCTATCCGCACCGTCATACAGATTCACATGTGCGAGGAGGACGAAGGCGACTGCCTGCTCTTCCTCACAGGCCAAGAGGTAATGCTTGGATTGGAGTCAAGAGTTTTTTTTATTTTCTACAAAAAGAAAAATGATGACTGAGCTTTTTTACATTTATTATTTCTTAGGAAATTGACGAGGCCTGCAAGCGGATCAAGCGCGAGGTCGATGACCTCGGCCCCGAAGTCGGAGACATCAAAATCATTCCACTGTATTCCACGTTGCCCCCACAGCAGCAGCAGAGGATCTTTGAGCCGCCTCCCCCAAGGAAGCCCAATGGTGCCATTGGACGAAAGGTTTGTCTCCTACGATCAATGAGGTTAACAGGTCAATTGTACCAGGAAATAGATCTGACAGCCTGCTGCCTCCCCTTCAGGTGGTGGTGTCCACAAACATTGCCGAGACGTCTCTCACAATCGACGGTGTGGTGTTTGTAATTGATCCTGGTTTTGCCAAACAAAAGGTGAGAAAAGCAAAACTCGCTTTACAGCCCTGCTTTTGTTTCCTGTTCTTGTGGAGTCCTGTTACGTTCGAAAGTTGGTTTAGACTCCGATATTTTGCAGTCCTGTGGTCAGCCGGGTTCGCTTTCCTTTTTGTCACAATCGAATGTCGAATGTGTGCCCAGGTGTACAACCCCCGAATCCGAGTGGAGTCTCTGCTGGTCACAGCCATCAGTAAAGCCTCTGCCCAGCAGAGGGCAGGACGAGCCGGCAGAACACGTCCAGGGAAATGTTTCCGCCTCTACACAGAGAAGGCCTACAAAACTGAGATGCAGGCAAGTTTAGTCTCTTCAGGACAAAAGTATTCTGCATGTGGCGCCATGCCAGCTGCAGACTCATGTGTGTTTGGTGTGCACATTGTGCACTTCAGCACTAAAAAATAAAATTCACTTGCGGTTTGAACCCGTGTTTTTATGTTTGTTTGTTTTTTCTTTAATGTAAATCTGTCAGCGTTCTAGCAACCCACGAAACTAACATAGCAAGTGTATAATGGCCTCGGCAGAGGGTGAGAATAACCTCCTGTGGGCTGGCCTCTGCTCAGAAAAAAACCCAGCAGCTTGATACAATTGGGCATTCATGTGTTAACGGGAGTTGGGGCAATTAGCGCCCGATTTAATTAAGATCGATGTGGACAAGCTTTCATAACCGCTCGTTACGCAGCCTCTTTACTCTCAAATCAGAAGCAAGAGTTTATTTTCAAGCCGCAGAAGTTTCACGAATTAATGGTGAGGCTTTAAAAATGGAGCCGATCATCCGCTGCGGTGCTATCCCAGCCGTTTATTTATTCTGACATTCGAATATTGCATTGTGCTGAAACTAGGAACTCTTTTAGCCTATTGATATTGCAAATCAACCCCAAATAACATTGACATCTTTCCTCTGCAGGATAACACGTACCCTGAGATTCTTAGGTCCAATTTGGGATCCGTTGTGCTGCAGCTGAAAAAGCTGGGTATCGATGACCTCGTGCACTTTGACTTCATGGATCCACCAGGCGAGTCTTTCAGCATGGGTCTTATCGTAAGCCTTAAACCGTTTGGCAGTTGGGCGGGTGTCTGATCTTCTGCTTTGTCTAACCCTCCGCAGCCCCCGAGACTCTGATGAGGGCTCTGGAGCTGCTGAACTATCTGGCCGCCCTCAACGATGACGGTGACCTGACAGAGCTGGGCTCCATGATGGCAGAGTTCCCCCTGGACCCTCAGCTCGCAAAGATGGTCATTGCGAGCTGCGAGTTTAACTGCTCCAATGAGATCCTCTCCATCACGGCCATGCTGTCAGGTAATGGCCAGGACTGGGCCGACATCCTCTCACCAGTCCCTCTGGGTTGATGAAACTGTTCTCCTTTGCAGTCGGGTCTAAAAGCCTTACATTGAGCTCACTTCAGCTAACTATGAGAAGCTGAGCAGTTTTTTTTGTTGTTTAAAAAAAATTAATCGCAAGTTAAAATTAAATATTCCAACCCTAAAATCAAAAGTACATATCGGGCTGTTCATATTCATATATATCACCCTGCCTTTGCTGAGGTGTTTTGGTAAATTGTAATTAATAACTTAAATATACAGTGGATGGACAACTGTTGTAACTATTGACTCTAAGAGTAATGAGCAGAATTATTTTCAGGACTAAAGACCCATGCTTATTTATGTCAGAAAAAAAACTGTTATGTTTTACATTGACTATCTTTCCGTCAAGATGCGTCAATTTGAATTTCACAGAGCTCAGATGTTGACTTTTTAAAAGGAATATATATATACTTTATTCACCTTTTTCTCAATAGCTATATCTACCGAGTGAGCATTTTCACAAGTCTTTTAATCTCCTAAACCTGCGGATAGGGCAGGCACCACATGCGTTTGTGCGCTTTGGTTCAATCTATTGAAATTCTCTTTGAATTGAAATGACGTTTTGGTGTTTGCTGTTATCAGGCGTAGGCTGGGAGAGGCCAAATCTTTGATGTGGCAAAAGGACAATCGGAAATATTTCTGGTGCTCATAACGCGTTGCAGTTGTGTGAAAACTCTTGTTTTACAGATGTGGTTAAAACCCCCCCCCCCTCCCCTCCCTCTTCAAGCTAATAGACGTTACTGTTGGAAATGACCATGAGAAAAGGCCGCAGCCTCCCCGCCCCCATTGATAGTGTGGTCCTGCCCTGTCCCAGCGCTGTGTCCAGTGCCCTAGCATCATAGGCTTTGCTCCATTTTTTTTCTGTGAATGTTTGACTCATCCCTATGGGCGGCTTTGTTGGGGCCCATACCAACCTTGTTTAGTCCCACAGTGTTTTGTCCGTCCCACGGAGGCTAAGAAGGCAGCCGACGAGTCCAAGATGAGGTTTGCCCACATTGACGGGGACCACTTGACGCTGCTCAACGTCTACCACGCCTTCAAACAGAGTGAGTTTTGGTTGGGTTTAATGCCCAGTTGACAAAGAGCAGAGACTGAAGGCCGTCCCAGCATCCAGGCTCTGGATGTTCAGTGTCCTGTCGTCAGGATTGTATTAGAGCATTTACAGCCTTGTGCTCGTTTTTCTCTTTAATCGTCGTCCTCATCTCCAGATCATGAGGCTAACCAGTGGTGCTATGACAACTTTGTCAACTACCGCTCGCTGATGTCTGCTGACAACGTGCGTCAGCAGCTGTCCAGAATCATGGACCGCTTCAACCTGCCCCGCCGGAGCACAGAGTTCACCAGTAGAGATTACTACATCAACATTCGACGGGCGCTGTGCACCGGCTTCTTCATGCAGGCAAGTCTTCAGCGGACACAACTTTCAGACTGCTCTTTCTTTGCACCGCCTAAAAAAAGTTTTCAATCTTTTGCTTCCTGCAGGTGGCTCATTTGGAACGCACAGGCCATTACCTCACAGTAAAAGACAACCAAGTGGTCCAGCTGCACCCGTCTACAGTTCTGGACCACAAGCCCGAGTGGGTGCTCTACAATGAGTTTGTCCTCACCACCAAGAACTACATCCGCACTTGTACAGACATCAAGCCTGAGTGGTAAGCCCACACACGTGCGGCGCAGGTTTGAATCGTGTCGCCTCCCTGACGGGGTCACTAATGTTCTCCCATTTCTGTTCCAGGCTGGTGAAGATTGCACCACAGTACTATGAAATGAGTAACTTCCCCCAATGTGAAGCTAAAAGACAGCTGGAGCGAATTGTTGCCAAACTCGAAAGCAAAGAGTATTCTCAGTACTGAACAAAAGATCCTGGAACAAGTGTCCTGGAATACAACTGCATACCCCTAGTTTTAGATCTTTCTGTATCATTGTATCTTAATGTTTAAAAGTTGGCTTTTCAATCTGTCTGTTTTTTTTTTTTCCTTTTTCGTTTTTTTTAACATGTATTTCGTTTGCTTCCCCACCCCCCCCGCTTCCATCAATGTCAATTCTGTAAGTAGATGTAATGTCGGATTAAATATCAGCAGCAATTGTTAGACCTGGCTATATTGTTTTTGTTCCCTTTATTTTTCTCAGAAACATGTAATTAGATGTGGTTGAATTTCCTTTCGGAAACCGTTGAGCCATAACAAAAGATTTGTGCTTGCTTTGTTTCTTTAATAAAGGAGCTTTGACTTACATTCTGCGTAAAAATCATTAAGTAAAGCTTCTCCTTGCAACAGAGGTGTAAAACTAGTTAGTTTTATTTTTAGTATGAAACTTGGTTTGTTATAAAGAGTCAGTACCGTCTCATTCTCTCTGCTTGTAATATGCTCAGTGGCTTATTTACAAGTTTGTGTCTTGTTTTAGTTTTCAGTAGTTTGTAGTTCACTGTCCCCTTTCTTTTAACTGTATTGAGTTTGATTTCAGCTTATTATTGTTGCTCAGCCTGTTATTGACGGCTTTGACAAGATTTTTCGTAAGGAAAATTTTATTCAAAATACACATTTTTATCACAGATCAGCTCTTGATTCCGAATTAAATCTAGTAGATTCACTACTTATTGTGGGAGAAGAGGTGAAAGAATTGAGTTGAGACAAATGAGATCCGAAGAAAAGTTGTGGGCACTTTTGATAAATGCTGTAGCAAGACCTAAGCTCCACACGCCTCATCCTTCTACAGGTAACTATTAGTACTAAACTAACAGGAAAAAAACATAAAATGGAGTGCTTAAAGCTACTGCTCATACTATTGAAATAAAATCATGTCTGAACTATTCTAGTGCCCATGCCACTACCACATCTGCTCGATATCCTCTATGGTCTCTGGCAGGCATCTGTTGCGTGTCTCCGCCAGCGTCCTCGCCACCATTCCTCCCAGCAACGCCACCGAGCACAACACCACCTGCGGCAGGTCTTTCCAGAACTCATCCAGCAAGAGGATCAAAGGGGCCACGGCGACGCCAAACCGAGCCATGAAGGAGTTATAACCCATTCCGTTCTGCCTGAAAGACACATTAGTGCAAGACCTCACACACCTTTGGACTTTACACCTGTTAGGGACCACATATTCAGAAAAATGTTGTGTGGAGTTGGTTAAGGTTTTGCCAAATTGTCAATAAAAAAAAAAGAATATTAAACGAAGGACAGATGTCAGCATGGGTTATTACCTCACAACAGTAGGATAGAGTTCAGAGCTGTAGAGCACAACTGTTGCAAAGGAGGCTGAAGAAAAGCCTTTTCCAATGACGGCAACAACTGTTCTAGGAACAGCCATATCTGCCAAAAAAAACACGAGGTGAGGGCTCACTTACTGTTCTTGATTTGAATTCTTAATACTAGCAGTTACCTTCCTATGTAGAAGAACTTGACAGATTTCAGTCTCCATGATTAGTCATACCTTTTGGTATAAAAATGTTGATTCCCAGACAGAGTCCAGCCAATAGCAGAGCTCCCATCTCAGTGGAACGCCTGCCTATCTTGTCCAGTAAATAGTAAACTGACACTTTGGCTGGGAGCTCAATTAAGGCATAGGTGAATTGAGTGAGATACATATTTAGTCCAAAGCCTGTGATGTTGAAGCTGATGCCATAAAATGCAGTAGCCACGCAAAACCTAGACAGAGAATATAATTGAAATGCAACTTTATCATTTGAGTTGAAATGCTATTGGGTACATTTCTTAACATGTTTATTGAAAAGTGTTGCTCCTGGAATGCAGACCATAATGTACCGGTGCGGAGGGCCAGCCTCCTCATCTTTGGTGTTCGAATCAGGTCAAAGTAGGAATATGTTCGGTCTTTCTCATCAGTTACGACAATTGTGGATAATGTCTGAAAAATTCCAATGCAGCATAGTCCTTAGTACCGTGACTGACAACACAGAATGAATTAGAACATATATAGAAATATACCATAAATGCATTTTCTGTCCCACTAATTTAAAGATTTGGAATTTACCAACCTCTTTTTTAAGTGTATGATCCAAATCTTCTGTTTTATTCATTTTGGCACATTTCTTCAGATACATCTGAGCCCGGTCCAGCTTTCCATTGGCAATTAGCCACCGAGCTGATTCTGGCATCCACCTGATGATGAAAGGATATATGCGTTTTTATTCCATTAATACTGTATACCTTTTTTGTTAGATTCTTTTGACTTTGAGGAGAGCCTAATTGACCAAATGATAAATCACCCATTTTAAGTCCTCATCAGTGATAAACATCTTTGAAAGTTCAGTCTGGTATGTCCTATGAACTATGGAACTATTCTGTTTTTGTATATTTTATTCACTTTTGTCATTTATTTTCTTCAAGCCAAAAACATTTAAAATTATTTGTTTAATTTTTTCAATACATTGAATATTAAATTACATCCCCTGTTAATACCTTACATTTGGTTAACCTTGTAAATTTCCTATGTTCATTGCCATGTCTGTGGAGGCAGGCAAAGATATGATACAATTCTTTACTAAATGTAAAGAAATTAGTGTAAAATATTTATAGCAGATGCTTTAACAAACCCCCTTACTAAGGGTAGACAATAGTACCATAAATGTATTTGAAAGCCTTTATCAGACAGTAGCAGAATTCAATATCCTCCAATATAATTTTGCAATCTTAACATACCACAAAACTGCTCTCAGGCTTGTTGGCTTTGTTTGGATTCAACATTTTGAGAAATACCTCCAAGAGATGATGGCCAAGATTAAAGGTGATGTCACAGTAAGAGTCAGCCATCGCCAGTCAGTCACAAAGTAAGCAATGGTCGGAAATGCTATGTTCCCAAATGTCCAGGACAAGCTGTCAATCACCCCCACCAGCTTTCTGTGCTCGATGTCCACCCATTCTACACCTGCAACGAAACAGCAAGTCAGCACGACGCGTGAACGCATCATGTGGCAACTTTTCTGGCTTGAGATGAGCATGGCATAACATGAGACGGTATGTTGGACAAAAAAAAACAGGAAATAATGACTTAGGACTGCTGAGATGATGACAATGCCAGTGATGCAAAACCCAGTGAAGAACCTCAGCACTGCAAACATCACATAGGTGGTGGAAAAAGCACTTGCAATAGCAAAGAGCATTCCAGTCACATATGACACCAGCAGCATGATCCTTCGTCCAAATCTACAAAGATTCATGGTTGACAGCATTGAGATGTTGCAAAATCTGTGGAATGGGCAATTTCAATTCAAATGCTTATGAGCCGAGCTGCGCTACCTGTCACTCAGACTTCCAAAGGACATGGCTCCAAACATGACTCCGATAAAGAAGATGGTGGCTGTCGCTCTGTTTTTCCCGCGGCTGTCACACACAAGGTCCCACTTAACAAAAAAAACAAAAAAAACATATTCTACTGAGAAAAATGCTAAACTTTTCGAATGAGGTGTTAATTCACAGGAGCAGCAGAATCACCTGGGAGGTCAGAGTCGACTTGAAGGTAGTCTTATCGTACACCCATCCATTCTGGCACGGCACAGTGGGTATGTCAGTAGTGTTGGAGGAATTCAACAGCAGGTGATACTGAGGCTCCACGAACATTTGACACGAGCTGCGAGTCCCGTCCTGCTGGACTGGAATGCCCACAGTGAGCCTCTGTGTCTGGGTTAAGTTCTTGAAAATACCTCCATCATCCAGAGAGCTGATGTCACAGTGGTGAGCAGGAACAGCCGCTATGAAATTGTTCAGCATGAAGTGGCAGGGAAGCGTGAAGCGACCGAGGAAACTGAGAGCAATAATCATCATCTGAAATCTTCCAAATCCATTTAAGTCAGCAAGAACGTTTTCAAACCTCATGGTGCCCCTCTGCTCTGAACGACACTTCTTCTCTTGAGCTTCACACAAAAATTGAAAATCGCCTCTATCTGCCAAGAATCGGAGCACAGTTTTGGATCTGTGCCCAGAACATGCAACCTTTGGTATTTGACCGGTCCCCAGGGTGCTGGATTACAATGGAACGAGTGAATATTTTACCTCGCATAACCAGTGAAATAACTTTCACCTGATTGGCTTTTAAGCAAGATGTCCAGACATGCTCGGTAAGAGGCGCATCAGGGTTTTTTGTAGAATTAAAATCAATTCTGAATTGCAACAATAACAAAGAGAAAAAAACAGATGGACAAATATGCTACTTTGCAGGCAGTGTAGTCTGGAAAAACAATGGGAATGCACACATTACACTAGAAAGGAAAAGGAAGGTCTTGGTCTCCTTTCAGCAATATTATTAAACCTGCACGTTTGGTCAAATCTGAGCCAAATCAAGCCTCTCAAAACCAAACTAACACGCCATGGCCATGCTGTTGTGGTGAAAAAAAATGGCAATCCTCGTAAATGTGAATGCAATAAAAAAATGGCAACACTGACATTTAGAGATTTAAAAAAAAAAAGTACTACTTTTTGTTTGTTGTTAGAAGATATGTGTTCAGATGCATCATATGCATAATCCTTTTTTTCTTAATGTGTGTGTCCGTGTCCAAACATTTGACTGCTTTAAATTTGTTCCTCAAAATGTGCATAAATGGTTTTATAACAGGTGGCAGATATTTGTAATGATATGAGGGCAATGTCAGAGTTAACCATTTCTGAAAGAAGAATGTTAGTGCTGTGTCAAAACAAATAAGACATAAAAGATTACACTAAATCTTATTCACAACTATAACCCACTATTCTAGTAATATTTGCTCAGAAAAGTGTAATGTCTGTTTTTATGTACCAGCTCTCCCTGTTTCCTGCAAATTAGCAGACCTCCACTTGGGTGTGATGTCATTTTGAAGGCAAGGTTGTTTCAGAGAAATCAAGGAATCAGACAGTAGTTGAATGGTAGTTTATTCAAATCTGTACAATACGTTTTGTTCTCAAACACAGAGGTGTTATCAACTGTGGTGATTTATCACCTCATTCTGTACTTGTTCTTGGTTGTAATTTGCATTTCAGAATTCTTTCTGTTCACCACCAGGGGTCAGAAATCTTCTCGCCCACGGCACATAAAGGTTTTAGCTCCAAGACTTCAAATGTAAAACATAGCTTGTCACCACAGGGAATGGAGAATCACTGCAACCACTTGCAGGGACTCTTTGGTCTGCAACGAAGACAGCTTTCATGGTGTGGATTTCTCATCAGGAGTTGGGACGGATCGTCTTCTGCAAAAAATATAGACATGCAGTTTGTGATCCATACATTTCTGGTAGCACGCGTGGAGATGGTTGGACATGACCCCAGCTACAGCACCTCGTCTGCTCTACGTCCTCAATGGTTTCTGGTAGATGGACATTTTTCGTCTCAGGCAGAAAAGAAGCAGACAGCGCAGCAGTAGCAGCCACCAAGGTGAAGAGGGTACTTGGGAGGAGGAGCCAAACATCGTCAAGCATCATCATCAGGGGGCATACAGACACGCCTACACGGGCCATGAAGGAGCAGTAACCCAAACCGTTTTGCCTGTCAAAGTAGGAAAAGTTGGTGTTTATCAAATAAATACATGTTTGCAGGGAGGGGGTTCAGTGTTCAAGTTATGGGAATATATGTGTTTATCTGACCTCATGACTGTCGGGAAAAGCTCTGTTGTGTACAGGAATACGGTCGTAAAAGCTGCTTCTGCAAACATCTTGCCCAAAGCCCCAACAGTGGTTTTTCCTGTCCACTGATCTGAGAAGAGGAGACTTTCATTTCAACCCTGAAATGTACTTCACGATTGGAAAAATCTAGCTTCCCTTCCGACCTTCGGCACAAAATGACAGACATGCGTTGTTTTGTTGTTTTTTTACTCACAAGTTTTGAACATTACTTTGTTTCTGCATGTGTAAGTTCGTAAAGATGCACAAGCCAGTATTTATTTGCACGTATTTCTTTGTACATTTACCTTGAGGGATGAACATGTTGCAGAATATACACAGTCCCGTCAGAAAGAGCGTCCCCGCCTGAGTCAACCTCCGGCCTATCTTGTTCAAAAAGAAAATGATGAAGGCTTTTGCTGGAACCTCTGTTACCCCGTAGATGAACTGTGTGAGATAAATGTTCACTCCAAACCCAGTGACGTTCAAGCTGATTCCATAGTAAGTACAGGCCACTCCAAACCTATGCATTTGATGGAGGGAAATTACTTATCAAAACAAAGGTTGGTGTACAATATACTGATATCTGATTTGTATCTGTAATGCTTGACTGCAGCTGTCTTGAACCCAACCAATAATACCTGCCGTGAGTTACATCATTGGTTGTTCTCAGATTTCAGTATTCCTGTGTTAAAGGATATGTCTTCTTCGCTAAAATGCAAAAGTCACAAATTCTAACTAAGTTCAAAACAAAAAACACTTTTACCACACAATTCCTGTAAGAAGAGTCAGCTGCCTCATTTTTGGGGTCCTTACGAGGTCCACGTAGGAATATGTTCTACCTTCATTTTCTACAACGATTACTTTGGACAGAACCTGGAGAGTGAAAAAAAAGAATTCTTGATCAGAAAACTCAGTTTTTATTCAGTAAATGTGTGAAATGGTGTACCTCCGGCTTCAGGTCAGCCAGGAACTTCTCCCTGTGGTTGACCTTAGCACACTCAGTCAGGTGAAAGTGAGCACTCTTCACTTTCCCGTTGCTTATCAACCACCTGGCAGACTCTGGGAGCGAACTGTGAACGGGTATTTCAAAAATCACACAAAAAGTTGCCTTGTCAAAAGCTAAGATTCACACTGCTGGTGATAGTTCGGTTTTAACGCTGAGTCATTCATTTCTCCTCACCGCCAACACATCATAGCCACCAAAAGAGGAGAGGTCACAGCGGCCGTCAGTTGCCGCCAGTCATTCATAGCATAAGCCAAACCGGGTAATATGACAGTGGAGAAGCTCCAGTCCAAGCTCATCAAAACACACACGTAAGTGCGATGTTTGATGTCCACCCATTCTGCACCTGTGAGAAGCGGTATCTTTGTTAATATTTGTCATTATTACAGGAGGAATTTTTACATGATAGTGTTCTAGTTAAGTCATTTCAGCCACAGTCTATGTGGGTTATTAAATTTGTAAGTTTTCACAATTCATCATATATTTGTTTTTTACCTTAGTTGGCACTAATGAATAGATAAATAAATCAAATGTTTGGTTGGTTCATATTAGTATGCATCGCTGCAGCCTGGTGAGCAAAGCCATTTGCTCGATTCAACATTGAATCTGTATTCTCACTATAATTTAATTGATCTAAATGTCAAAATGCTAGTTTCTTTGGACTGGACTTGAGTTTAGTTGAAGAAAGAATTGCACCAGATCATAACACAACAAGGACTTAGAGGGATATGACACTTATTCTCTTCTGGCTTCTTTGTTTTCTGGTTAAAAGTCTGTGAAGATGTGGAGATTCATGCATGGGGTCATTTATTTTCTTCTACGAAAATTCTTTGTGTGTTCAAATAAGCTTGCTTGTTCTGTATGGCTTCAGATGTTTTGTTTTTTCACAGTGTGAACCAATTGTGTCAAAGTTCAGTCCTCCAGGGTGGGCTGTCCCGCACGTTTTAGACATTTTCCTGCTTAAACAGACCAGTTTCTGACTATAAGATGATAGATAGATAGATAGATAGATAGATAGATAGATAGATAGATAGAT